GTGTTAAACCCTATTTGGTTTATGTTAAAATTTATTGAAAATTAGTCTATGGAGCTATGAACTAGCTTGGTTTATATGATTTAATTTACTTTTATTTCTAAAAGGACTATAGAAATTGTAAGTACCAAAAAAAATCATCATTAAATTTTAAGCTAATAACTTTAGCTAGTCTACCCGTTGAAAAATTTCTAATTCCGCCCTTGCTTATTTACAAGTACATATCCATAGTTGCATGTTATTTCTCTTTATACTTTACAATACGGATATGATTTCCCCACTCCCTTTTGCTTTTTAATACTTTTTAATCAATTTTGTTCATTCTCTTTCCTATTCTACCCATACCCTACATTAATTTCTTTTTACTTCGCTTTTATATTAGTTCTTTTTCTTTATAGTTAATTTTTCAACTTGCACTCCATTTTCAGTAAATTGTTTCCCCTAATTGAGTAAGAAATTAAGTTTTTCTTTCTCTTTAATTATATCCATTTTCTAGTTAATTAATAAGAATTAATAGTTCAATAATTGTAAAGAATTTATAGGTGGTTAAGAGCATCCACAATCATGATCTTTATTTTTAAGTTAAAATTTAGCTAAAAATACTAGAAAACTATTTTATGAGTGTAGGGGACTTTTTCTTCCGGCAGCTGTAAATAGGTTAGGCAGCTGTAAAGAGCAGACTGATGAAATTGTCACATTTGTCTGAATTCGAAAATTAAGCCCCAAAAATGCTTCGAAATGGTAGCAGAGCCTTAGGAAGTATTTTGGTTACCTTCACCAGCCAAAACGATAGCAACTTACAAGTAATTTATGCATGCTTATAGATAAACTTTTGAGCTTGGCATGAGAGGTAAGTGGCATGGAAGCAAAATTAGCATGAGTTGAGCACCAAAAAGGAAACATGGCTTCCTAGGGAGAAAGAGGAGTGTTTAAGGTGAGGAAGAAGAGGTTTGCAAGCAGATGTGGCTGAGAAGAGGAAAAGAAAGAACTATGTTCTTCCGGCCGCTTGCCAAAAGAAGAAAATGGGGAAAGAGGGTGAATAGTGCACAATGTTGCTGGGCTTTTGTAGGTAAGAGAGGAAGCTTGCTCTCCAGGTGTGGGTTGTTTTTGTTGGGTAGAAGATGCCTCATTTTATAGGCGCTGGAAACCATCACTTCCCAAGAAACCCTAATGGCTTCTACCCATTTTGGTCAAGCTTTTCCCTTACTTTCTCATCTCCTTCCTTGACTTTCCTTATCTTGGTAACATTTCCTTTGCCTATTTGCACAAAATCATAGATATTTTGGAGCTCAAGGATCCTTTCCAGCGACTGTTTCAGTGGGGGATTTCCATTCCCAGCCATCTTCTTCCTTTCTTTCCTCATCTTTTCTATGGCCAAGGTCTGATGGGGGAAGGAATTGGGGTATGTATGCTGATTCGAAGAGTGCTTCTCTTCCTGGCAGCTTGCACGTTAATATATTTTGGTTTTTCGGGTGTTTTGTGCTTGGAAATTGTTCATTCTCATGTGCTGGAGCCTTCCCGTAGCTCTGCATAGGTGGACACTTTGCTCCCTACGTGGCTTATGTTTCTTTTAGCAAAAGGGCTTATGCTTTTGCTGCTTCTTACCTCCAATTGTGTGGGCCTTTAAAGTAACAAATCAACCTTCCAAACAAATGGGCTATCTTCATCTAACATTGGGCTATATGGGTTAATTTTAGTGGATCATTTTGGTTGGGCTTTTTGGTTGGGCTATTTTGGTTGGACTATTTTCCTATTTTGTGCTCACCCATATGTTTGGGCCTAAGAAATGGGCTTGGGTTCCGAGGCTCCCAAGCAACCCGGAACCTCCACTTCTCGGTCCATCAATGGGCTTCATGACAATTTATTACCATCCATACCATAACCCACTCAAGCAAGCCCCAGGCATTCGAGTGGCTTGGGCCCATTTAGGCTTATAACGTGGTTGAGTGTGTAATAATAATTTCCTGCTTGGCATGGCATATCGCTCAGCATGCTTTTAATTATTATGCTTGACAAGATAATTAGAATGGATTTGCAAAGATAATGCATTTTATAATCTTAATCTCGATTCCTAGCATGACGGATTATTTATTTGGCATGGCGCGTGGAGTGTGACTCGTGCATGGCGGACTTTTGTGTGCTCCAAGTTAGGTTTTTTCTCAATAAGATATTGCGCTGGGCCGAGAATTCATTTGGGTCAAGCCATGGATTTTTTGGGCCTCAACAATGAGCTCTCTATAAAATTAAACTCCAACCATACTCCCTAATTTAAAGAGTCATAAATATTTTAATATTTTTAATTCATTTTTTGAAAAAAGTGCAAACACAAAAGCAACAATAAAAAATAGTTGGTATTAAATAAATACTTAAAATAATATTAAATATAGAAGCATTTAATAATAGGGAGTTACTATGAGTCATTTCTCTCTCCTCATATTTAGGAGCTCCTAGAGGTCTCTCTATTTTAGGAGTTGGATAGGAAGCATGGTTGGAGATAGGGATGGGCATTCAAACCGGTAACCCAGTCAAACTGCCCAAACCCAAACTGACGGTTTGGGTTGGTTTGGTTTTTTTTCAATCTTTTTTTGGTCATCAGTTTGAACCCAAACCAAACTGAAATATATGGTTCGGTGTACAGTTTGCAATATTCAAAACCACGATTTAACCAAACCAAATCGATGGTATTAAAAAATATTATATATAATATTATTATAAGAAAGAAAGAAAGAAATATATATTGCATAGTTTCAATCTTTTCTTTTTCTTCTCTTTTCATCTCACCGTTTGTCTTGTCTCCATCAGTCCCTCTCTCTCTATTTTTTTTCTCATTCTTCTTACGTCTGTCTTCACTCCCTCTCCTCGTCTCCCTCTTTTTTTTTCCTTCTTCTTCTCTCTCTCTCTTCCTTTTCTCTTCTTCTTCTCCATCTCTCCCTTTTTTTTTCTTCTTCTCCTCTCCATCTCTCCCTCTCTCCATCGCTTTTATTTCTTCTTGTTCTTCTTCTCTCTCTCTCTCTCTCTCTAAGAAAGCCAAAAAACCCACCGAACCAAACCAACCCACCAAGTTCGGTTAACCGAAATGGTCGGTTTTCATCAATTATGGTTTGATTTCGGTTTCCAAAATAGCCACACTGAGGCCTACGATTTGGTGTTCTAGTTGAGCCCAAAACCAAACCAACCCAAATCGAGCCCACCCCTAGTTGGAGGTGAGTTTTTTCAATTCCTTCCAAAATTTTAGCTAAAGATGTGGTTTATGGAGCTCATTGTGAATGCTCTAAATGCTTTACCTCCACACTTGAAGTTTTAGGTTCGATTCCTCTCTCCTCAATATTGTTTCTATCATAAAAGAATGACTTAATTGCTACAGTGCACCCTAAAACATTGGTCAATTCTCACTTTACCACCTTAAAGTTAAAATGACCCATTTTGCCTCCTTGACCGATGTTTTACGTCTCACTTTGCCCCTCACCGTCAAGTCTGTTAAAAAAAGATGACGTGGCACCAATAGGACCCACTATTTGACTAAACTAAGTGCCAGGTGTGAAGAAAAAAAATTAAAAATTAAAAAAATTATGGATTTAAGGCTTTGACCTCACCCATCCCCAAGCCACCCTTCCTAGATTTCTTCTCCCTCATTCTCCCCTTCTCTCTCTCCCTTTCCTTTCTCTGTGATCTCCCTCTCCCCTCTGTATTTTCTTCTCCCCAACAACCTAGACTACCCCCAGCATCAGTGGCAACCCAGGCCCCACTCCCACCCTTAACCGAACCTAACCCCCTCTCTCTCAAATGCAAATTCAAAAAAAAAAACAACCACCCAACAAATTAAAAAAAAAAAAAAAAAAAAAAATTCATTGTTTTGTTGTTTTGTGCTTGAAGGTCTGCAACCAAATTTGATGGCTTCCGAATTCAGTGAGATGGAGATGGTGGGTTGTAGCTGCTGGAGGTTTGAGAGAAAGAGAGGCCAGGGCTCATCTGGGTTGTCGACGACTGTGCGGAGGGTTAGGGCTGCTGGGTTTAAGGGCTAGGGGTGGGAGTGGGGCTTGGGTTGCGGCTGGAAGTGGGGGTGGTCTGAGTTCTATACAGCCCATGTTTCTAAAATTGGTGTAACATATTAGAGCCTTGACATGCATACAAAGATGAATTGAATCTTTGTTTTGTCTTGCTAAAAGTGGAAGATGTTGGATTGAGGCAGAGATGTGGCACTTAGTTGAATCTTTGTTTTGTCTAATCTTTATTTTGTCTTGCTAAAAGTTGAATCTTTGTTTTAATTTTTAAATTTTTTTTTCACACATGGCACTTAGTTTAGCCAAATAGTGGGTCCCATTGGTGCCACATAAGCTTTTTTAACAGAATTTTTAACAGACTTGACGATAAGGGCATAGTGAGACACAAAATAACAGTCAATTGGATAAAGTGGGTCACTTTAACTTTAAGGGGGTAAAGTGAGAATTAATCAATATTTCATAGGGCACTTTAAGCCTAAAAGAAAAAGTTCAACAATTGAGGTATCCATTTTCCAGACTTGCTATTTGCACGAGCCAATAGAAGAAAGCCACTATTTTCTATAGAACTTTTCAAAACTTTTTGAACGTAATTGAATTCAATCTTGTTGTCGTTTTTTATTTTTCCCTCCAAACTATTTTTCAAATAATTGCATATTTTGTCTTATTAACAAGAATTCCCCAACTAGTGCTGCCCATCTCTGATCCCAACCCCAATCTCCGCCGTGGATCAACGGACCCCACTTATTTTCATTTACCATTTTGCAATCGCCCCCCTCCATAGATGGTTTTAATTTCAAATATTGATTTTTCTGTTTCTGGGCAATTTTATTTCATATTTTTATATCTGCATACTTTGATAGAAGTCGGGCTTACAAGGATATATGGATATATGGATATACGAAAACAATCATGTTTTTATTTTAGATACAATCTGAATCATTGACATTTTCTCAAAAGTATGATATTACATGAACATCCTACTAGAAGCTATTTAAAGGAGTGCTATATTTCTTGTAAATTTCTCACCAACTCCTGTGTTATCTTACCACACAAAATAGGAGCCTCACCAATTTCTTCAATTCGAACTGACGATAGATATCTAACTTCAGGGAGCACAACACGCTGGCTATTTTTTCTTTCCAACCTCTCATATAGCTCATCAATTGGGTCCTTGAAATGTACAAGTCGCACAGTGTATGTTTGTCCTTGAGTTATGACAACATTCTTTTTATATTCTTCATCAAACTGTCTTTGGAATCCTTCATGCACTTTCACATTAATGTCATGTGTATAATTGTAATCAAGCTTGTCAAAGAGAAAGAACAATGATTTGGAAAGATAACTAGCCAAGGCATCATAATGATAGAGAAGCGCTCTCAAAACTGGTCGGTTATATACTATTTCATAACCTCCTTGTTTTAATACCTCAAATACGCGTACATATCCACCGCTAGATTCATCAAAAAGGGTTGCATATAATAAAGCCCTTATCACATGTTGTAATAGTTCATTTGAAACCTGGACTTCCAAATTGCAACCATCCAAGTATTTCGAGGCATGTGAAGCACCACTTCCATTCACAAATCCTGTGCATTGATTGGATTTGGTTTTCACCCTCACTCCAGAATGCCTAACTCTACATACGAAAGGATCTTTACCTACACCGTTCCATCCAACCTTCCATCCAGACATGAGAGTAGACGCCTCGAATTCCTTCAAATTATTTTTTCTTTCCCATCTTTTAATGAAATTATAGGCTTTTACCGATGCATCATGGATGCCATTAATTATTTTCCCCTTATGACGATAATGTTCCTCCACATGTTCTAACATTTTTTTGCAACTGATGGTATTTCCCTCTCTAGTGGCAAATACATTGCAATGCTCCATATGCATATATTTGTTTGAATCATCATTTTTTATAAATCCTTTGCATGTGGTCCTCGAATCGACACCAACATATATTGTTCCACAACCATTAGAGATATAAGCGATGTTTGTTGTGCCCCATCCCTCCTCCTAGTAACAATTTGAAACTTATTACTTAAAAAAGATAAGAAAAAAAGAATGAGGCATGAACTTTATTACTTAAAAAAAAATTAAGAAAATAGAACAACCAAAGGAGAATACAGATGAAGCAACATAAACATAAAACAAATTAATGAACTAATATGGGAATAAGAAACATACAATAGATGAATAAACTAAAGGAGAGGAAACATAAAGAGTCAACTTTTAAACAGATCTCATACATGGACAGGACTTGAACAAAAAATAAGCAAACTACACAACTTACTTCTTCCTCAGCCCAATCTCTCTCCAAGATCTTCACAGCCTTCTCATAAATCTCACTGTTATCATGTGTCTGCAGATTATCAATCTTATCCAAACCTTCACATTCATCGACCAGTTGTGCATAAAGATTGATCCCGTCATTCATTCCCATTTCTTTGTCTGCCTCACCCACCTTCAGAATGTTCTCAGGACCTTCAAGGCACACAGTTATAATCCTTGGATCTGGGCAGATTAGAAGATCACAGAGCGGTTTAATACAACCTCTGGAAGCCAGGTGTCTGCAAGAACATTAATCATGCATGTAAAATATCGGAAGATATAGTATGAACACTATCACATAATCAATCGGCTAGAAGAAACTGAAGTAAAGAACACACTTGAGTAAGGTCATCACTATCAGTGTTTTTCAACATTAGAATGGCAGCCAATATATTGATTTCAAGTTTCCTTTTCTTTTAGGTGAAAAAAAATAATAATAAGGAAGGCCACTGCCACATGTGAATAGTTTGTACAGAGTATAAAAACTTACATCAGAAGGTCCACAAGTCGCTGGCAGACGCCTGCTTCAATCACAGCCTGAATTTTGTCATTTGGACCATCTGAGAGATACGATAGGGCCCAGCAAGCGTCTGTCAAGACTTCTTCATCATTTAAGTAAATAAGTTGTCGAAGAATTGGTAAGTCAGGCTTCACCTGAAACAAAAAACATGCAGATAAGCAAGCAGAAAGGGTATTTATTACAGTGAAGTAAGGCGTCGACCAAAATTAAATTAGGAAGGGATACCAACTGACATTTAACATATATTATTAAGGTTTTAACCAGATAAAACTCTCGAAATCCCCACGAACCTGATCAAATGGTGTTGCTGGCTTGCCACGACAAAAGTTTGATAAAGTCCACGTAGCATTCCCCACCATGGATAACTTGGAATGTTCATTTAATTGAGCTAGCAGTGGCATTAGTGCACCTTGTCCAAGAACAAGATCCCTGCAACTAGGAGAATCACCAGCAACATTTCCTAGAGCCCATACTACCTGTTCAAGAATCAAGAAAGCAAGGATTGTCATCCAGTACAATCAAAACAAATGGAAATTTCTGGCAGTCAAAAGGAAGAGAAACTATGAGTTGTAGAACCAGTAAAACTTAGAACGTAAAGAAGCATATATACCAAAATAATGAGCGGAATACTTTCTGAAACTTATTACTAACTTAAATATCATATTAAAATTGGAATGATTTTCAAACATGCATAACTTAGAATCATTCACAAAGCCCAAATACTTTTTCCCCGTGCTCTGAAGTCAAATTTCTGGAACTTATAACTTATATATCATATTGAAACTGGAAAGTTTTTCATATATGCATCACTCGAAGTACTTAAAAATTCCAAATCCAAAGGCTCAAGAAATATATGTTCTTATAAATGCTTTTCTCAATTCATGACAAGTGAGTATCACAATTTCTTTTCTTGTTTTTCTTTTAACATTTGATGCAAACAATTTAAACTAAGTAGTTGAATTTAAATCCAGAAATCCAAATGCAATTTAACGGAATTTATACCTGTATTTGAATTTTATTCCCAGCTGTGATATTTGAAATTGCCCAACATGCTTCTTTCTTGATGCTCTTTTTGTGATTTTGTGTGAGAAGTTGATGGAGCACTTGTTTATCAATAACAAACTGGAACATATACAGAGGTCACTTTGTTGCTATATATAGCGATGAAAATCAAGGGATTATAAAAAATAAAAATAAAAACATAGAACTGCTGTCCTGCAGGAAGAGCAGATTCGGATGACATTGGGCTCTAAAGGGTAAATACAAATTAGTGTTAATACCTGAGTCTGGGAATCATCACCAGTAACAATGTTTACCACTGTCCGAAGAGCAGGTATAAGAACCGTAGGTGATGGATGACTGTCATAAACAAACCGTAGTGAATAAAAAATCACTGAAGGTGAGTATCCTAAACAACCATGCTAAGATAATATGGACCAGTGAAGGCCACTGCAACATGTGAATAGTTTGTACAGAGTATAAAAACTTACATCAGAAGGTCCACAAGTCGCTGGCAGACGCCTGCTTCAATCACAGTCTGAATTTTGTCATGTGGACCATCTGAGAGATACGATAGGGCCCAGCAAGCGTCTGTCAAGACTTCTTCATCATTTAAGTAAATAAGTTGTCGAAGAATTGGTAAGTCAGGCTTCACCTGAAACAAAAAACATGCAGATAAGCAAGCAGAAAGGGTATTTATTACAGTGAAGTAAGGCGTCGACCAAAATTAAATTAGGAAGGGATACCAACTGACATTTAACATATATTATTAAGGTTTTAACCAGATAAAACTCTCGAAATCCCCACGAACCTGATCAAATGGTGTTGCTGGCTTGCCACGACAAAAGTTTGATAAAGTCCACGTAGCATTCCCCACCATGGATAACTTGGAATGTTCATTTAATTGAGCTAGCAGTGGCATTAGTGCACCTTGTCCAAGAACAAGATCCCTGCAACTAGGAGAATCACCAGCACCTTGTCCAAGAACAAGATCCCTGCAACTAGGAGAATCACCAGCAACATTTCCTAGAGCCCATACTACCTGTTCAAGAATCAAGAAAGCAAGGATTGTAATCCAGTACAATCAAACAAATGGAAATTTCTGGCAGTCAAAAGGAAGAGAAACTATGAGTTGTAGAACCAGTAAAACTTAGAACGTAATTCTGAAACTTATTACTAACTTACATATCATATTGAAATTGGAAACTATCGATTCAACATAAAGCAAACTATCGATTCAACATCCCTTATAATCAATTTCTTATAAAACGGTAATTATCATTTTTAATTCCGTTCCCTTTCCTTCACTTTCTCAGCAACCAAGCACATCCATACAAACTAATCCCACAACAATTCAAACCAAAAAATCAAACGAACACAAAGTATTACCAAGAAGATTTTAAAATAAAATAAAGAAGTAGTACCGTCTTCTGGAAAACGACGGTAGTTTGGGTGCCATCAAGCAGTTGCTGCTGGGACGGAGCCAAGCCTTCCCTTCTCTTCTTGAGCAAATTGTCCTCGCGCTTGTTCTTCCTGATCTCCACTCCAGTCTTGTACGATTTCTTGCGCACAACGGTGGTTGTGCTCGGGCGAAGAGACATTGCCTTCTGATTTAGATTTTGGTTTCCAGTTCTCTGAAATAACGCTTGCAAAATGTTTGATGAAATTGCAGCGAAGAAATGAATTCAGTTTTCGGGGTAGGGGGAATATATAGGCGTGTTTGGGGTTTGGGCGGGATCGTATGTTCAGCCGCCCGTTCAATAACAAATGACGTAGTAATTTTCTTTTTTCCTGTTGGGATAGCTTTCTTTACCAAACTAGAAAAATAAATAACAAATGACGTAATTATACCAGCTGGCATTGCTAATTGGTACTACGGTCCAATAAAATTCGGACATGTGTACAACTTATACACACACAATTCACCCTGAACTCGAACCCAAACCCAAATCGCCCGAATCGCCCGTCGTTTTTTCTCTCACAGCCATGGACAACGTCTCATCTTTGGAGTTGGCAGTGAGCTAGACCCGTTGGCAATGTTTAGTTTAGTTTAGGTTTGGGGGTGTAGAATTGAAATTTTTATGCGTGTTTCTGTTCGTTTTAGCATTCTCGTTTTCGGCTCTCTGTTTTTTCCTGCTGAATCCAATCGTATCAAGATCTTCAAAATCTGACTTTTCGTTTGGAAGTTATGATCAAATCTTCACTCAGGGGTCGGGTATGTTGAATAGAAGATAATGATTGGAATTTGGAGAAGGCATATTGGTGCAAATCCTATTAAGAGGATACAACAAAGAGCTTCTTGATTACAAAAATAAGGGAAAGGGGGATGGGGGACACATTTTCAAATCCTGTCTGAAGCTGCTTCACCACCAAAAATACAAGGCCGCTAAAATTCTAGTTCTTCAGGGAGCAACACATTTACAAAATATATACAAAAAGACAGCATAATAACATAGTTAATGCAGAAAACCTGTCATTGTAGTATATGTACAAGATCCACCCTCCCCTCAATATAAAGCATCTTTCATTTCAAAAACCACCCCAACTGAAGCTCTTGAGTTCCTTTTGCTCATTGAACCACATCATTGACTCCAGTCAACCCATTCTCTGAGGTCTTCTTCTGGCAAGTCAATATTTTCTCCTCATCAGCAGCCACTTCTTGAGCCACTCTTCTTTCCCTTACCTTCTTACTTGCCTCAATGTATGGCTGTAAGGAAAACAAATAAACCATATTAACATCCAGAGGGTGAACTTCAGTTCAGTTGAACAAGTTTGCTATAGTAAGGTCAGGGCTGCATACCATAAAGCATGTAAAAGGAATACAACTAAGTGGCCAAACATAATTATAGACCATGTACAAATTTGAGTAAGCAATGTCTAAACAACCAAGAAAGAAATCTAGGTGTAACTCTACCTGTTTCTCACTCGCAGAGAGGGACTTCCATGCGTTGTCTACCATGTATCGGACATTTTGACCCTTCACTTTCCCTGAATCAGTACTTTTCAACCGCTCACATTCTATCTTGAGGAAGATATGATATGCACTTTGTGCCCCTCGTGGAGCACCGACACGTTTCTTCATCTCTTTGTTCTTTGAGCGCAGCTGGGGAAACTGCTTTTGTTCGGCAGATGTAGAACCTAATGAAATTTGCAATACAAAGGGGTTCTGAGTAAGTTATGACTCAAATTTGCAGATGTAAGTGTAAAGTTTGAGAATTGAGTGAATTGTATTGAATCTCAGACTATGTACTTCAAACCTTTACAACTTTATAAAAATGGAAAGAATAAATCTATGCCTAAACTGTAGCTTTTGACAGCAACCACAATATATGCAAATTGATACAGAAATTAATGAAGCCAACCGTTGACATTACAACTCTTTAACAGTAAGACCACCTTTCAAGCCTACTCTATTCCTTCATAAGTTTGATGACCATTCAATGTATGATTGCAACATGCAACGTTTTAGTTTGCTGAATTTAATCTACCAAGTAAGCAAAAGTCACATACCCATCAATGTTAGTTGATAATTCTCTTTGGGCACCATCTTCTTCTCCACAAGAGCATCTTCAAGATTGGGTATCGGAGATGAGTTGTCCCTACAGTTCCCTTCCATTGCTGAGCTATCTCCAGTATTGTAGAAAGCATGACCTGAAATTTTTATCCTAGTGAGGTTTAAGCATCACCTTTATGATATCTAGCTAAAACATGTAGTTTATACCAAGAAAATAAAGGTACTGTATTACAAATTAAGTACCTAAAAACTCTTATGTCCAGGCAAGTAATTAAATGCAAATCCAATTGAAAATATGCACTTCTCTAGAAGGTTATCTCTAGCTATTGTACCTAGAGTCGAAGCAGCTTTCACACGAGGTTCCCTGTAATAGTAAAGCTGTTCATACTGGTAGAGAAAGACTGCATAGAGTTTTAAAAGAGGTTGAGGATCCTGCAGATTCTCCCCATCTAATTTTAGGGCCAGTGCAACTTCACCCCACCTCCCATCTGAGGTAACCTGGAAATTAACCATTACAAATCTCAGTAATCTCTTGTCCTGTAGGGCTATAACTTCATCCCTTTCAATTTTTAAGGTGAAAACCACTTGATCTTATCTTGAATTGATATTCATACAAAGGGTTAAACTAAAGATGCCATTCAAACCCTGGTTTGCATCAGAGTTATACACAGTTTATCCAAATGTGTAAGTTCAGAAATTCAGATAAATGATCACAAGACAGACCTTTTGGATGGTTATAAGGTATCATTCATTTCTTTTTCACTAAAGAAATAGGTAAGAATGAGCAAGTGATAGAAATAAACCTGAATAAATCCTCCTCTTTCAATAACTTCTTTGTAAAATAGATGCAAGTCAAGTGTTGTTTGTCTGAGATCAAAACTGCCCATTGAAAGAAGGATACTCAGATTAATTTTCACATTGAAACAAATCGATCAGAAGAGATCGCCAAGTGAGAATATAAGATAAAATATCTAAACCAGTAATGAGCATTATAATCATATATCATCTTCCTATATATTCCACATGCATAAGTAAACCGAAGCTTGAATCAATCTTTTAAGCATATTTAAGTAGCATAATCAAGCCAACTATGAATTTGACAAGAGTTATCTGAAGTTTTATGCCCAACATATTCAATGGCACTACTGATTTCTGAATTAGAAGGTTCCAACTTGTGAGTGAGCAAAGGTCCAACTTTGCCTCTTGTGAGCAAAGATTTCAACTTTTCTCGTCTTTTTCAAAGATTCTAACTTTGCTTTTCTTTTTTCCCACAACTTTCTCAAAACCACACATGGTATATATGAACAAAAGTTAGTGTTCGAAAAATCCGCCTAGGCGGCCTGGGCGGGTCTGGAGGAGAAAATGCTTGCTTTTCTCCCAAAAATTTTAAAAAGCTTGCTTTTCAACACATTTCAAAAGCTAAAAACATAATGAAATTCCCCTGAAACCCAATTGAACACAGAAACAGAAAATAGAAGAGAAAACCCAGAAGCCCAAAACTCTAAAAGTGAGGAAAACTCACAGAAGGTTCAGCCCAGATGAGTTGTGCAACTTGTTGAGCCTCTGATAGAAACTCTCAATCTCAGAGCTCTCCAACTCCAGCAAGCTTTTCCCATCATCAGGCTCAGAAAGTGTGACATTGGAATTCATAGTAACAAGGCATTGAGAGCCATTTTTCTCAGTCTCTGGCTGGTTCTCAGTAGTCTTCATGTTGGAGAGAGAGAGCTTCACTTCGATGGCTTCACTCTGGTCTTTTTTCTACATTTGTAATCCCGAAAACTAAAGCCATCTGTCTATACATAGACATGCACATTATGCGCATGTTGGTGTTGCTGCAAAATGGATTAGCTGGTGGGTTTACACGTAGCCCCCCCACCCACTGTGGGGTAGATGAAAATGAAATTACCACTGACACAAAGCTGTTCTCTGTCCCAAGGCTGAGTTGTTTAGGATAGTTTAGCCATTCAATCAATTTTAACGTCATTTTTTTTATATAAGGATGATATTGGATTATTGAATAATGGTGAAAAGGTGTAGAATAAGAATGTTGCAGAACACAAGAAACAACAGTCATTTTTCACTATTTTGGTGAAACCATGTTACACCCAAAATATGTACAAATGATTCTTACATGCCACTGAAGTTTGCAGCAAGTGGACTTTGAGGAAGCATCATAAACTAACCAACCCTTAAACACAAGAAAACTACACAGTCATTTCACTAATTGTATTTTTCTGTACAAGCGATTTGACGAGGGGTTTACACAAGCATTCCTGAGTGCATAGGTTTTCATCATTAAAATGCTGCAAAATTTGCAGGGAATGGCTTAAATTTGAAACCGCTGATCCTGCAATGGATCATGGTGGCAATTTTCCATTTTTAAGAATACACGTTACTTTTATTGTGTAATATTAATGTTATTTGATCATATGTATTTATTTTCTACCAAAGTCAACATATTACGCGAGAATCCGTTTATAGAAAAATATATATACATATATTATGGCACGAAATTTATTCCTTTTCTATATTGAATATTTTCTGTACTTGTTCATATTTACTTTTTTTTTCTTTCTGTAACAATATTTTATGCAGCGTCAACTCGAAGAACTTGAAATGTCAATGCATTGGCTTTCCTTTTCTTTCTTTTTTTGGGTTACAACTTACACCAATATGTTAATATGTAGATTTCATCCTCTCAATCTCAGCTTCCAGCTAAGATAAATTAAAATATTATATATATATATATAATATTTTGGGTTAATTAATTACTAACTACACAATAATTTTTTAATTCTATAAAAATCTTCTAAAATAATTTTCTAGCTTTTTTCAGTTAAAATTTAACTTTAAGGCAAGTACGTGTTGTTGGCATGTAATTAAGGACATGATTATTTATATTTATGATCAGTAAGATGTAAAATTAATGGATACATATGAAAAATCCCAATTAACTCTGGAAGATTTTATGGATAACGCGTTGACACGTTATGAGTAGAAATTTTTCTTTCCAATATGAGATTTAGATTAAGTGGTCTGAACCATTTTCATCTTCTATATAAGATGAAAAAATCTCATCATCTTCATATGCCAAGAATACAATACTTCAGGTTCTCATTGCTAATATGCAGTCCCTTGTAGCATCAATCTTGGCTCTCTTCTTTTTGTTGGGTGCATTGGAAGCACGTTATAATCTTCAAGACGACGTCGTCGTAAGCGCCACCATCGTAGTCGATAAGAATGGCCATGGAAATTTTGCCACAGTCCAGCAAGCCATTGATTCCATCCCATCAAATAACTCACAGTGGACTCGTATTCACATCAACCATGCCATCTACGTGTAAGTATACATACAACATATTTTTATTTCTAAGCTGTACTATAAATTCACAGCTCTCTAATGTGCTATTTTTATTACACCAGTGAAAAAGTTGTGGTTCCTAAAGACAAACCCTACATTATTCTCGAAGGAGACCTTGATCACTATCCTGTGATTGAATTTGGAGATGGTGGAAATGTTGTTACAAGTCCTACATTTATAGCACACGCGGATAATTTCATTGCAAAGAATATAATATTCAAGGTAAAGTGTGCTCGTTTAAGCTGAAGTGGTTTGTTCTGTGTCTTAAATATTCACAACTCTCGTAACTCTGTGTCAACAGAATACATACGACCGTATTGACTTCATGGCGGATGTCAATGGGAGGCCTACTACTTGGGCAGTTGCAGCTGCAATCGATGGAGACAAACAAAGTTTTTATCAGTGTAGCTTCCTTAGCGTGCAAGACACATTGAGTGATGCCCGAGGCCGTCACTATTTTTATGAATGCACCATTAAAGGTGCCATAGACTTCATCTTTGGCTCTGGCCAGTCACTTTATGAGGTTAAATCTCCTCAAACTTTTCTCATATTTCTTTTTATTAATTAACATTAATAGAAAAAGAATTCTTATATTGACTCAAATTTGTTTGCAGAAATGCCAAATAGTTTCAGTGACGGACGTGATAGGGTTTCCTGGGTATATCACAGCCAATGGTCGTGGTGGTCCAGACGACCCAGCTGGGTTTGTGTTCAAAGATTGCCATGTATCTGGAACAGGCCCTATAAATCTGGGAAGGGCATATGGCAATCACTCTAGGGTTTTGTTTTCTGGGACATACATGGAAAATATTATTACCCCACAGGGCTGGATGGCTGCATGGAACACTGGCAACGAGTAAGTGTTGTCTTCTGTTTTATAATTTCGTGTTTAATTTTTATTTTCATGATAAACAGTGATTATTTTCAAATTAATTATTTTTGAAATTATGGAACAGGGATTTAATTTCGTACTCGGAAGCAAACTGTAGTGGACCAGGGGCAGATTTGTCCCAACGTGTGACATGGGAGAAGAAGCTATCGGATGAAGAAGTGGAAAGTTTAACAAATGCAGCTAAATTCATAGACCAAGATGGATGGCTAGCAAAGCAGCCAAAATAAAGCCGTTTTATAAAAGCAAAGTTAGAACCATAAAAGGCCCCTGTATGAACTCTAGAAAATCTGATTTGTTATTGCTTTATTCTTATGTACCACATGTTCCCAGATGTAGGATGTAATTTGTTTTTGTTAATGGAATAAAATGCATGTTATCGAGTTTGAATTTCCCGAATCAAAGTAATTTAGAGTAATTTAAATTATCGTTTGTATATTTATACATGGAGATTTATTGTAATTCAAATATTATAGATTCACTAATATGGCACCAATGTAGGAAGGGTGAGCAACCGACCAACTTGGTAGGCCAACCAAGTTACTAGAAATAGAGATTCACCAATATGGCACCAAAAATAAAAGTCAACCATCATAAGTAGACATCAAGAATTGATCTCACTAATATCTCTCAAACCAAAATTTACTTTTTACCTTAAACTTCACTAGCATAAGGGGGTTCGACAAACTTTTATAGATTGATAATATGCTTTTTTTTCTCTTTAAAACATTGGAGACAGAAATACCATTAGAATAAAAGTTAGTTTATATGAAATGATATTTTTTAAATTTTAAATATAAATGTTGGTCTCGTCCTAAATTTTTTAAAAAGAGACTTGAAAATTTCAAGGTAAATCCTAATTTTTCTTTCCTCTCTTAGAAGGAGTTGTGCTTATAACCAAAAGTGACTTGGATTTTTGATAATTGGGGGGTGGGAATATTTTTTTATCTCTCTTAATTTTATCCATCTATCCAATATAGGTACAGAAGAAAAAAAAAAGTAATGAAAGGGGGCCGATAAAAAAAAAAAAAAAAAAAAAAAAAAAAAAAAAAGAGAAGGGAGCTGAAATAAATATAATTACAAATAAAATGAAAGATCAAGTGTGTATGCTTTGCAGGGTCCTCCTCACTCCTCCTTATGTTTCATATTCCAAACCAAATGGTTCATATCCTAATGCGGAAATTTGGAATATCAATATGACACATGGCATGGTATTATTGGTCCACGTAGTTAATTACGTGGCCCAACACTCCCCTCCGACCCCACACAGCCTCATACTCTGACTCGTCAAATTTCAGGGCCACACGATACAGGAAGACCACTTTGAACTGTCCGCTAACCGGCGAGTTCAGGAAACACCAGGCATGGATAAGGCCATGAAACCAATCTAAAACCCACAAAAAATACGTCCAAGAAAAATAATTGAAAATATTGAGTTTCTGTCACCAAAATCCTCGAGCTTTCATGATAACCAGAAAAGTTTAGCCCCCAAAAACCCAACTTCGAGTCGAAGTTGTTCATGGAGTCTGGGCCATTAGTGATTGGCTTCAATTCCGTGAGGCATACTCGAAGCATTAGAAAGATTTTGATTTATCTGCGACAAATTCCTCTCTTCTGAAACACAAACTTAAGAGTTAACCACAAAAAAACTCAACTTTAAGTCTGTTCTTAAACTTTGAGAGGTACCCTTTGTGATTAGCTTGTGTTTTCCGAGCCGAAGTGAGAAATTGAGCACAAGGGTAGCTTAGTTTTGGAGGCTGCATGAGTGGGCAAGAGCCCAACTGGTGTTTGAAGCCTTGGAGCCTGAAGCAACAGAAGCAATGGCTTTGGGCTGTGGTTGCACTGTCCCTCTCTCACAATATTCTCTCTCCTTCAAGTCCTTCAATATATTCTCAGCTTGCCAAGCTTCGTTTCCATCGGCGCCGCCACGGCCTTCCTCTCGAATTTGTTATCGCATCGCTTCTCGCCGATGGTTGAATTTGAACCACATATCTGTGGGTTCTCGTAGGTAAAGCTTGTGTTTTTGGTTTGTTGAGTTTTATATCATTGTTTGCTAAGAAAGTGAAGGAAATAGTATTGGCGCTCTATTGAGTCTAGTGCTCTCTTACGCATTTTAATTGGACTTCAATTCGTAGTCAGAGTTTTAATCGAGTTTATGATAAGCGTGTGTAAGGTTTGTGACTTATATGTTCTTTTGATTGCTAGCTAGAAGTGCAGAAAGTTCGAATTTTGGATTGTCATATATTACTCGGACTTATACTTGATGGTTCTTTTTAGTGTTGTATATAGCACCGTTGAAAGTGTTAAGTCCTAACATTTTAAAGCAATGGCAAAATTGTTATTAAAAAGTGAACATCTTAAAACCTTGAATTCTCAGTTATGAGTTGGAGGAAAGTGAAATGAAATCTGAAGCCATGGTCATGACTTGACAGAACTGCGGAAATGTGATTATTAACCCCTTGTCTTTTCCTGTTGGTTGGGTAACAGATTCAATGGTTTTAGTTCAAGGTGTTCAATAACCAACACCGACTTACACTTCAGCCATGTGGCTACTGAGAATGAGGTCCAGGAAGAAACATCAGCTGCAGAGCCTGATTGCTCAGTCTCAATTGTCAATCTTAATTCTGATATGCTTGAGACTGAATCTTTGAGTTTACTAACTGAAGACACTTATGTAGATAGTCTCCTGACGACACTGCCCGTAAGATTCATGCTGGTCTATGAACCTCTTCTTCTTTTTCATTACCATTAAGCATTACATTACTGTTAGGTCCTGTCACCATTTTTCCCCTTTATTTAGGTTTTATCAAAAGAGGAGCAGCATACCCTTGCAGCTACTCCGGCCCATCCAATGGGATTATATGGTAATGTGTCTTTTCTAAGATGTCTTTTATGTGTCATTTGAATTATAAAATAGTTGATGTGGGTGATTTTGAATCCTTGAGGTGATTTCTGACCTGGAGAACATAATTTTTCAGCTTTGTATGCTAGTTGTCTAGCTGGGAATTTAGTGGAGCAACTTTGGAATTTTGCTTGGCCCTCTGCTATCGCATTGATATATCCAAGCCTTCTACCAGTAGCATTCATGGGTTTCTTTAGTAAGGTTGCTATTGAGATAAATTAAGTATGTAGGACAAAACGGAAGGAAACTATACTTTCTAACTAGCTCAATTTCTTTTAAAACAGCTTGCAATAATTGCTGGAGGCCCTTTAGTTGGCACACTTATGGATCATTTTCCCAGAGTACCTGCGTATAACTGTCTTAATATTATCCAGGTGAGTAGTTTAATTTGCATTTTACCCAAAGATATATGCAAGACAATTCTTCCAAACTTTTGACTTCAAACCTTTTCTTTCTCTCAGGCAACTGCTCAGTTGTTATCTGCAGCAATGATAATTCATGCACATTCTGTTCCTCCTTCTGTGTCATCCCTCCTTCTCCGCCCTTGGTTCATTGTACTTGTGCTAGCTGGGGCTGTAGAGAGGCTATCTGGTGTAGCATTGGGGGTTGCTATGGAGCGTGATTGGGTGGTGCTGGTACTGCTATTTTGAGGTTTCATTGTTCCATTAGGGCACTCACCTACACATGCATGCACACATAGTTTTTCACTTCCAATATGTCATTGTCCTAAACTAGAATTTCCGTGTAAACAGTTGGCAGGAGTTAACAGGCCTATTGCACTTGCACAAGCAAATGCCATTCTTAATCGAATTGATCTTCTCTGTGAGGTATTTTCTAATCTATAGTTCATTTTTTCTTTTGCAATATCTCCATGGATTTTTCGTATGTTGTTCATTTTGAATTATTTGCCCTTTTATTTGAAATCTGATATGCAAATATTCCTTAAATTGAATACAGAATATAGTTATTCTACATAAAACCCACTGAATGAATTGTTGTGATAGATGATAGTTAGGTGTTTGTTGAAGAAAAAAAGGTGATAATTTATAGGAAAGCTTGAGTCTTATAACCTTTTACTCATTACAGATAGCTGGAGCATCACTATTTGGCATTCTTCTCTCTAAGTATGACCCGGTAACATGCTTGAAGTTTGCCGGAGGTTTAATGGTGTGGTCGTTGCCTTTTGCAGTAATTTCTCTTCTCCTTGCTCACTTTGACTTTTCTGCTTGAAGAAATTTCGCTTTCATTGTTGACAATAAATTTCCATTTGTTAGATTGTTCTCACGTGCTTAACCAACAAGCTTTCTAGTGGGGTTCTTGACCGCCCTAAATGTTCACAAACCTGTTGTAAAGCATCCACTGAAGGACCCCTGATTGATACCAACGATATATGTAAGCTTGATGCTTCTATCTTATATATTAAGTAAATCTGACAACTGCTTTTGCGATAAACTTTACTGACTGGTTCCATTTTCTGGACAATCAGTGGATAAAGGTGTGGCAGCTATTAAACTTGGATGGAAGGAATACTTGCAGCAACCAGTTCTTCCTGCAAGCCTAGCCTATGTGTTGCTTTATTTTAATGTTGTACTCACTCCAGGCAGTTTGATGACAGCATATCTAACACAAAGTGGTATTTGTCATACTTTTTCGCCTTTTATATGCATATTTCAGGAAAGACCTTCATTTTCAATAAATTCAAGCCCCAGGTTCTGAGGGCATGCTATAGCTCGGCCAAAAAGTATCTCATCAACATGCATTTAAGAGTAAACATTATGCACATTAAAGGGCTTTCTAGCAGTTAGTAGTCAGTGACCCTACTGATTCATGCATATAGGTTGTTACATCCATGGTGTTGGGTACACTTGTTTCTTTTGGCTTATCAAGAGATAAAGTGTTGTCTTTAACCTATAGGAAAAACAAGGGGATTCAGTGATCATACTTTGGCATGATTCGTGAAACCCAATTCTAACTCCAAGATATCGTGGCATTGTTTAACAGGTTTAAATCCATCTATCATTGGGGGTTTTAGTGGACTATGTGCTTTTATGGGTGTTGCAGCAACATTTGTGTCTTCATGCCTGGTCAGGCGGCTTGGCATTTTGAAGGTTGCCTAATCTGCTTCATTATTGTGTTACCGTCCATTTTCAATTTGTATTCTGTGTCTACATCTCATGGAATTTCTTTACCAGGCAGGAGCAGCTGGGTTAATATTTCAGGCTTCACTGCTCACCGCAGCTGTTGCTGTTTATTGTAGTAGATCTTCCTCTCAGCAGAGCCCCCTTCTTTTCTTCCTGTGTTTGATTGTAAGAATCATTTATCTATTTCTTATTTTCCTATATGAGATAATAGATTAAACTTGAACTGTAATACTAAAGCTTACAAAGAAAGGACTCAATAGTTCAGAAACAAGATGTGGGGTTGGAAGATTGGCTTCAGCTGTGGTTGTGGTCGGGATGACAGTTGGATGTGAGCAGCTCAAAAAATCATATTAGTGATTTGATTGGACAATGGGACTTATGACATTATGTTGGATTCAAAAGATCACCCACATTATACCAAACATAAAACACAGTTGATGGGCTTTTGTCCATGATTTTCTTACATTTAATTGTATCCTTTATTTTCATCGAGCTCTGATGAACGGCTACCTTTTGCATGCAGGTATTATCAAGGCTGGGACACATGTCCTACGATGTTGTGGCAGTACAGATTCTTCAAACTGGGATACCATCATCCAAAGCAAATATTATTGGGACAACAGAAGTTGCTGTTGCTAGCCTGGCAGAGTTTACAATGTTGGGAGTTGCAATAGTTGTCAATGATGTTTCACATTTCGGCTCTCTAGCCGTGCTGTCACTCCTATCAGTAGTCGGGGCGGCGTGGATGTTCTGTCGTTGGTTGTTGAATCCAACAGATGAACAAAGAACTCTTTTCTCTTTCGATGCTCAGTGTCAATAAGCAAAGTAAGTTTTGTCTTTTTATGCGCTCTCGATTTGATTAATCTTCAAATGTTTTTACATGTCTGTCAAGTCTGAATGAACGATTTTAACATTGCTACTAATCATCTGCAGTTACACTTTCTGAGGCCCTGGTGCAAAGGCTGTTTGATGAAAATCGGAACCAAGATATAGCAAATACCTTTTAGGGCGCCCACATTTTTCTATTGATAGAGGCATATGTTGGCTGTAGTGTAGGGTCCGTGACACGCCTTTGTATCTTATCATATCATATATATAATATATATGGACTTCAACGAGCTCAACTTTGTACATACATTTTGAAACATTTGTAAATCATTGATTTATTCAAAATCTTTTTCCTGGAGATCATGCTCCAATTCGAGCCAAATGTCCTCACATGTTTGCTGGGATATTGTGGTGAATTTGAATCAGATTCTTTCTGAAGCTCAGTCATTTGTGAAACAATGGAAGTAGAATGAAGGTAGCTTCTTTTGAAGCCATGAAAGCAGAAACAAGGTGAAAAGTTACAGGCAGGCCTTTTCTTTTGGGGTCAACACAGGCAGGCCATTAAAGCAGCAAAAGTTACACAATCTAATGGTGTTGGTTGCGTGATCAGAGAATTGGAACTTATTCCAGGTTGACTATAACAAAGATGAGAAAAAGCTGTGGTATTTATTTTTCATCTGCAATAACAAATAACAATATCATTGGGTAAAGCTGCAATGGGGTTGGGCTCTGCTTAAAGCTTGTAAATTCTCTCCCTCCAAAAACAACTTTGTTGGACAACAATGATTTTGATCATTAACCAATAGAAAAGTGCCAAATGGCACTATGGCATCTCTCCTCCTCTTCCTCGTATGGCTAACATAAACTTGATTAACTTATAACTTGAAACATTAAAGCTTAACATCTGCTCTGCTGCGGCGGGCATTGGGTTTTGCATATGAACAGCACGTACCCGTCACGCTTCACCCCTTCTACCAAGAACCTTTTACTATATACCTCACCTCATTAAACTCCCTATATAATTTAAGGTTCAGTGTCCAAACTCTTATGTAACTTTGTGTCACGCCACTTCAATGATTCAGAATGTGCAAAATATTTCCCGTTTCTATTATATTTCCCGTTTAATCATTTGAAGTGCAAATTTTTTGTGAAGATAAATACTTTTCCACTAAGTCGCATTCTTCCAATTCTTCATCTTCTTTAATAAGTAACATGACGTGAGAAATAGAAAGAATGATACACGGAGTATGAAATTTAATAAATCAGCTTAATGCCATGAAAGTGAAAGAGTTTGACTAGTTAATTATTGGTGCTGCAAAACAGTTTTTTGAATGCATTGGCACCAACAAAGTAAATGCGTATTTACTTTGAAAAGATAGATGTCATTCACAATTTCATTTCAATTTCACTTCTCTTAAATAATTGACTTCGCCAAACAATTCATTTATTTTATTTAAAAATATATATAATTAAGAAGAAAAAAAGAATATAAAAAATAGAAGTTCAAGTTACAAAGCAATGAGAGTGAGTCACGTGAATCAAGGCAAGGCAAGGCAGAGAGTGAGGCAGTGGCTACCGCCATCCCCTAAATATCACGTCCCCGTGTTTGTCGCGTGTATTCTACGTTTCTCTTTCTCCTCTCCTTCTCCTCCTTCTCTTCCTCCTCCTGCTGCTGTCAACATTACGTTGGTAAGAGCTCCCTTCTCTTTTCTCTCTCGCGATTTATCATCTCATCTCATCTCATCTCACTCATGCTATCAAATTACAGAAAATAATAATATTTATTCATTGTTACTATATTATTATCTCTTTTGTCCACTGTCATTGTTACTTTTCTGAACAGTTGTGAATCCTAGTTTTTGCAGAGACCAAAAACAGCTTAAAGAGTTGCAGGTGAACTTTTTAGGCGTAAACCAAGTATGGAATTATCGATAGTTATCAATATTTTATCATTAATGAAATTTATCAACATGTTATCGATACATTTTTAATAATGTTACTGTTATACCGATGCACACTCGTGTCATGCATAGACAATATTGATATTATTATTGTAGGTAACAGCTACAGTAATCTCATTATTTAAAAAACAGGTAGACTTTAATATTGTAAATCATGAGACTTTAATTTAAGATATTTGCAAGAAAGGAACCTCATTTCAAGGTAGAAGAAGAAAAATATAATGCTTACAAAAAGGACAAGAAGCCTTTAAGAAAGTTAGGATTTTTGCAAGTTACATGTATTTTAACACTTGAAATATGAGTTTACTATTTGTCTCAAAATCACTCCTTTACTATTAAATTGACTAGACAAGAGATTAAAACAGTGAATTTCAAGAATCGATATTCTTTTTATTTGTTGAGAAAAAGTCAAAAGTTTGGCTCAAGTCACGATAGATTGGTAGTAGTAGGCAGGCAGCTACTAATACTATGCAGCTCAAAGCAAAGTTATATACATATCTATCTGAAATGGGGGAGAAATTCAATTCAAACTGATATATATATAGACATCAATTTTCAAGAAAACACCCAAACCTTTTTTAGGTAAACCAACAGCATCCCATTTCCCAAAACCAAAAAAGAATTTCCATAAACACAAAGACCCACACTTGCCCCAAAGACCCTTGAGATGAGACATTTCTAGATGGACACCTTGAAAATTGTATAATTTATGTGTGAGGAGAGAGAGAGAGAGAGAGAGAGAGAGAGAGAGAGATCCCCTCCCATCAATCCCAATATCATATCATATCACACTTGGGGGGAAAAAATAAAAAAAAGTAAAAAAGACCATGTGAGTGTTAAAAACAGAAACCAAAACTCCTCCCTTCTCTTCTCCATAACCTATGCTCTCCAGATTACCTCAATAACCCAAACACCTTCACCATCATTTCCCATAACCCCCTGCCCCCACACTCCATCATTTTCAGCTGGACAAAGTGTGAAAAGTGGATGAGACTTGTGGATAAAACAATTACTGAATGGCAAAAAATAAAAGTAACAGTCACATTTCCATGATTTTACATCACTTGTTGGAATTCCTCAAACCCTTATCCTCCAGCCATTAGTATTTCTTTTTGTTGCTTCAACTAATATCAAAAAAGATTAGAAGTAATTAGAGTGTGCAGCAGGGGAAAAAGAAGTGTTCTTTTTTCACCACAAGCTTCTGTTGTTGTTTGTTGCCACAGTGTTCTGGACTTGAAAGCGCCCATCTTTTCATGTCTATTGACACTGATAGTTGATACATCACTTGCCTTGTTCATGTCCTCCTCTTTTTGACCCTTTTATTATTTCTCTCTCCCCCTCTCTATTTTTACATCCTTTTCAAACACTGTGTTCAAGTAATACATACTCTCAAGTCTAGAGAGAGAGAGCGAGAGAGTGATAGAGAGATAATGGGGTCTTTGCCAGTTGAAACAGCAAGGAAGAAGGCAATGTGGCTCTATCCAAAGGTTACGGGATTAAATCCTTCTGAGAGATGGGGGCACTCTGCTTGCTATGCTCGTGGGGTTTTGTATGTTTTTGGGGTATGTTCTAATTTTCTTCCATGAAAATCAAATTTTGTTCATCTTTTCCTTCTTTTTGATAATTTTGAACTGTTTGTCTGTGTTTATATTATGAATTAATTTTACAAATTTGCCAGTCTGATTATAATGCAGAAATGGTTTGCTCTGAGCATTTGTTCTGCTCTTAATTTTTCTTTTTGTGTTGATTTTGTTGATGCATGTTGTATGGCTACCTTACTTCGTTCTTTGGTCAAAAGGAAAGTACTGTTTTTATTTCTTGTTACTGCAATTGGCTGATGACAAACTTGCTTTTTTTTACTGCCTGTTGGTGTTTCCTTATTTCTCCTCTTTTAATCCTTTTGAGAATGCTTTTCCCTGTTTCCTGTGTTTCTCTTATTAGTAGGGCAGGACAGTTATGTGGTAGGTGATAGTTGCCTTCTTGCTTTTCTTGATGTAGTAATTTCCATATTTCTCTTTTGTTTTTTCTTTTAGGTTTTCCTTGTCATAATTAACTTGAAAATTATCCATGTTCTTTAACTATTTTCTTAGTTGTGGGAGTAAAATTTGTGTTTTCCTGTATTAAATTTTCATTTTATTGGGTTTTTTTAGAGCAAATTAAAGCAATAAAGTTGGAGCTCATGCATCAACTGTTTCAAAATCTGAATTCTTTGAGGCATACTTCTTGGATCTTCTACATAATCGACCAAAACGGTGTCATTAGATTACCATAACTAGTTTGTCCTGTTGAATCTTTGTGTTGTGTAACAAAGATGGCAAAACTTCCTTGAACTTGTACTCAGATTGCTGTTTATGGTTTTCATTTCTGTATAGTACAAGGGAAAGCTACAAAATGTTCTTTTTCGGTAATGTGATGCTATGCTACATCGTGATCTCATCCTTTTGTTTTTCCAATTTAGGGATGTTGTGGAGGTATGCATTTCAGTGATGTTCTTATGCTTAATCTTGAAACAATGGTCTGGAACACTCTTGCATCAACTGGTCAAGGGCCTGGTCCTAGAGACAGCCATAGTGCCGTTGTTCTAGGGCACAGGATGATAGTTTTTGGAGGTACAAATGGCTCTAAGAAGGTAAATGATCTTCATATATTGAATCTTGTGACCAAAGAATGGATGCGACCAGAATGTACGGGGACTCCACCTTCACCCCGTGAAAGCCACACTGCCACGCTTGTTGGTGACGAAAAATTAGTGGTATTTGGGGGTAGTGGAGAAGGTAAAGGAAATTACTTGAACGATCTTCATGTTCTAGACCTTAATACCATGAGATGGACTTCCCCTGAGGTGAAGAGTGATATTCCTGTTCCTAGAGATAGTCATAGTTCTCTTGCAATAGGAAAGAAGCTTCTTGTGTATGGTGGAGACCGTGGTGATAGGTATTATGGCGGCGTTGATGTGTTTGACATGGACACACTGACTTGGTCAAGGGTATGGTTTTCCCCTTATTATGTCAGAATTTCAATGTTAAATGATATATGAAATGTTCATACTTCTTACTGATTTTTGTACAAATTAAGTGAAATGGAGGTTCTGTGATTGTTTTGCAACAGTTGGCTGTTCAAGGATCTTCACCTGGTGCCAGGGCTGGCCATGCAGCTGTGAGTGTCGGGACAAAGGCAAGTAATTTTACCAATATGTACAAATTAGAAAGGCATAGAACATATGGGCACTGCATGAAAATTGAACAATTCCATCTTGTTATATTAAAATTCAGGTCTATGTCATTGGAGGGGTTGGAGACAAACATTACTACAATGATGTTTGGGTCCTAGATGTGAGTACTTGTTCATGGACCCAACTTGATATATGCGGCCAACAGCCACAAGGGCGATTCTCTCATACTGCTGTTGTTACAGATTCTGACATCGCTGTCTATGGAGGGTAATTTAGCCATCAAAATTTATGGCTTACTTTGTATAGGTCCCTGTTCATATAGTTTGGTTCCATCATGGTTTTCTGATTTGAAATTGTAGGTGCGGGGAGGACGAGCGCCCTCTGAATGAGTTGCTGGTGTTGCAGCTTGGAGCAGAACACCCCAATGGTCGTTACAATATTTCCATGTGCAAAATTTTCGGAAGCCATTGGAACCAAGAGAGGAGAAGGCTCTCTAAAGGAGCAGATTTTAACACGGTACAAAAGTTACTGTAACAATGCAGTACTTTAGTGCATCCTTTATGTTTCTATAATGAAGAGGAGTGTTTTTGTAAATGCTTGAAGCAGAAAACTATGCTGATGGGGAACCATGTAGTAGTAAGAGAAACAGCTGAACCAGAATCAGAAGCGAAACAATCTCTCCAAAACAAATCAGGTCAGCATATAGTATAACAATTTGTGTTCGTCCCTTTTGGTATACATGAATTCATTGTTAATGATTATACATCCTTAAACATAAATGTAGATAGTACTTTACATCCAAAAAGGAGAAGAACCACCAGTACAAAAGCATGGGACGTCGAGTCAGAACAAGAGGAGCATTCTCTATCACTCTCCCAGCATTCATCACCATCACACTCTGACCAAGAACAGACACCAAATCCTAGAATAGTTGATTCAGCCCCAGGTTCTCAAGGTTTTAATTTGTTTAAGAAAAAAATTCAGAGTCCAAAAAATAGCCAATCTCCCAATGCTTTAAGTAACTGTAAAGATCTTAGAAATTCTGTTCAAAAATCTCCAAACCTTAACTTGTTAGGAGATCATCAAACCGAACTAAAACGGGAACAGCATCCTCATGTCAGCACTGGCAGACCAATTATGCAATATCCAGCTGTAGAGCAGAAAACTTATGAGGCAGTGCCTGTTCAGAACCTGGTATGCATTTCTTTAACTTCACCTTCTTTTGTTTGGTGGCAATTTGACATAATTGCTACTCCTGTTTGTTATGATTCAGCTTTTTATTGGTTCTCTTTCTCCTTAGATCGGCGCCGAGGTTCAAGGCAAAGTTGATGGAGCATTTGACTCAGGTTTCTTAATGACAGCAACTGTTAATGGAAGGCTATATAGAGGGGTCTTGTTTGCACCAGTAAGCTCTCAAAATTTGACTGCACATAATACATAATGTTTGAAATTTTGCAAAGCATGTCTAAAAACTTATTTGTGCAACTTAATGTGTTAACCAGGGAGCTGGGATCATCTCAAGAGTGCCAACTGTTGCACAAAGCACTTCATCTTCAACAAGCCAAATCCCCATTGCCATTGCCCAACCATTCCCAAACCCGAATCGCACAGAGCCACCCTTGAAGCTATCCGAGCAGCCAATGAAGAATTCCATGCCAGGGTCAGGTTTAGGCCTCAGGCAACCTCAGGTGGCTCGACCATTTTCGGTCATTCGAGCCACTTCATCCTTAGCCAAAGAAAACAACCTTAGAAGTGATCTTCCTGGTGTGTTTTTGTCACTTGGAGGACCAGGAAGTGGTTCTGGTGGATCTTAGAAGCTCCTATATTGGATGAGAACTTATTCCTTGCTCCTTTTTAGAAATTTTGTAATTTTACACAGCTAGGTTATCTTTGTTAAGTTCTATGTCATCAGTTGATTCTTTGTATCAAATGATGATCGACTGGTAACTTGGTAGGTATTCTGATTAATTAATTAATTAATTAATTACCCAAAATTACTATATTCTTCAAATCTTTATTTGCACATATTTTCTTATGGAAACGAATGGTATGCCACAATTTTTTTTATTATATTATTATTATTATTATTATTTATGGGCTCTGAAATTTAATTTAAAATGAAAAAGGAAAAAAGGAAAAAAAAAAAAAAAAAAAAAACAAACAAAAAAAAAAAAAAAAAAAAAAAAAAAAAACAAAAAAAAAAAAAATTAAAATAAAAAAGAAAGTTGATTTGATAACGTGGGGTGCACAAAAAGAGCACCCGCGCATCGCGCGCTACTGTCGTGTATGTGATATCTGAAGGAAAGAGGGCCACAGGGTCGCTGTCAACCGTCGGATCTGTCTACCACGTCGCCCCACCATGGCTCCTTTATGATTGACTGATTGATTGTTGTTATATGTAGTCAGAGGGGTCACTCTAACGTCCCCATCTTGTCACGCATCTATCTGTCACTGGCGGTGGTTACGTCATCCACGTACCACACTTCGCTCTCTGACCTGTCGGTCATCGGATGCCCTATCATCCTCATTTCATTTCTACTCTCACTCACACGCTCACACTCCTTGGGTGGGTCCCACGTCACCACCAAACGTGGGACCATACTCTTTAACCGTACGTGTCAACCAGAGTCTGGTCTGTGATTACTGACTTGGATTAATGTTTCATTTATTTAAGAAGATTTATATCCATTTTAACCTTAAAATTTCTAAAGATAAAACATATGAATTATGCTAAGTTCATGCCTTTTGTGGAAAATGTCTTCTATGAAATAGGAATATCACTATTTTGCTATCTTCGCCAATAACACTATGATACACGTGATAGCATTTTCACATGTCATATCACTATTGGTCGTAAATAACAAAAGAATGTTATTTACGTTGAAACCAAGTTTTTTTCTATTTATGGCACTCATGTGCATTAATGGGGTATTTAAATGCATGGGTAGCTTACAATTCTACAATAGTTCACAATTGATCTTGAGTAGGGTCGAAGCTAAGTGCAGACTTGAGGTTGTCATGCGCCCCATCCTTTATATATATTTGAAAAAATTATGCTAATTGGCCCCTCATATGTACCAGTTTAGCTCCACCCTAACCTAAAAAAGCGGTAAAATCTAACAAAAAGTGTACTGGCCTGCGAAAAAAACACTATGCATTTGAATCAATGTGATATTCATAGCATGATTTTGCAAGCAATCTCTGTCAGTTTCTGTCTCACAAAGTTTTGGAAACAGGTTTGGTTCTTGTCTTCTTTCATTGTCCCTAACCATGTGGAGATGGTTGTGAGCAAATAATGCTCTTTCCAATCACCAAATAGGTCTTGTAGCTTTCAAGTTATCCTACAGTATTTGCCTTTTTCTTTTTATTTTCTGTGTGAAAGTGAATTCCATCATTGTTCATTTTGACTCTAAACTAAGCTGGAAAAAGAGAAGGATGAATAAATTTTATTTATTTTTAGATAGTTATTTTACTTGTGAAAAATAGCAAGGAAAAAAGAAAGATTATAAAAGAGAAGAGAAAGAAAACCTTAAACGGAATGCAGACTAACATACACCAGGGGGTGCATTATTGACTAACCTACGCACTCCCTGACCCAAGACCCGCCCAAACCCAACGGTCCCGAACCCAACCAAAAGTTGACACAGAGAGTGAGAGCTTGACAACAAGAACAGGATAATGGACAAGGCGGTAATAACCCAACAAAAACCCAGCACTAATCAATTTACAACAATGGTGAAAACTTTGGTTCCCTGCGAAGCAAACCCTAATTTTAACTCAGTTCTCCTCTCCATCTCTGGTGCTCCAATCACCTTGCACCACCTATTCAAGAAAACCCAATTCGAATTCTTTAAGTCTGACCTGATCAGGGTCATCTTGTCGGTGATAATCTAAGGGTTCTCTGAGGATTTTCGTTGCCTAGCTTACCCATAAAGGTAAAATCTTTCAATTTGGTATTTTCGTTGAGTTTTTGCAGGTTTGATTTGATTTTCTCATGTGGGTATTTCGATTCTGACTCAATTATTGTGTGATGTTGTGTGGTTTTGCCCAATTATCAGGTTTTTGTTTGTGAATTTTTATTAATCGTAATTTCGTAAGATAAAAAAACGAACTTTTTCCGGTGGTGGATGTAAAGTTCGGATTTTTTGGTTGGTTTGTTTGTAAGGGTCTAGTGCGTGGTATTTCTTGGTTGTTGTAATCGTGGTTTATGTCCGGGTTTGTTCTGAATGTTAATGGGGAATTCAATAAACTTTCAATATACTTCTCTTTTGAGAGCTCTGGAAGATTGATTTCTGTTGTTTAGTTTGATTTAAATTCTGGTCTCTGAGCCAGGTTTCGATAATCTACCTTGATTTTTGAATTTTTATGGTTGTTTTTCCAGTGGAAGCATTATTATTTATTTGGCGCCAATATGCTTTCTGATGATACTTATATAATGCTCTATTACAAATTTCTTTTTTTGTTACAATATGTGCATGTATTGGTTTCCAAGATTTATGGTGTTAATTGAATATTTCCGTAGTATCCATTGCTTTGAACATATTGTGTATGACATTTACACTGACTGCTTATTTGTTGCTCGTGACTTTCTCAGCTCTCTTTGTGGGCAAATATAGGCAGCGCTAGGATTGTTTTTAGCCGTGATTACGATGGAGGGTTTTGGAGGCTTGGGATTCAATGATGTAACCAATGCTGTGAGGAAGAAAAGGAGTAACACATCTCGTCGTCCTCGGAATGAGTCACCGCTCCCTTTCGATAATCGAGATACCATGTCATCAACGCCTCCTTCAGAAGATGTAAGCAAATTGTCAAGTGATGATAATAACGATTATGGTTCAATTACTCAAAAGAGGGATATCAATCTGAACCTATGCAGTGCAAGGGCTTCATTTAGTAACATTATTGAAGCTGAATCTGCCCAGAATATGAATAAAAGTGAAGGAGGAGGATCTGGAGAATCTGATGAAGCTTCCAATGATGGTTCTTTTCGAGGCAGTAATGACCATAGGCATAGGGAGATTGATTCACAAAGGTCCAGCAAGGGTGCCCTTGCACCTGCTAATTGGAAAGGTACAAACAAGGTTGGTCCTTTTGGAGTTGTTTCAGATTGCTCAGAGAATGAGAATAAAGTGAAAATGGTTAAGCTTAAAGTTGGTAATGTTACACGCACAATTCAGGCCAAGTCTACATCTGATGGTGCATCTGCTGTTGGGTCGTCTTCTATAAAATCTTCTCATATTTCAGATGCCCCTCGACCACGTCAGAAGTTGATTCTTCAGGTTCAGTCTGCATTGACATATTGTTCCAGATTTTCTAAATTTGATTGTGTGTAACAAATCTTAAAAGTGACAGTAGCGTATAGTATAGACAGCATTTACAGCTTCTGGAAGTCAGATAAGATGGACAGATTCATAACTTAAATAGATTCTCATTTTATCTTCTATTTTCTTGGAAATCCTTTGGTTTTTAGTTAACTTCTTTTTTGCTCATCTGATCACATTCCTTGAGGTTTTGGTTTCCTAGTTTCTCTTCCCTTCTTTTACACAAAAGGGTTTAGTTGTTTAGTTATTAAGTTCATATATATTAAGGATTATGAAGACTACATCTAACTATGTCTATGGTGCAGGAGAACTCAGATGACAATCGTTCCTTTGGTTCAGATAAAGGAAGTGGGTTACGAGGAGTCCCATGGAAGGATTTATCTAAAAGCGTCACTGATGTTGGGAAGGCTGATTCTTCAAGGGTTGGGATGCCTGAAGAACCTGTTCGCAAGAGCAAACGGGTCCCTAAGAGACGCTTGTTGGATGCAGTTGATGATGGAGATGATGATGACGTGGAAGTTCGATACCTTGAAAAACTCAAAACATCTAAGATTACTTCAGATCACAGTGTGGAATACAATGAAGATGAGGAAAGAAAAAGCAGAAAAGAAAGGAAGATTTCAACGGTGATGAAGGGGAGTGGTGTTGGCCAGGTCAGTGTAGATTTGGGAGGTTATGGCATCTCAAAATCAGGCAAGGAGAGTAGGAAGTCTAGAGGAGGAAGAGTATCTGATGATACTGATTATGAAGAAGAGGAAGAACCTGTCTCTGATGGTGAGCCCAGTACTAAGAGGAAAAAATTGAGAAAGGAGTTTGTTGAATCATCCTCATATAATAAGGAGATGACAGTCACTACTCGTCAAAGGGCTCTTAAAACTGGAAATAATGTCGCTTCCAGCTTAGGTGCAAGTCCAATTGAGTTCCCCAACGGGTTGCCCCCTGCTCCACCAAGAAGTGAGTGATAATTGCCTTTATATCATAAGTAACTTCTGTTGAATACATTACGACATCTCTCATGACAGTATTTATGTGTTTACTGATAGAGCAAAAAGAGAAACTCTGTGCACTGGAGCAGCAAATCAAGAAAGCAGAGGCTGCTGAGAGACGTAGGATGCAAGTAGAGAAGGCAGCTAGAGAATCTGAGGTTGACTTGTCTTTTTGTTAGTTTCCTTTTGTCTTCCCTGTGATATGCATATGTGTTAGAAGGAACTTATATATCATTTTCTTTCAAATTTGGCTGCGTCTTAGGCTGAGGCAATCAGAAAGATTTTGGGCCAAGATTCAAGTAGGAAGAAACGAGAAGACAAGATAAAGAAACGACAAGAAGATCTGGCACAGGTAAGAGATGGTGCATAATAGAACCCTTTCTCTGTATATCAAGCAATAGATTCTTGAATAATGGTACATTCATTTCTTTTGCAGGAAAGGGCTGCAAATGCTTTCATACTTCCATCAGATTCTGTTCGATGGGTGATGGGTCCATCAGGATCGATCGTCACTTTCCCTGATGAAATGGGCTTGCCAGCTATATTCGATTCCAAGCCTTGCAGGTATAGTTGCATTTGAAACTCTAGATACTTAAGTTTAAATGATAGTGTAACTTTTGTCCCAAATCTATACAAAGCTCCTATAGCTTCATTAAGTGATGCTTCTCTTGGATCTTGGACAATTCTATATCATCGTGCTTATATCTGAAGCAGCCCTTGATAAGTTCATATTTGGTATTTATGTGGATTTCAGTTACCCTCCTCCTCGTGAGAAGTGCGCGGGGCCATATTGTAGAAATCCATACAAGTACCGTGATTCACAGTCAAAGCTCCCTCTGTGCAGTCTCCAATGCTACAAGGCGATACATGAGAAAACAGCCCCTCTATCTGCCTGTTAATTTGGTGAAATTGACTTTTGCAGAACCTCAGGACATTGGGACAATGCTGCAGCATTTCATATGTACTTTTAATTCAATATATGTAGTATGTACTGTATATATAGATGGAAGTGATACAATTTTTATATACACAACTCATACTTAAACAACTGCCTATTTCATAGAAAATTCGAAGCTTCCATGTCTTGCTTTGACTGTCTCACGCTACCACAAGTTGAGTCTTGGATAATTTTCCTCGTATGCCACTTCTTTTTGTCTGGGAGGAGGATATTAGAAGTTAGAACTGTCAGCTTGAATTCAACAAGTTGTTTAATTTTGAGTTTACAAAATACGAAAATGTTGGAGAAAAACTTACCTATACTTGGAATATCAACGTGGCGCTATCCCGAGACAATCATCCATTGTCATGTGTTTTAACTTTCCAACATAACAATGCAACGTTCTGATATGGCAATGTGTGATAGGCTTGAAATGCCGATACGATGGCATCCCCCGTTATATGTAATAGTTTGAGTTTACACCAAAGTACGAAAATGTAAATAAAATAAGAAAAGCTAGAAATGGCATCGGGCAAAAAAATTCTTGCACACTAATGGATGAGTATCGAAATTATTCCAATGACACGTTAATCGTTTATTAACACATGTGGAATATTTATAAATAAATAAAAAGTGAGTCCTATATTAAAATTCGTGATTCAATATCTAAAAAATAAAAAATTAGATTGATTTGATTCCATTTCTATTCGTTTTCTCCTCAATTCCTGATTTCCTCGATTCATTTAACTTCATCATTCCAAGTAATAAACATGCAAATAATTTTTGTTTCCAATATTAAAGTTTGATTAAAAAGAAAAAATGAAGGATAAAATAGTAACTTGATTACGTTCCTTAGAATTAAGGCTTAATTATGTACATGCCCCCTGTGCTTTCCAACTTATCTCAGATTACCACCTGTGGTGGAAAACGTCTCAAAGTACCCGCCCAACGTGCAAAAAACTGTCTCACGTTACCCTTTCCGTCAGTTTTTTTGAAGTTCCGTTACGAATGTTACTGTTCATCTCCCCCAGAATTCCAGAACAGTAGCCCCTCCCCTTTGTTACTGTTCATCGCTTATTTACCCTCCAAAACTCAGAAATTTCTCCTAACCAACACAACTAGCAGCAAGAACAACTCGAGAGGTTGAAAAATCATACCTGGATCGAAGAAAATGGTGCTCGGAATCGCCCGAACGAGCAATGGAGATTTTGGGTAAAAACCGGCCAATTTCTTGCTTTTTTCGGTGATCCAGACGACGGTTGGCAGCGGCTGAGATGTGAGGGTGGTAGAGGACAACGTGCTGGTTCTTTTGATATCCATGTCGTCGCTTGGGGTGGCCGGAGGAGGCGATGGCAGCCCAAAAACTGGTGCGATGAACAGTAACAAATGGGAGGAGCTGCTGTTCTGGAATTTTGGGGGAGATGAACAGTAACGTTCGTAACGGAACTTCAAAAAAACTGACGGAAAGGGTAACGTGAGACAGTTTTTTGCACGTTGGGGGGTACTTTGAGACGTTTTCCACCACAGGTGGTAATCTAAGATAAGTTGGAAAGCACAGGGGGCATGTACATAATTAAGCCTAGAATTAAACATCCCGAGCGGAGAAAATAAAATAAAAACCCTCACACTCTGTCAGTTCCCTCGTTTCCTTTCAGTCGTTCTTTCTTCCAGAAGCATCGGGTACCCGCGGTCCATGGCCAGAGCTCCAAATAAGCACGGTCGCGATCAAGCTCTGGTATTTCACTTTTATCATTACTTCTTAAACTGATTTTTGTCAGAGATTTACTTTAGAATATGTTTGGAAGATGAGAAAGCTGAGGAAAAACTGAAAAGAAAATGAATTTCAAAACTTACTGGCCCATTGAAAGATTTTTCATTTGAATTCGGAGTTGTAATTAAACGAAGACTTCGATACGTGATTGGGGTTAATGTGTTTGATGTGTACTTGTGAAAAAGTTTCAGATTTTAAGAAAAAGATAAAGAAAAGCTTATGTTTTGTGGTTTTCTTTTTGTGCCTAGTTACGAATATGTTATTAGGTATTTAGTTAATAATTTTAGTCTACTGGGTTTGTATTTTTTCTGTTCGTCCGTTGTTTCCAGGATTTCCAGGGGTTTTTGAGTGACTTGCAGGACTGGGAGCTTTCTCTCAAGGACAAGGACAAAAAAATGAGGCCACAAGATTCACACCAGGAAAAGCTGGTAACTTTGTTACTCTGCTCAGTGTTGCGTGTAGCATGTATACTTTGATGCGTGATTAGCAGTTGCTGGTGAAATTTGTTTATATGCAGCTGATGTTTGCATGTTTGGATATGTTTTGCATGTTGTAATTTCAGAAGACTAGAGATTTAGGAACTAGTTCGGGGAATTATGACTACTCGAGGAATTTAGATTCAATCAATACAATGTCAAGTAGTTTCACTTCAGAAGATAGTCTTCCCGATGCTGCTTCAGAGAAAGAATTGGTAGGAGTTGATTGTGTTCTGCTGTAGTTGTAAATTCAGAATTCAATTATTAAGAGAATTCAATTATTAAGGTTGCTCATAACAACTGGGTCAATCTTGATGCTGATTGTGTTACTGTCTGTTAACTTATAGGGTAATGAGTATTTTAAGCAGAAGAAGTTTAAGGAAGCTATTGACTGCTATTCAAGAAGCATTGCTTTGTCTCCGTCTGCAGTAGCTTATGCAAATAGAGCAATGGCATATATAAAAATCAAAAGGCAAGAGTGCGATCACTCTGTTTTGTTTTAGAGAATGCTTGTATAAACTGTATGAAAATTTTGTTGTTGATTTATTTAGATAACTACATCTATTTATGTACTAAAATTCAAGTTCGAACTTTTGAATTCCGGAAAGTGTTCATATCTCTGTGTTCTTGGTTTACTTTTAAACGGTAAAACAAAAAGGAGTGTGGCATGCTATATGCTTGTGTAAGCTCTTACAGTGTTCTTTTTAACTTATTACCTGAAGCATATATATATTTTCCGTTTTGTTTGTTAGTTTCCGGGAAGCTGAGGATGACTGTACTGAGGCCTTGAATTTGGATGATCGTTATATAAAAGCATACTCACGACGTGCAACGGCTAGAAAAGAACTTGGAAAACTTAAAGAATCAATTGAAGGTTCGTTAAAAGCCAAACTATGACCTTGTTTCCTCATATTATTACATATATGGTTTCTTTTCTGATATTGTAATTGTGATGTGTCTGATGTAACGAATATAGCCAACTGCAGATGCTGAGTTTGCCCTGAGGTTGGAGCCTCAGAACCAAGAAATCAAGAAACAATACACTGAGGCCAAATCTTTGTATGAGAAAGTAAGAAAATTTGTACATGCATCTTTGATGGTGTATATCATGCTCATCTACCAGTTCATTTATATATTAAATTGATTCATTTGAATTGTTAATTCCCAGACAATTCTTCAGAAGGCATCTGGAGCACTGAAAAATTCTGTACAAGAAATGCAGAAAGTGGGAAAGTTGGATACCAAAGTGAATGGACAAAGCATCCAGCCTGTCTCCAGCAGTGCTCAAATAACAGAAATGACTGCAGTTCAAGATCACACTAAGGTGTCAAGAAAAGTGTTTTGTTGCTCCTTTTACTTTATTTTTTGTTGTTGTCATTGAGTTTCTGTTTCTTCTTAAGAACGGGTGAATAAGTAAGATAGACTTGTTTATGAACCTTATTAACTGCGTTTGCCTTTATAGCTTCTTATCAGACTTATATGTTGTGCACTCCTACCATGTTATCTGGACTCAATGGCTTTATCTTCTTATTTACTTTAAACTTTTATTTATTTCTTTTGCATCTGTGTCTATTAGTCTCTTGAACTAGTCTATATTATGATAATTTTGTAGATAAATAACACAACTAGGAAGCAAGAGGTGAAGGCATCGATACAAGAGCTTGCTTCTCGAGCTGCTTCCCGAGTCAAGGCTGTAGCTGCGGAAAATATCACACCACCAAATTCGGCATATCAATTTGAGGTTTCTTGGCGAGGACTTGCTGGAGATAATGCTCGACAGACTAGCCTGTTGAAGGTCTGCAAAAGTATTCATGTGGTTTACTTTAAAAAATAGTCTGCCAAAATGCAAGATTCATATGTTCATTGTCATCCCAAAGTAGGTGACCATGAATGTGTTCTTTTTGCATGGTGGTCATCCGTGTGGTTGACCACTGCAAAGAGTCTATTAGTCTCATCCATTGTCCTCTTTGGATGGTTGCCAGAAGTATACCAGTAATTGCATTTTCAGTCTGCCTATCTGGCTTCTGCATGCTAGGGGCCATCCAAGAAGTTCCCCATTTGTTCTGTCCCTTTTGAACAATTTCAAATGTCCATAAAGGATTGTGAATGCAGTTGGTGTTTCACTCATTCTGACTTTCCATTTATGCTGTTACTTTGTTTCATGTTATTTTTTGTGGTATTTCTATACAGGCTATATCTCCAAGTGCATTGCCGCAGATATTCAAAAATGCTTTGACTGTTCCCATACTTCTTGACATTATCAAGTGTGTGGCAACCTTTTTCATGTAAGTAATGTTTATGTCTGGTATGTATGTTTTTCTTGTTGAGCTTGATAAAATGCTTATGGCCCCACCTTTGATTTATTTCTTTGGCAGTGAAGAAATAGATTTGGCCGTTAATTATTTGGAGAACTTAACCAGGGTTCCAAGATTTGACACACTCATCATGTTTCTTTCATCCTCAGACAATGCTGGTAGGCATGCTTCCATTTGAAATTCCTTGAGATTTTCAAAAGCTTACAGTTGAATTCCTGGATTTCAAATGTTTTTTAAGTAGAGTACACCTATATCAATGTCTTGATTGAATCATTCCATATTCAATGTCTTGTTAGTCATCCTGCCCATTTTTATGGGGTTTATGATTCATATTTTCCGTTAGTTTCATATCCTATACTAACCCAATAACCTTGCAAACAGATCTTGTTAAGATATGGGATGAAGTGTTTGACAATGAGGCAACTCCAATTGAGTATGCCGAGAAGCTTGATAACCTGCATACAAAGTACTGCCCCAAGCGATGACAAAGATCAACAAGTTTCTACCTTACCCTCCACCTCTTGTACTGTAAATTCAAGTTGTAAAATTTTGAAATGCTCCAACACCCCCTTTGAATCTCAAATTATATCGTGGACAACTTTTCTATCCATTTATCGAGATGTTAAAAGTACATTGCAACTTTTACTTCTCTCCTTTTGGACTTGAATACTTTGAACTTGGAACTGTTGGTAAGAATGAGCTTGTGAGCGTCCATGTTTAGGTCGGCTCTTGTTCAGTCATATTCATTGAGGTCCAGAGGTTAATGGTGGCGATAACCTGTTTCTTCATGCCCCACCTATCATTCACCACCTTATTTTTCAGACAACATATGTATATGTTTGCATATTGAGTTGTTTCAAGTCGCAATCAACCAATGTTATGTGGGGGTCATCTAGATTTTGCACTATGCTTTCCACATGGAGATCATGTGTCATTTACAATCACCTGACTCTTTCATGTTAACCCAACTATATTATGCATCAAAAATAAAAACCATAATACAGAAAATAACCCTACATGCGAGTAGATGCTTTGTAATCTTACAGATCAGAGATCATTTTCTGGCAACTCACCCAAACAATGCAAAAACAGAACCAGAATACTGATTGGCTAGGCATATATTATGTGCTGCACACGAAAGACTTCTCTTCGAAGCAAAAACGGTTGGAGAGAGGAGGCTGAACAGAGTTTGTATGGCCAAGCAACTAGCAAAAAGTAAAGACTTCTCTTCTGGGATGGATGAGCAACTAGCTAAGGAGGCGATAAAAGCAGGTAGACCGTTGATCTTGCCTTAATAGTCATGTATATGTTTTGTGATGTACATTTTACAGTGCAGAATGGTCTTCAGATAGTTTTCTGTTTCTTATAGAGGCCTGTCTATTTGCATTAATACCAAGAATTTCCTCAAACTTGAGTGATTGTTCTTAATGCCTAGCTCGTTGCTGCATTTTCAAAACGCCTAGGCGATCGATTTTTCAAACACTTGACTGGCGTTTGCCACTCGTCAAAACATTTGAAAAGTACCCCTAATTTCAGAGTTGGCCAAAGTGACAATTTGGGGCTTCAAGTTTCAACATATTCAAAGCAAATATTGAAAAGAGAGAAATTTCACAATAAATCAATATGAGAGTACAATTTTTTGTTCTTCTTTTTCTTATGGAAATGTTTGTCTTTAATCTACATCGTTCTCTCGAGTGCTGCTAAATTATGCTACTGCACACATTATTTGTCGTAGAGAATTGCATGCTGAGTTGGAGTGGTCTTGGCAATTGCTTCACTTTTCAAACGACACTTTACATGAAGAATACTACCACCTCTTTTACTACTATACCCATAAAACTTTGTTTGAAATTGTTGTTCTAGTTGACAAAGAGATTGCAAAATCACCATCTTGCATTTTTCTTACAACAGGTGAGAAATAATATCAGCCTCTCAATTTCTTTCATAGTTAGTAAAATACGAAACTGGAAAAATATGAATAAAATATGTACGTGTTTTATTCGGCAAAATTTTGGCAAGTTACAGTCGAAAACCACTATATATTATTTTTATTCAATAATATGTGAAAATTATGAGTATAATATGTGAATTTTGTGTGTATTATTGAAAATTTTGTAAAAAAACACGTGTATTAAAAATGAAAAATATGTACGAATGTGTACAATATGTGTATTGTATGTTTGCTTTTTACAAAACGTATATTTTATCGAGTCTTTAAGACGTGTACGGAAAACGGAAGTATTATTGAAAAATACCTAGGTATGTGTATAATACGAGTATTAAACGAGAAAATGCTAAATTCTTTACATGAGTAATAACTTTGGAAAAAGTAAAAAATCAAAAGGGGACAATAGAGACTCTGGTAATGAAGTAATTGTAATGGATAATGCTCTTAACTACTCTTATTGATAAATAAAAAATCAAGAAATTATTTTTTAAATAAAAGGACCCAGCAAAGCCTAGCGGCTATACTCTTTAAATAGTATAGCCGTTCGGTTACTATTTATAAAAAAATATATATAATGAAAAAGTCCCGAGTATAGCCGCCCGGCTATACTATTTAGTGAAAATTTTTAAAAATTCCCGAAATAGCCGAGCGGCTGTCCTCTTTAAATATTATTTTAAAAAAAGTGTGTTGGCTATGGATATGAATTGCTGAATTAAGTTACATAGTGTTGGCAGTGGTTGTTATCAGATCTTTGGCAAAGGGGGCTATCACTTTACTATCTTGATAGGTACTAGTTCTTTGATGGTTCTTGTTTCCATATGATTTTGTTAGGTACTGAGATAATTAAATTTTGAAAAACGATAATACTTGATGTAGGAAAAATGAAAAAGTGTGTCACTTTAGCCTTAGATATGTGATTGGAATAAAAGTAAAAATTAAGGATTCTCTTTTCTACAAGAAAACAGGAGGATGAAACGTTAAATTTTGATTCGGTTAAGGTGCAATCAACTAAACTGGGTGTCTTTATGCACAGCAGCACAGGTTTGAAGAAGGGATAGAGCAGTTCCGATTAGATGTTGCCTAGAATCCAAATGACACAGAGGAGTCGATTTGGTGCTTTCTAGTTGAAGCTCAATTATATGGGACTAGTGAAGCAAGGGAACGATTTCTTGAGGCAAGTTAAACTATCATTTCCTACAGGAAGGTTTCTGATCCTTAAGGTTCTTATTTTATTTATTTATCTGAGGAAGATTGTGGATGAAGTTAAACTAGGTTTTGAGCTTTCACTTTGGGCCAGTGACGACTTTTGGTCATATGTAGGAGCAAGCATAACCAAGTATATTTATGAGTGACTGTAATTCTAGCAACACTTTTTTAAGTGCTTTTTACTCCCATATATTGAGTGAGAAGTTGAATAAAATTATTCTAACCACATACCAGATGAATGCAGATTGGCCAAGATCCGAAACCTGTCATGCGAGATGCCTATGACATGTTTAAAGGTGGTGGTGATCCATAAAAGGTGTTATGAGAAATTTTTTATTTGACCAAAACCATTTCTTAGTTGAGCTAGCTAGTTGTGTAGTTCATAAGGTTAGAATTTAGAAAGGCATCTCATGTATGTGCATCTCCCAATATATTCTCATGTCTCTCTAGATCTTCTTACTGTATGGTTTTATCAATTCATATGAAATTTTGAGAACGCAACTCTTTTCTGCTGCATGTTTCCTCTGGAAATACTCATGCCTTAGGTCCATTTTGCAGCGTGAGGATAATTGGAGTAGCTTAAAGTTGTTTAAGAAAAATCTAGCATGTCTATATTAAACACGCAAAACATAATGCTCAACTTGGCAATAGTCACTTGACCTTTCTTTTGTGACCACTTAATATTGTAATAGTCAATTTGCTTCTCAATTATTACCAAGTTGGATTGCGTTGGTGCAATTAAGTTTATTGTAGCTTATGCTTGTTTTATATAGTTGCCAGTACCAGTTTAGGAGAATTAAACAACGTCTAACCTGAAAATAGAAAGAAAAACACCTTTTTCATTGAAAATGTGGCAGTGTGGTATTTTCGCGGCGGTTTTTGGGCTTTAGCTACGGTAGGCAGCGGTTTTACGACTTTTAGTGACACAAAATATGTCTCTTTTTTTGCAGAACGTCTTTAGCAGCATAGAAAACCGTCGCTAACCGCTGGAAAAAAAAATTTAGTAGCGGAAACGAAAACCGTCGCTAAAAATTGGCAGACGTTGGAACACCTCTTCTCTCCCAGAAACAGAGATTTTAGACATCACATTTCGTAAAACGAGAAAAAACAAACCACCCTTTAATCTCCATGTGTTTATATACATATTTTACATGAAAATATTGCTAAACACCGTCCAAATTAATACTTTGGATACATTGGAAGCTGGACAGGGTGGGAAAAATTGCAGTTGAAGTTACTCTCGCTCCCCTCTGTAAAGACTTATACTGACATGCTAGCAACTTGTTGCATGTTATCATTGCTCAATCCTCCACTGAAAATTTGAAATGGTCCCTGAGAATTTTCACAGCCACAAACGCAGGGGCTGGAGCTAGAATATACCATGTAATTTTGGGAATGCTACCTCTGAGCATCATGCTATGTGCACCTTCAGCCATCCATTATGCCACACATTGTATCTAACCGACTGTTGTACCTAAAGTTCACAACAATATTAGAAAAGGGCCGAAAAATCCTTTGTTATACAAATTATAGACAGAAATGTGAGGTTCATATCATATATTCCAATTTCCAAATCGAAAGGAAAATTGCTTTATAAAATTCCCCTTCCCCATCTCGGCGCTCGTGTTGAAAGCTCAATTTGGAATAAGTGTCAATGTAAAGTTTACTGAAGTATAATTTGTGACTAATGCTACTGATTGCGTGTCCCCAAGATTTCAAATATGTGAGGATGACATAATATAAGTAATAACAAACATGGGAGCAGCCTAGACCGTGAAAACGGGGTTGTGGGAAGTGCCGTGCTACTAGTCGAAGCGGTGGAGTGCTGCACCCTGGATGGCAAGAGTTCAGTTGTCGAAAGCTACTAAGCTACTGGACTCATACAATTAAAAACAGCTAAAGGAATTTTTAAAATCCTCAATCATTATACAAAGGATAAATGGTTTTTGTATCTGTGCACCTATGTGATCAGTGTTGGCATGCACAAACAGCTGACTCAATACAAACCCAAGCCTTGGTCAAATAACCTCAAGTACACTAACAACAACACATTACACTGCATGTTATGCTTGCAACAGATTTAGTCCTACACTAACAACTGAAAGCCATTTAAAGAATTAAAAAGAAAATAATCACAAGACAAAACTGATACCTTAAGGTTGATCCCTGCACTTGCAATCTTGTTTTGATCACGTCGACGGGATTGGTGAGATATATGCACCACCAATGCCTGTACAATTGAATGCATGTATAAATCATAGAGCAGAAAATACTAATTACAAAATTCAATAATAGAAGACTTAAGAACTGCACCTTTCCTAGCTGGAAAAACTCAACTGTTTCCAAAAACTGAAAGGTCATTGCTTTCTAGTTAGGTCTAGGAGTTTGTGGACACAACTCTTTTGCAAAGGTAATAAATTTTTTACTCCAAATCCAATGCCAGAAATTTTGACATGCTAAGAAAATTGCCTGTAGAAATAACTACGGGAACGAAGAATTAACAAAAACAAAAGAAAGCAAACTTACTAAAGAGATAGGGGTCAGGGGATAAATTATCCAGATCTGTAAATTAGGGCCTAACCCTAATTTAGTAACGAAGCTGAGCTTGTCGGTGTAAATTTTTGTTGAAAGGACCCACGTAGAGCTTGTAGAAGCCGCGACCGGAGAAGACGGTGGTGGAGGAGAAGAAGGAGAGAAGGTTGGGGATGACCTTAGTCTGCCGAGTTGAACCGGCGAAGAGGATTTGCGAGCTGTGAGAAGAGAAATTTCTTTTGGTAAAGTTGGGGCAGGAAGCCCAAACATACAAACAAAAATCAAAAAGTCACTTGGCCCATTGGGCTATTACACACAGTCTAGGCCTACCAGATTTTTGAAAAACTAAGTGAGATATTATTAAAATGTAATAATATAAATAGTGATAAGAGAGGGTAGCAAATTGGCAATATCCTACTCAAATTGTAATGCTTCACATTTCCTTTTTTTTTACAAATTTATAAATAAACCCAATCCTAGACATGTATTTATAAAAAAACCCAAGCACTATTTAAACATAGAAACACACCCAAAATTAACCCCAAAGTCAACTTTTTGGGTGTGTTTATAAATAGGTTTTGAGTGTGTGTAATGATGGGTTTTGGGTGTGTTTATATATTTAAATAGTGCTTGGGTTTTTTTATAATTTCAACCCCCATTTTGGGTGTTTTAGTGAAACTCCCTTTTTTTTTGGTTTGAATAGAAAATGCTAAAATTCTCAACAACAACAAAATTTTGCAATTGAAAAAACCCAATGTTTTAATACATCAAAGACTTTTACTTCTCTCCTATTGCACTTATAAAAATTATATTACAAGTAAGAGTTTAAATTATTTTAAATTCAATTAATATACGAGAAGGAAGTTCAAATTTATGCGTGAGGAGAAACTCACTACTTTAATTAACGGCCTAACTCACATATGCGTAGAAGTTCAATACTTTGAACTTGAACTTGAAATTGGTGGCAAGAATTTGCTGTGTGAGTGTGCATGTTTAGGTAGGGTGGGCCTAGCCTACTCTTGTTCAGTCACATTCAAATGAGGGTCCAGAAAATTACTTAATACTGATGACCTGTTTCTTCATTGACTATATCTTCGAGACAACATATTTATATCTTTGTACACTGAGTTGTTTCAAGTCACAATCAATGTGAGGGTTTTCCAGATTTTGTACCTATGCTTTCCACATCGAGATCATTGTCATTTATACAATTACCAACAAGAATTGTTGATGGCGGGACTCAAACACTGTTAGGCTTATACATAGTATAAAAACTTTATCAACTGAACCAACTCTTGTTGGCTTTTCACCTTCACCCCACTATATTATACTTCAAAAATAAAAACCCTACCCTATTTCAAATCCAGTCGCTTGCCCTTTTTAAATATGTATTTTTTGACTCAAATTCAATCGATGGTTAGTTGGTTGGTGGGTTTCCTAAGCTACTTGGGTAAATTAATCGCTCGCCAGAACCAAGACAGAGAATAAAAAAGGTATATGTTGCCAATTGGATGTTACCTAATGCATAGATTGGGAGGTATAATTTCAAAGTCCAGATAAATAACAATTAAACAGATTCTTGGGAAAGATTTTTTTCCCAGAAACCGAGGCCCCCTGATGGTAAACCCTAAACTTGATTAAGCGTGGGATTCTTTCACTTTATTTGTACTCCTTTTGGGGTTCCCCTCCTTTGTCATGAACAGTATTGGACGACATCACATTTGAAATTATTAGAAAATTTCAGTCATGTTTAACTTTTTACTGGTCTGAAATGTAAACCACACGTGAGTATGACTATCCAACCATTCAATCGAGAAAAATCAAAACAAAATAAAAAATGGTTTATCATCAGTATTTTTATTTTTTTAATACAAATGATTATAGTAAAATGACATTTTATCATACACGTATTATCATTGTGTGATAGAGGTTCGAATTTGTGATGATTATCAACATGTTACCGGCCTAAACCTTGTTGACATCTTTATTACTATATATCATTTGAAAAACGGTCAACAAGCCCATTGGTTATTGTGATTGTGATTTAGAATGCTATATCGTAAATTTGAGATTAGCTGCGCATTACAATGCACTTCTACTGTCCCCTCTTTCTTTTGCAAATGATACAGATTACTTTTTAATCTCATATAATTATAAAGCTCGGATGTGACCATCTTTGGGATTATGGGAAACTTGGTGGTGGATCCATCTTTTTAACAGATGATAAGATACTTAAAAGTATGTATAACGAATACATTATTGTATGTGAATTAATCATGATTATAAATATAAGATTACTATTTTTGTATTCATGTAAGTAAAACTTGAGACGTTATCTAACAACATGAAAACAACTATACTAGTTAATAAATTGGTAGATCAAATTCGATTCCCTTTTTCCAATGAAACTATTTTTGCCCTAATTTAATTTTGGGGATAGTCCGATGGGGAGAGGCTTGAGGTTTTTTAGCCATGGGAAGATAAGGAAATTAGATCGAATAATTATTTAACTCTCATGCTCTTTAATATGAGCAATTATACAGTGATACAGTATCATGATTCAAGAGAATCTATGGAACTTCATGCTAAGTTAACTATTAAATTTCAATTAACTAAGCATGAATACCATTAAATCACCCATTAATGATCCGATTTGGCAGGAGATTTTTTCTGTTGACAATAATTTGAAGAGGGGCAGGTGATCCACGCAGACAAGAAAATAAAAGATAAAAAAATCCCATGACGCATAATGATTTTTTTGAGTTCAAAATAAAGTTCAGAACTTTAGACCCAAAAAGAGTTCAAATAAAAGGCGTCCTCAGTCCCTAAAGCTTGAAAATATATAATCAATCAATTGGATAGTCTTTTTCCTAGCCAAAATAAATAAATAAAATAACCCCCAAAAGAAAATAGTTTTGTAGTCTACAAGTTCTTCTGACACACCCAACAAGCAATGCCCTTTTTCAGTATGAAAGAAGAAAAAGGAGAGAGAAACTGACAACCCATCACGTGAAGCTCATACTCCTCCCTCGTTGTTCTTAACATGTCTCAATCCACGCGCCTTTTCTATGTCTCTGTTTGATAAACTTTCTTAGTCCCATGTTCCATTCTTTTGTTTTCTCCCCCTCTTCGGTGATACTTGTTGTTCTTGCTGTTAACACACCACACCCCCCCCCCCCCCCCCCCCCCGCCCCGCAGATCTGCCTCTACAGGACAAGGTAAGCTCTTGGCTTGTTTTCTCCATGTTTTTCTCCTTAATTGTCTTCTGGGTTTCTCTTTTTTTCTTTCAAAACAGAAAAAGTTTACGCATTTATTTGGTTTTCTATGTGGGTTCTAGTTTGGGGTTAGTGATACTGTTTTGTAGGCTTCATTCTGTTGTTTTTCTGTGTATTCTCTCTAATGGTACTCTGGATGCAATTTCTGTGTGTTTTTGGTTCATGTTTGCATCAATGCAGTCTCAAATTTTCTTCTTTGATGTGCTCAAATAACCAGGGAAAAAAGGCTGTGTATGTATGTTTCACTTGTTCTTCTTCTTCTTTACAAGAAGATTATGGAAATTTTTCAAATTCTTTTTGCTTTAAGTACTTCTCTCTTTTTTGTATTTCTTGTTAAGTGCTTTTTCTTTTTCTGTTTTCCGTTTTCTTATTGTGCTTAAATACATTATATTGTGGTGTTTAAGTATGTTCAGTAAGCATTTGTTCTGTATTATGATAATGGGATTTTCTGCTGGGAAGGCCAACTTCCTGTTTTTGTACTTCATTTTGGTTCGGCGTTACACTAGTTCCCATTTTGATGGGCTAATTGAACTGTGCTATTCATATCCCCCTGGAAGATTTTTCTGCAGGTTTTCGCAATTTATTATCCATTTTCAATTTATAGTTTCATTTCATTTTAGGAAATGGGGATCATCTCCCGAAAGCTTTTCCCAGCGTGTGAGAGCATGTGCATATGCTGTCCTGCTATGAGGTCAAGATCTAGACAACCTGTTAAGCGTTACAAAAAGCTGCTGGCAGAAATCTTTCCAAAGTCTCCTGTGAGTATACTGTTTAATTCTATCTTTACTCTGATTTGTAAAGCCATAATGTCCAGAGACACGTTGCGAATGGCATACCTTACCATCTATATCTGTGCGACATAGATGGTAGTTGGTCATCTGACCACTTTATCATGTGATGGGGCATTGGGAATTCTACCAGGCACTCCTTAGAGGAAAGAAAATTTCATTTCCTTTTATTTTATTTTTCATGTGGCTTTGGCGTGGGTATTTGTAGAAAAAATCAGACTTTCCCTTCCAATTGTCTATCTATTTTCTCATTCTGAAAAGTTATTCTCCTCCCCCCGCCCCCCATTTTAGATAGGAACCAATGAAGATAATAAAAAAATTGGTTCGGATGCTTGAGAAAGGGGTTTTCTTCGAAGGCTTTATGCGTCCTTTCTGTTTTAATTATTATATCAAAATGGAGCCTGGATATCATCCTTAGTTTCCCATTGGTTCATGTGTATAATAAGTGGTACATTTATGACCATAACACATGATGTATGTGCCTACGTGTGTATGGTAATGTTCTCTTGTTAGACTGTCACGGTATGTTGTCAAACTATGAAGTAAGACCATTGATTAGACACATCATGTCTAAATGTGTTATAATGTTATCTTAATTCAGAATTTAGCAGAATAACACAGCTGATTGTTTGCAAGAAAAAATTATCCTATCTATACGGTGTAAGAGATTTGGTCCCAAGAAGTCAAATAAGCCAAAATTGGTCAGTAGTGAACGTTTTTTTGATGAGAAGCAAGTGACACAGCATGCTTCTCAAGGAATCATTCGCCAATCTACCATTAGATGAATAACTATTATACCATTTATGCTTTTCTTACCAATAGCTGGAATACTGAAGTTAATAGTGGCCCCAATTGTCCAGGATGGCCCTCCCAATGAAAGGAAAATTGTTAAATTATGTGAGTATGCTGCCAAAAATCCTTTCCGAATCCCAAAGGTATGAACTCTTTTACCCTATTTCTTCATTTTTTTGTTCAGTAAAAGTTAGCTTGCCATAATTTAATAGCCCACTGCTGAGGCTAAAAATCCCATTTATTTATGTCCTTTTCCCATGCTCCTGTTTTTTCAACAGATTGCCAAATATCTTGAAGATAGGTGTTACAAAGAGCTAAGACTGGAGCACATCAAATTCATCAATATTGTTGCAGAGGCTTACAACAAGTTGCTTTGCCTGTGTAAAGAGCAGATGTAAGTCTTAGCTGTTGCCCTTTTCTTTTCTTATCATTTCATTTGTTATAGAAGTCTATTAGTGATTTTTAGTGGAGAAAAGGTCTGTTTAATCTTAATCTCTTGGACAAAACTACTGTTGTTTAGGTATGGCTTTTGTATGATTGGCTGGGAAACTCCAAATTCAAGTCACAATTCCACTTTTAGGTGGAAGTTGTGTGCTATTTTATTTTGGCAACGAACCAGTTATATTTCTTATGCATTGAACTTGTGCTATTTTAGGAGATGCTTTGGTATTGTATATATGCTATTTTAGTAGAAAGTTCGGTTTATTATTGTTTGTTTTGTGTCCTTCAAATTTTCTTCTCTGTCTCTCTTCCTTTCTCTTCCTTTTCTTTTCACTGCAGTGTCTTTAAAGTTGTTAAAAAGAAGGAATTAATTTTTGCATAAAATTCTTGTGTTGTATTGAATATGTTTTGCATCTTTCAGGGCCTATTTTGCAGTCAGTCTGCTGAGTGTGGTTACTGAGCTCCTGGACAACCCTAAGCAAGATCCTCTGCGCATACTTGGATGCCAAACCCTAATGAGGTTCATCTATAGTCAGGTGATTCACAAGTTACCTTCTCTTGAAAAAAGCTATTGGCATACACTGAGCAGAATGAGAGTTATTTGATCTGCCTAATTAATGTTTTAATGTCACAAATCTTTAGGCAGACAATGAATTCCTATTTATAATGGTTGATGTTACTTGTGGCACATCTTACTCTGTTAATGGATGAGTCAGATGTTGACGATTTGTTCTACTTTCTATACAAAGTAAATTCTTTGATTACTTTATTTTTTTCAACTCTTGTCTTGGTTATTGACCCAATCTTTGAACAGACAGATGGCACTTACACACATACCATTGAGAGTTTGGTTCATAGAGTATGTAAGCTTGCTCGTGAAAGTGGTGAAGATCATCAAAGGCGCTGCTTGAGAGCATCAAGCTTGCAGTGCCTTTCTGCCATGGTAGTTTTATGATTTGAATGCTTGAAACTCTTAAGGACTGTTTTATTTTTCAGTCGGAACAATGTTAATTTTATAGTTTCTACCTTGCCAGGTGCAATTCATGGCAGAATTTTCATATATTTTTGTTGATTTTGACGAGGTTAGTTCTTTCCAGTTTCATTCTTCAAAATGTCTCAATGAAATTAGTAACGTTTATATGAATTTTTTGGGGTTATTTAAATGTGTCAGTTGTTGAGCTAGTCCTTTCATTATCAAATATCAAGGAAAGCCAGCGACACCACTCTCTCATTATTATTGAGCATTGCAAATATTTTTCTTGTGAATGCAGATTGTACATGTCACCTTGGATAACTATGAGCCTGATACACATATTGAAGATGATGAGAGAGGGGAGCCACATCATAATTGGGTGGATGAAGTAGTTCGAAGTGAAGGCAGAGTTGGTGTAGTTGGCGCTGATGCTAGCCCTAGCTGCAAGATCATCAGGCCACGACCAGAAAAGAAGGATCCTTCTCTTCTGACGAGGTGAGTTTTTGAAAGTCTACAAGTGAGGGCTTGTCAGTTCCATACTTGTAATTTTAGATAATGCTAATTGCATTATGTTTTCATCAATTTGCCCTTTTGTAACAGTTTTGGTTCATTTTTTTAGAGAAGAGATAGAGACACCAAAAGTCTGGGCTCAAATTTGTATTCAGAGAATGATTGAATTAGCCAAGGAGAGCACAACAATGCGTCGAGTATTGGATCCAATGTTTGTCTACTTTGATTCTGGGCACCACTGGGTTCCTTGTCAAGGGTTGGCCATGCTGGTTTTGTCTGATATGTCATACTTCATGGAGGCTTCAGGTATTTTGATCTTCTTTGTTCTTATTTTTTTTCTTGATCAGATCTTCTTTGCACTTAATTCTGGATATACCATGTTCTGCAATATTAAATAAGTATATACGATGTACTTATTATATCCGTCATCTTTTGGAAAAACCCTTTACTGTGGTCGCATTTTTTAATGCTAACTTTTGGCTCAGGGAATCAGAAGTTGATTTTAGCCTATGTGATTCGTCATCTTGACCATAAAAACATTTCTCATGATCCGCAACTCAAATCTTATGTCGTTCAAGTTGCTAGTGCTTTGGCTAGTCAGATTCAATCTGGAGCAGTCCTGGCAGAAATTGGATTTGTCTCTGACCTATGTAGGCATTTGAGGAAGAGTCTTCAAGCCACTGCTGAATCAGTTGGAGAGCAAGAATCAAACATTAACATCATGCTACAAAATTCCATTGAAGATTGCTTACTAGAAATTGCCAGAGGGGTGAGTTCTATACTTGTGGCGTTTGTAGTTGATGCATTCTGTTCTTCTATTATTACTAAAAGCTTTGGGTTTTTTTAATAGATTGGCAATGTTGGACCACTATTTGACATGATGGCTCTAACTCTGGAGAAGCTGCCATCTGGAGTCGTTGCCAGGGCAACCATTGCATCATTAATGATTGTTGCTCACATGACCTCATTAGCATTGTCCTCTTCACGTTTGCAGCAGGTGATAGAAGTTTGTAAACAATTTTGCTGCTTTTAGAGGTTTTTATGCATTGCTACCCCATGTCTGTTTCCTGGAAATTGCTCTGATATAGTGTTTGGAACTCGGGAATGATTTTGAAGATGTAATCTGGATTCCGCACTGAAGAGAAACGTAAACGTAGACTATATATATATTTGCTTCGTCTTTGAATACGGCATATTGAACCATCCTTTTTTTTTGGGTAGGTTTTTCCCGAGTCCCTTCTTGTTCAACTTTTGAAAGTAATGGTGCATCCAGATGTTGAGGTGCGTGTTGGAGCACACCAGATATTTTCTATCCTTCTCATTCCAAATTCTAACCGGCCCCGACATGACGTTGCGTCTCTACGATCTGGTTTTGTATACCAATCAAGAGGACACTCGAATACAGAATCGACCTTTGCTTCAATTACAGCTAGGCTTGAAAAGTTGAGGAGGGAAAAAGATGGGTCCAAAGCAGAAAAGCGTGGGAATAATTGTTGTGATGATTTTAAAGATAGAGACGCTGCCGAAGAAGATTGGAAGCAGGGACATGCCCGCAAGAACTCCCCTAATTTCTACAAAATTAGTTCTATTATTGACAAGACAGCTGGATCAGTCAGCTTATCAGAGCCAGTAAGAAGTTTCATTATTTCCGTAACTGCTGACATTTCAGGCGAGTAATTTTTCACTTGCTTTATTAACTCGGTATACTTTCTGGTTTGCTGATTGGCTCAGGAACCGTATGCTATGAAGTTTAGCGAGGATCAAGTAGCACACTTGCTGTCTGCTTTTTGGATACAAGCCAATCTCTCGGATAATTTGCCTTCAAATGTTGAAGCCATTGCTCATTCTTTCATTTTAGTGCTTATTTCCTCACATTTGAAGGTGAAATTTTAGTTAAAAGTTTCTTCTTTTTTTCGTTCACATTTGAACTAAAAGATGTAACTTAAACGGTCATTAGTTTAAGTTCATTGCAAAACATATAATTAATGCCTCTGTTGCTTCTCACTTTCACCCTTATACCTCTATTAGGAAGAGCATGGCCATTCTTTAATTCAGTGAGGGCATGGTTGAGTGTTATGGATGTAGTGTTTATTTTTAGGACTTAGATGTCGTTTCAGAAGTTCAAATTGCCTCATTCTGTGTTGTGTATGGTTTCTCCATATTCAACTTTTCTCTGTGGTTTTGTACATGTATACATGTATCTTGGATGTATTTATGTGGATGCTTATGAAATTTCTTAAATTTGTGATTCTGCAGAATCCAACTGACAACCTTATGGTTCGTGTTATTCAACTTCTGCTGTCTCTGAGGAATACGTCCCTTGATCTTAACAATGGTCTGGACAGCATAAATCCCTAAACAGTTAATAGGTCTGATGAAAATTAAATTGTGAATAAGTTTCTTAATCTCTTGGCAGGTATGTCTCCTCCGGCATGTCAGAGATCTCTCCTTGTGCTATCAATTGGCATGTTGATGTTTGTGGCTAAGATCTATCACATTCCTGGTCTGAATGATCTGTTGAAGTCATTAATACCATATGATGTGAGTATATCCTAATCCTGAATGCTGCTACTACTACTACTTAAAAACTTTGTGCAACAGTAGGATCTCTTTCCAACTTTTGATAGTATGAATCTCCTAGCTTTTAAGTGATAGGAGCATTCGAGCTCTTTGCTCATCGAGATTTTGACAAATTTCCTATATCTTGTGCAAATTCAGGTTGATCCGTATTTGGGCATCAGTGATGATCTTCAAGTTTATGTAAAGGCTGATGCAGATGTTAGTAAATACGGATCTGTTACTGATAACCAGATGGCTAGATCATTACTATGTGATTTGCGGAACAAGATATATGAATCCGACAATGTCATAGTGGAAATCTTAGTTCAGTTTCTATCAAACGTTACTGAGGTATGATTGTCTACTGATGGACCTCAGTTTTCTTTTCTCCAGCTCTCTCTCTCTCTCTCTCTCTCTCTCTCTCTCTCTCTCTCTCTCTCTCTCCCACAAGCAGATACGTTCCTTATTTGTTTGTTTTTCCTTTTAAAGATGGAGGCAGAAGATGTGAGGAACCAACTTTCAGAGTCATTCACACCTGATGATGCATTCATGTTTGGTCCAGAATCAATGCTTGAATTTGACCAAAATAAAATGGCTGGCCATTCAAAATATTCACTGTCCTTTGATGGGGTATACTGTTTACTTCTTTTGTCTAGTTTTCCTGGCTACTGCTGAATTTTCATGTGACCTTCCACATCTGATCACAATCGTGTATCATTCAAATTCAGAAAAATAATAATAATATCAATTATAGCATTGAAATTATGAGTATTTTCAATGACTTCTCCTTATGTTGCAGGAATTTCTAACAAATTCATCAGTGGAGGATGATGCAACAAGTGAAGCATCTGTTGCTGACCTCTCTCGTTTCATTCCCAGAATGCCATCATCCACCTCTATTGCCCATGTTATCAGCATTGGACAGCTTATGGAATCCGTAATGACTTTCTTTCACACCTTGCTTGTTCTCCATTTCTGTGTCCACAAGTATCTTTGTGTACAAAATGACTTCACTACAAACTTAACTAGATTTGACAATAGTCAGAACAAGAAATGTTAACCTTATTTTTTACGGAAACTGAACAAAATTGTATTTAGGCACTTGAGGTGGCCGGTCAAGTAGCGGGAACATCTATCTCCACATCGCCCCTCCCATACAATACCATGGCAAGCCAGTGCGAAGCACTTGGAACAGGGACAAGGAAGAAGCTCTCTAACTGGTTGGCCCATGAAAATCATCAGAGCAGTGTCCGTGACAAATCGTTTCTGGCCTTTCCAGCAGATGGCCGCACAGCACTCGAGAAGGTCTGGCCTTATTTGGTTTCCCTACTCTTTTTTTCTTGTTAAAGTTGATTAACTGTGGTTATGCTTGTGGGAGAACGGGAGAGGTACCATATGTCCCGTCTGGGACATTTGGTTTTTCCTACTTTCTTTCAAAAGATTTGTGTAATCTATAGCTAACTTTTTTCATAACAGCTGCCATTTAAAACTCGCTCTCTTTTTTATCCTTTGTTTCGATGTTGAACGTCTATGTTAATTCTCATGCAGATAATTAGTGAGACTGGGCCTACTCAGGGAGCTGCATTGCCACAGGATCCCTGGCTAGCTGTGAGGCTGCCTCCTGCTAGTCCATTTGACAACTTCCTCAAGGCAGCTGGATGTTAGGAGTGAAGCCACGCTTCTTCAAGTAATCATTGTTGTAAAATATTAGGCAGTTGTATGTTGTGGGATAAATAGCTCAGAATTTGATCTAGGCTCTGATCTTTGATTTGAGGGCTTCCAGCCCAGTTTATCACCGGTTATATGGAACTCTAACCTGTAGTTGAACTAAGGTTAAGCACAGTAGTTTGTAGTATGCATCTCTCTCTCTCTCTCTCTCTCTCTCTCCTCTCTCTCTCTCTCTCATATCGTAAAAATGTGTTTTAAAAAAAGTGTTAATTGGAGAGATAGGACGAAGTTTTTAACTCATATTACTACTATCAAGATAATCCTTGCTAATGCTGGTAACATATTTTTTCATATTAATAGTTCATCAATTTTCTTAGAGAAAAAAACAAGAAGCAAAGGTGAGATGTCTAAATGGGAATTTTCCATATGAAAATCCATGTAACCAACCACATTCGGGAAACCACTGGAAATCAGTAACTAAAATGCACCTCTAAATTGCAAATGTAAGTTAGGTTAGTTGGTCAAGGCAGTGTGCCATTTCTATTGCAATTGAGTTCAAACTCCCTCTCAGTACATTAGAATATTTAAAATGTCCTTGTTAGGAAAAAAAGAAAAAGAAAGCACCTCTAAATCTAATGCAATCGAGTTCAAACTCCCTTTCAGTACATTTGAATATTTAAAATGTCGTCCTTTTAAAATGTCCTTGTTAAGAAAAAAAGAAAAAGAAAGCACCTCTAAATCTAATGCAATCGAGTTCAAACTCCCTCTCAGTACATTTGAATATTTAAAATGTCGTCCTTGTTAGGAAAAAAAGAAAAAGAAAGCTCCTCTATCTAATGCATTAGGCTGATCATGCAAGGGCCTTCCCTAAACAGAAGAATCATATAAAACCTTTCACACCTATTAATGCTCTTTTGTTTTGAGGATCAAATGGGTCAATCAGGCTTCTAAAAAAGTTTGTGTACTCCTTTGTTTTGGGCCAATATTGGGAGAAAAACTTAGTTGCAACGGGATAGTCCCGGCCAATAATACCATCTCATGTGGAAGTGTTATCACGTGTATTGTGTCATGGAGTTATTAGCCCGAAATAGCATAATAGTAGTGTTATCCCCATTTCATGGAAGTATTTCTTCAAGATTAGGCAGGTGCACCTGTTTGGTAGCCAATGCAGCAAGTTGTTCCCATCAGTAACTTTAGGTACAAGTTGATGGATACTTGACAACACCATCAGTTATGTACTCTATGAGCTTTACATTTTTTCATTTCAAATAGCTAGAAATCAATCTTGCAAGGCCAAGCCAATGCTTCCATTTTTTTAGGTCACAAATTCCCCAGAAAAGCAATAACCAATGCCTAGCAGAAATCCGTGAACATTATTTTAATTTTCTTTTATGATTCATTCAACTGCAATTGCGGCCAGCTGTTGGTTTTCTTTGCTTGTTACTGAGGAATTGCCACAATCTCTAACCTAACCCTCCCTGCCTTCGCCCTTCATGTCTGTGCTCTTTTAGAGCAACAACCTGATTCATTTTCACGTGGCCACAACTTGGTCATTTTTACCCCTCTGGTGCCTGCCTTGTCTTGAACAATCTCATCTGATTTGTGGATGAAGTATAGTGACCTGATAAGGCTCTTATGATGCCAACCCTAATTGAGAAAATCACTTGAACTCAATGCATCTTACAATAAAACACACAGCAAAATGAACTGCCTTTGCTTTTTCCATCCCAAGCCTACGAAGTAATTCTGGACCACCAAAGTATTCAATAACCCAAAGGACATGCTACAATAAAAGCTCAAGTTAAGTTGAGAACTCTCCTCTTATCATTCAGTTCGACATGCTCCATAATTGATAATCTGACACCATCGCATAAAAATCTTTAAGCTTACGGGGTCACTAACATTTTATTTTATTTTTTATGATTGATAATGAAAGCGTATAATTGGATCCAAAAAGGTGGGGACTCTCTGTATTTGTTGCCGCTAGCCAGAATGCTCTAATTTCATCAGCACCTGCCTGGATTAGAATCTTTGATCACTAGCATTTCTACTTATTTTCAAACTAATAAATGATGAATGCCCTTAATTTAATAACAGATTTGTGCCCTTTGCCGGTTCTTTATTCAACAAGGAATATTATACTTTTGTAAATTATAATGAAAAAAAATGCTGAATTGCTGCAGTCAAGGATTTGCCTGACTAATATTTCTCACTTTGCAGATACCACTGCACTGATTAATTATATTATTCTACTGTGTCTTTATATAATTATTGGAAAATATAGATTTCCACTATTTCCAGCAAAAAAGGATCCATTACTTTACTCTTTTACTGTTCTTTTTCATTTGGAGAGATGATTTTAGAGAATTTAATATGTCTTGCAATTAAATTAAAGTTGATCATTTTCCAGGAAGCACCATGATATCTTTGGTCACTCCTTTTTCTGTTTCTTTGGCATATCTTTTGTATTGCCATTAGAGGACAAATCCTTGATGATTAAAAGAAGGACAATATCGTTGTGTGGTTAATCATTTAGAAAAATCATGTGAGAGACACAAAAAACCAAGATCCTCTTTTAAACTTTTCGTTTATGGATCCGTATAATTAGGTGTTTCAAAAGATCAATCAAATTATGCTGGATTAAGACTTTCCAAAAGAAAAAGTGTTATCAACTAATTACAATAAAATCACGCTATAATAAGACGTAACATAGATACGATGAATTTATGAAGTTGTCTTTTGATGTACTTAAGTTTTATCATTATATTCATATACATGAACAGTTAACAATCTTCTACGCCCTAAGTCGATCACTCTCGAAAATAAAATCCTAGATAATTGTTTTTAGCTAACAAATGTTAGATTGTTTGGCTAGTAAATTAAGCTTAAAGGGATCTTTGAGCCCAGCTGAACAAATGCAAAAATAGTCACCTCTCCTTTTGGCTTCAATTATTAGAGTGGATTGCACTATCTGCTACTCTCAATTTACTGGGAGGAATATTCATACGGAATAGTTAAAGCTTTGGCATTTATTATCAACAACCAAGAAACAAGAGAAAACAAAGTTAGGTTGAATACAAGGAAATGTTACGGAAGTGGAAAAAAAAACATAAACCATGTCATCAATTTTAATATTAGGTATTCGCTCATGCGATCACATTTCTTCATCATCTGTCACATCTCTCATCCTTGTTTCTTTTCTATCATACATTTTCCCTTCTGTCTTTGGAGCCAAAGAACAAAAAAGCAAAACTGAAAGCCAAATGCAATGCTACCAAACAAACCTTGCACTGGTGTAAACTGTTCACTTAATTGATGTGAGAGAGAAAGGTAACATGCAGACACTAATTATTTTGAGACTAATCATATTTTTTACCTGGGTTACTGGTTTTTAAAATTTAATCCATTCATGTGAGATTAAAAGTGAGAGTAGGGTAATTCAATTTAATCCTCCAATTATCTGGTTCTTGTTCCCAACCACAACCAGGGCCTATGGCGGTGAAAAGAACAGCAACAAGAACAGGAAATGGGTGATGAGTGAGTAAGTACAAGCAAAGTCTCCTGAAACCACAGCGTTGATGTTGTTGGGCCCCAGTTTTGCAGTCCCAGAACCAATAGGGTTCTGAAACGTAGTAGAATGTCACGTCACAGTTTAAAGGCAATTCCAAAGTCCCAATGCTCTGAGGAAGGTGACGGGTGGACCTCTATAAATACGGGCTACGCCTCTCTCTCCCTCTAACTTCAAATCAAACCTTTGTTTGTTGGTCACCGTTTCAGTTCAGCGTTTTATCCATAGTGCAATCCATTTACCTCTCACACGCGACCCCAAACACAAACAGTTTCCTCATGTTCCTTCTCCACTTTCTCTCTGTGTCTTCTCTTTTCCTCAGGTTTCCTTGGAAAAGAAAGTAAAGTCTGGTCCTTTTCCATGTGAGAAAGAAAGCCCACAAAACAAAAAAACAAATGCCACTTTGGCTCCTAGTCAAGCTAAAACCCTTTTCTTCTCTCTCTCTCTCTCTCTCTCTCTCACTCACAAGCTCGTTCTCCACTGTAGAAGTATTATTGTTGCTTAATTAGCTACTTCTTTTTCTTGGACATTAGAGCTTGAATTCGAGAAAGATATATGTATGAATATGGAAGATTTCTACAGGCTGAACCCAGGTGTGATATCAGGCTCAGAGATTGATGTTAATGTTGTTCATCAAGTTGAAAATATGGCTACAAGTACAAGCAATACCAGTTGTGGGTTCCATGGTCATCCTCATCCTCAGGGTCATGTAGTGGATGATAACATGCTCTTGTTTCAAACGGAGGGCATGGAATCAGATCATCATATGTCTGATCTGATCAAAACCCAGATAGCCAATCACCCTCGTTTCCCTGATTTAGTTGATGCATACCTCGAATGCCAAAAGGTTATTAATTAAATACAAGTGCATGAGTGTATATTATCTCCTTTTTTTTTCTTTTCGTAAAAACATTTATTGATGTGTCATTAATTGCCAAACAAATAGGTTGGAGCACCACCGGAGATGAAAAGTCTTCTTGAAGAAATTGGACGGGTGAGCCATCCCATGAGCACTTGCAGTGAGATAGGAGCTGATCCAGAACTTGACGAGTTCATGGTACTTTCGTAATTAAATATGATAATATGTTTATTTAATCATGTTCCATTTGGTTCCGGATAAGTCTTTGCAAAGGAAAAGAAAAAGGTAAAGACAATTTGGTATATATGTCACTGTTTGCCGTTCCAATCCAGCCCAATTTGGACAAGATCCCAGGATATTTTAGATAATTGATTATTTTACTCATTAAAACAACATTTAATTAAATAATTTGTGAACTATGTGTTGTTGTTTTGCAAGGAATCATACTGTGAGGTTCTTCGTGGATACAAGGAGGAGCTATCCAAACCGTTCGATGAAGCAACCAACTTCTTGACCAACATTCAGTCGCAACTTAGAAACCTCTGCAAAGGCACATTCCCAAAAACCAGCTGGGACTGTAATTCTGGTATATGCGTACATTTCTTCCACTCTAAATCCATTGCTCCTTTTTCCTTTTGTTTCTATTTTTAAGTGCAGTTTTCCTGAGATTTATGGGTCAAGCTGTTTTTGCTCATGACAATGATGGTGGGGGACAGACTTTTTTCTAGGTTTTGGTTTCTTTTTCTTGTTCTTGGCGCTGAAGTTGCGCACAGACATGCATATACACGTATTTGTTCATCAGGCCAAAAGGGGTCGCATGTAATTGCTTCTGTTTTATATATGAATCATGACACCTGAAATGAGTGGTGTTTTTCATGCCCTAAAAGCAGATATATCTGTATGACAGTGACTTCCATAAGAAAGTGTTTTTTATAAATAAAAAAAATATAAGAAATTTCTTAGAGAAATTAGTTTTACTGGTAGAATATGTACTCCCCTCATTTTACACATAAAAACCCTAGTTTCTATAAATAACTTATATAAGTTAAGTATTCCTAATTGCTAATGGGGTCGTTCTACAAACGCATGGCAAAACCAAAACACTCTCCACTTTTGCCGGACCAACATAATTCCTGCATTCCCAAATTTGTTGTTACTTGGACAAACTTTGGTAAATGATATGGATAAATACATTTTAAATTGTAATGACAAGTCTAATTACAGTAATGTTATGCGCCTGAATCATTCTGTGCATGCTTAGACATCCTTAATTAGCATGTTTTGAACTGATACTGGTGATTTCTTTGAGAAGTATTATGAGTAGAGTTTGGCCAATCATGCATCCCAATTTTGATATCTTTTAATTTACTAGCAATTTGAGTAGAATTAGGGAATAATGGGATTAGTTATCTGGATTGCAGTTAGATGCTTAATTTAGGATTACTGACCAACTGTTAGTACCATTGCAGATGAAGGGGTTGGAAGTTCAGAGGAGGAATTTAGCTGTGGGGAGGTAGAGGCAGCAGAGAGTCAAGAAACAGCTGCTGCTCGTGCCGGTGGTGATCGGGAGCTGAAAGATATGCTGTTGCATAAGTACAGTGGCTATCTTACCAATTTGAGGAAGGAGTTCTTGAAGAAACGAAAGAAAGGGAAGCTACCAAAGGATGCCAGGACTGCCCTATTGGATTGGTGGACTACTCACTATAGGTGGCCATATCCTACGGTAATTGAATTCGGTTCCAATCTCATGGATGCATCTATCTTCTCTGCTTTTCACTTAAGTGCTTTCATGTTTCTCACAATTTTCATGCAATTATGTTATGAGACGTTCTTGCTATGAAGTTCTGGTGCAGTTCAAGTTGCTTAACAAAAATATGAAAACATTGGGCGTCAACTAATAGAAAAGAAACTTGTACTATATTGTGTAATTCATCCATAGCACATGAACATGCATGGAAAAATATGTTGGTTGTGAAAAAATAGCATAAAGGCGAATGATAAATCTAACAAATGCAAGTTCTTACCCAAATGACCCTATGTTTACAGGAAGAGGAGAAATTGCACCTGTCTGAGGTAACTGGACTAGACCAAAAGCAGATCAACAATTGGTTCATAAACCAGAGGAAGCGACATTGGAAGCCATCTGAGGACATGAGGTTTGCTCTTATGGAGGGTGTTGGTGGCAGCGTCGGAGCTCCCATGTTATTCGACGCTGGGGTCGGGACCGGAAATATTGATGATATGTGAATGCTATATCAGAGATTAATTGGTTGATGCTACTGATTTGACCACTAGTTTTAGCCACTTTAATCCATGCTTGTTAATTTGTACTGAACCTTGCACGTAATGCTAGCTTGTAGTGTACATTCTGTCTTTCTAATTCCTCTCTTATATGTAAAATATTTCGATTTGGGTTATTTAGCTAGGCAATGTTGAAGGACATGGTCATAGAACCAGAGCCAGTTATAGTTTATATTTACCAGAATCAACCAACTTTATGGTTGTTATTTTATTTCACTTTTGGTAACAAATATGGGCTATATTTTCTTTTTTCGCCAAAGTTAGGAAGGGGGAGAGGGCGAAAACTCACACATGGGTACATCATGGAAGGTTGAATCTAGGATTGCTTGAGAGCGCACCAAAACCTGGGTCAATTCAACTAACACCTTATTAGTAGCAAATATAGGCTATATAGAGTCATCCATTCTTGCATTATCTCAATTTTGTGTTCTCTTTGTGCGTGGAGTTGCCAATCTCTACTTGAAATTGATTGTTCATTTTGAATCTTACGAGATGACATCATTGGGCCCATTTTGTAGATGGTTTCCTCTGGATCAAGCCCACTTTGTTAAAATCTTTTTATATGACAAGTCGTCCAGGGAAGAAAGCTAAATCATTCTTAGATGGGCCGTGCCGTTGGTTTTGGACTTGCAATATATAACCAGCAGAGTCAACTTTATTTTCAAGATAAAACTATATCCAAAGGATGAGTTAGAGCACTCCTGGCGCTTCTCTTTGGCCCGGCAGGAGGGGGCTTAGGCCCAGTAATTGGCTCCAGCGCGCAACGTCAAGATCAGCCAGTTGATGGGGTCCACAAGTCTGGGCAGGCCCAAAGGCAAAATTTGCCTGGGCTGTTGCTTGGGTTTATTGACTTCAGTCAGCAACAAAAAATAAATAAATAAATAAATAAAACCAGATTTTTCAGATTTTATTTATTTATAAATACCTAGTCTTATTCTTTACTTCCCACATCAAAATTAATGGTTTAAGTATAAAAATAGAAAATAAATTAAAATGAATAGTAATTGCACTTGCCCTTTCTCTTCGGGTGGAAACAAAAAAGACAAGGGCTGCCACTATTCATGTGAATAGTGACAAACCTTGCCTTGCATTTTCCTTGTCATTGCCTTTGGGGTGGAGGTGCTCTTAAGAGACATAAAACCTAACGGCAAGGAAACAAATGGAAAATTGAAGTTAGATTTGCTAACTCACTAGAAAAACTCCTCAAAATAGATTTGCCAACTCACCAACAAAACTCCTCAAAACAACACTAGTCGACAGATGCTCATCTTCTCTCTGTTTTTGTCTCTCCTTGTAGAACATGTAGATGAGGCCGCCTCCTTATTGAGGAGATTTGGGCATGTAGAAAATCTAAATTCTAGTTTAGTCGAGAATTTCACAATTCCGTTTATTTCATAGAGTTTCAACTCGGGATTTTGGATTGGGAAATCCCAAAATATTTTCCACGCACAATTTGCCAAATTATGAGTTCAGTTTGCTAAACGGTTTCCCTTTTTCACACTTCAAATTTAGTGTAATTTTAGTCACCAACATTAATACCATTGGCTTTCCACTTTTTAGCAATCAATTTGATGTTTTGGAGGCTGCAAGCTGTGTCTGGTCCTGTTCGAAAGCGACTCTGCTTCAAATAATGTGCACACAACCATCAATTTTATTTCCTTTGGATATCTTCAAGGGCCAGACATACATCTATACTCTTTCATTTCAGGGTTTGATTGCAAAGATATATTTGGACTTGGTGTTGAGGCTTAAACAATTAACTAACCTTAGGTGAGCCAAAAACGCCATAGAAATTTGGAGTTGTGATGTGTTGTGTGGAAAACAACTTGCTTTTTAGAAGAATCGTTAAGAAACTACTTGTGTGTACTATATTGTAGGTGCACAATATTAATGCATGCCCACAAAAAGAACAGAAATTAGGGTTATATTTCACAAGAAAAATGTATAAAAGAATCTGGGACACTTTTTAACATTAATGTGGAGACTTTGTGCGTAGAACTGACCATGACGTAAGTCGTGATTAAATTACTTGCACATGCTCAGAACCGATCATGATATGGACCAATAATTTTTAACATATAAAAATTCAATACTAATCTGTACAGGTCAGAACTGATCAATATCTCGTACATTTATCATATATTTTCTATTAATTAACTACTATTCTAAAAAAAATTAAAGAGTAGTACTTGGAATATGAGTTAATAATTGTTTTCCGCTGCACACATTGCTACTTTGACATGAACAAGGCTTTGGTGGCATATGTCAACAATGCTCAGGAGGATGTTGACATCTTTGGAGAGTTTTGAGACTCAAGGCCCTGAGATTTTCTCATACAACTCATGAACTTTTTTTGTGATTTGCATCCACACCTCTTCTCTTGGCAATGGCAGCCAATATGTCGACACTATGAGGGAAGAGATTCAAAACTCAGAGATCTGCATATGACAACACCCAGCACTCTAAAAGCGCCCTTCTTTATATTAAACAACACTCCCTTTATGTCGACACTAAATATTTTACTCCACATGCATACACAAAAACCTAACTTCACAAACCCTAGCCCCTAGTGACAATTTTCTCTCCAATTCTTCGAGTCTAGCCTAATTAACAAGCTACTCCTAAGATATATGCACAAGAACTCAAAGTCTATACCTTTCCCCTTAATAATTAATTAATATTTTTTTAAAAAAAATAGCGTTGGATAAATTTTATGCATCTAGTCACTGGATTCTGTAATTTATTGCAGATAGAAATGTTGTATAGATAAGTTAAAAGTGATGATTAATTGCGGAGAACCTTATTCTAGTCACTGGGTTAAAAAAAATATATGCATTTGGCCAAATGTTGAATTGAGATTGGAGCTTCAAGAACAAGACATCTTTGCTTTTTCAGATTTGATGTGATGATATTGGAGGAGAGGAGAAAAGAAATTGATGGACAAATTAGTTACAGCCATGGATGAAGAATCCACCACCCCTTTGAACACATCACAGTTAGACAAAAACCACGTAATTCCATTGTTGGTTTCCTATCAGCCTATCAGATTTTTTTTTGGTCAAGATCAGCCTATCAGATAACCAAGAATGAAAAGCACCTTGTTTTTGTCCAGAAAGGAAAAGGACAAATTCAAGTATTTCACCTGATGAACTATTGATATTAATATTTCGGATTTAGGTTAATGACAGTAACAAAAGAACGGCTGCAGAAAATAAAATTCTTGTCTTTCTCAATCGGTCATTTTCTATCTTTTCGTTCCTGAGGTATCCCCTCCACTCAATCTGATGATGAAAAACCCTACAAGAATACTCGTACAGAGTCGAAGTAAAACGGTGCAATGGTGGAAAATTCTGGATTAGTATGTGTTAAGAACCTGCTTAATTAGCCCTATCTGCTAATTGATCTTGTATTTGAATCACATTAGCCCTCATTGATTGTAATTGAATTGACAATTTCCTCTACATCCCAAAAAGTTTCAATCTGAATTGGGGTGTTCTCGTTTTTTGCAGTGCAAGATGCAACAACAGATATTATAAGGATCCAATTTCCAAGTGATTTTATTAAAATATGAGAAGCCATAATACATATGGGATGTCACAATATAAGCAGGTAGATAAACAGGTCAGATATGCATTAAACACATAACAATTAAACCAACTAAATGGATCTTATTTCCATGCATATGTGAAGCAACATAGATGAAGGCATGAAATTAAAGCAAGCTTTATGAAAGCTGCTCTTCAAAGGCCAATTCCTCAATCATCATGCTCCCATGATTGAGGAGGGGATTGAAGGCTTCAATCCCAGAACACTTGTTGGGCAGTATAATAGGAGCAGCATTAAGCCCCTGAGGATCAATTGGTGATGAGTGCTGTGCAGGCAATGCGTATTTACGCGCAATCACTACTGAGTTAATGACTTCATCAGTGGGATGAAACACAGAAAGAACCTCAAACCCTCTAAGATCATCACAAGGGTCAATCACTGGATACAGAAAGGCCCTGGCACCATGTGCACTCCTTAGCATCAAAGTTGCTCCTGGAGCCATGTACTTAGCCAAGTGATCGATAATTTTCAGCTTCTCCATCTTGTCCATGCCCACAAGAGCTGCCAAAAACACAACGTCATAGTCTTTTAAAGCATTTGTGACATCCATTATATCTGTGGTGTGGAAAACCATTCTTTTTGATAGGTCAGGATCGGACGAGACCAGGCCAAGAGCCTTGGAATTGGCTGAAGGGTCAATGTCATAGTTGTGGAAAGAGGTTGTGGTGAGGTGATTGGAGGCCAAAACAATTGAGGTCAGAGGAAGAGGGCCTGAACCCACAAAGGCAATTTTGCTAGGAACATGAGGGAAGTGTTGGCTAAGGATGGTGAACTCAAGTTTGCTAAGCTTGAGGTAATTAGAGTAATAAGGGAAAATGGTGAGATGGTCAAGAGGGTGTTCATATGAGCCTAAGATGGTTGAGAAATGATTCTCCAAAAGTCCTTCTGCCTCTCCACAAAGCCTTATAAGCTTTGACCTTATTTCTTGCACCCCTTGGCATAACTTGGAAACATCAATTGGACTTGGTGGCATGCATGTGAGCACGAGTTGGGTGAAGAGCATGTTGACATCTTTGGAGGGTTTGAGGCTCTCAAGGCTTGAGATTTGCTCATACAATTCACAGACTCTTTGTACCAAAGCATCACCATGGCAACACATGTCGACACTATGAGGATATGAGATGATATCAAAGGCTCTTCTTACCAAGGAAAAATGGATTGAAAATTCAACTCTTGAGCAAATCACAACTTGGTGACATACTCCAGCCGTTTCGAGGGTCGTTATTTATGGGCACTTGTGGGGTCCATGTTGTGAAGTGGTGATGTTCATTATTGATTTATGCATTGTGATTGTGGGTCCAATCTCGCACCTTGATTGCCACCTCAAATAGTGTAATCAATAAGATCGATCGATATTTTGATTGGTGTAACAATTATAATATTCATAACTTATATATAGCTTCTCAATATTATACATTGTTCAAAATGTTTGTTTTGCGAGAATGTGAATAATTGTTTTATAATCGAAAATGACGAGGAATTAGACTATTTCTCTTATTACGAATTGATTTTGGAGTGAAACTTCAACTTCCTTCTTTTTTTTATTATTTTAATATGTGTATACTATCATCAGTTGTTAGACAAAGATTTTAAACTCTTTACTATAGTTGTGTGTCAACGTTTTGATACCTAGTTCTTGAAAACCTTGTGAACCCTACATTAAACATGGATTGTCTTGGGATTGAGATCAAGGCCATGATCCCAATGCCGAGGTATATAGGTTTCAGAGTTTCAACATTCGATACCGTTAAAGAATCAAACCCTATCCCTAACTATATGGTTCTTGTTATACTTCTGCAGGGAAATTAGTTATAGTTGCAGCATTTTCTGATGCAGTGATGGGAAAAAAAATGATGACATCGCTTGCATTCAATGCGCAAAATATGAGACACAAATAAAAAAATTTAACAAGTGGAGAAATGAGTCCGCTACACCCTTTTCATGGCAATTGGGAATTTGGGAGGTAGTGACTGAAGATCAAAAGCTACAACCAGACCTAAAAGATGATCAAAAGATAGTGATAAGTGACAAGAGGATCAATCTAATTAGGATGATAGCACTTGTACTATCAATTAAATTCTGATGAGTGTTGTTACAATCAGTCATTAACTCGCGTCTTATTATCAGAACCAGAAAAATAATACGAAGAAAACAACTCCATAACCACAAGGGGCTAATGTGCTCCAAGATGATGGACATTTGGATAAAAGATTCTCTTACTTATGCTTTCACACAATACGATTGATATACAGAGTAAATTAAACATCTTCTTGAGTCTAGCCTCTTAGGTTACTATCAGAATATCATTCATTTCACGCTATAGCTTAGCTTGACAAGTTATTGTGAACCCCACTTGTCTTATCCTATTTTATCATAAACAATGAGTGGGGTCCACAAAATGTAATATTCATAGTTAAAAATAAAATAAAAAAATCCCAGCCTGATTGATTCTTCTTTTCCCAAATTGCACCAATAACTCAAATTCATGGTTTGTTCATCCAATATTCGAAATGCTGCTATTCTTGTTTTGATTTACTGTTTTTTTTTGGAACTAATTCTGTCATATATGTTTGACAGATTCAAACTAGTTTGAGGAAATTAATGATTAATGAATGATCCAATTATGCACTTTCTCAAGGGTGTTTAGCTGAAATAATCAGATGTGCAAAGACAAAATCTATGCTGTTTCACTTTCCACATAAATTATAAATATCATGTGGACCTTTATGTATCTAAAATGTTGTCATATACACTGAGTTCAAAGTGCCTTGTATTTTCCACTATAAATGTTATTATTCTATGTTTTCCTTTTGGCTAGAAATTTAGGTGGCTTTCCATAAACTGGATGGCCACTGTAATCCCAATCTCTAAAGAGACCCTTTTCTAATTCGAATTCAGCTTCCAAAGGGCCGTTTAATAATCATTTTAATTTTAATTTTTAGTTTTTATTTTTTGTACTAAAGTATCGAGGAAAAAGTAGGACAATGAAAGTGAGAATGAGAGTGGAGATAGAATTGAGAGGGAAGATGAGACGGGAGGATGCGAGGGATGAGTAACAGAAGTGAAAACAAAAACAAAAAACTAATCTATTGAAATTATTTTCACTTTTGTTACTCCTCCCTCGTATCCTCTCATCTCATTCTCTCTCTCAATCTCATCCTCACTCTCATTTTCACTTTCATTTTTCTCTATACTGTAGCATAAAAAATGAAAAATAAAAACTAAAAACTAAAATTGAAATGGTTATCAAACGGGCCTAAGATATTGTTATATATTATTATTATTTTCACCTTTTTTGTGTCTTCTTCTTGTGTTAGCTTTATGTTTCTCTTTCAATTTCAATGGTTGAAATTAAACGTACCGTTCTTTTAGGTATTGCGTTTTGAAATCGGATGCTTTTTGCCTTTGGAGGTTTCTGTTTGTTTGACCTCATTTTTAACCTCTAACGAAGATATAATATTCTTATAAACAAGGACAATTTGGAAGTGCATGAGATGAGAATAATTTTCATGTGCATGCGTGACTTCCAATAAAATTACTTAATTTCAATCGTACTCTTTTTAAAATGAAGTTTTTGTATTTATCATCCATGTTTGACCTTTTGCTTTGCATCATCGATCGAGATATTAAAGACTAGTTGTACCATCTATATTGCCATAAGTCGTGGGGCTCTATACTCCAAAGATTAGTTGTACCATCTATATTGCCATAAGTCGTGGAAGCCCTAGAAATTTCCTCCATCAATTAGATTGCATTGTTCTTCATCTTTTTTTTTCCAAGTGAAGAAATAGAATCCACTGGGGGAGGTGGTGAAGCGTAGATGTAGACAATTGATTGGTTATTTGGTGGGTTTTTGATAATGTTTTTTTATGTCCCTTTATATTTTGGTCGGAAGAAAAAGCATGAAACATTCATTTTATGGATAGAAGAATGAAAGGAAGTCTCTACTTTTTCTGTCCAATTTGGCCACTTTCAATCCCAACAATAGCAGTAACGCGACTACTCGACGTTGAAGATATCGGCTCCTTTTAGAATGGTGGGTTCAACATTTGGAAACTTGTTTTTTTCTCTCTCTTTTTTCACAAACCATAAAATTACACATGCACTCACTTGAAATTATAAAACTTTGCTAGTCATAAATCTGAATTTGGTTAATTTTTTTTTATCCTTTTCTTAAATCTGGCATATAATACCGCCAAATCCCACTCAGTTAATGCGTTGGGTCAATTTTAAGATATATTATTCGTGTGTTCGGCTCTTATATTACATGTGAATTCTTTTCATTTTTTTTAATAAAAGAAATACTATTCACACTCTAAATATAAATAAAAACTGCTTTCTTTAAATTTAGTATTTGGAGGTCTGCCCCATGCCATCATGCATTAGTTAAATGTAGTGATCCTCTTTCGAGTTTTATTATTTTATTTTATTATTTTAAATAATAGAATAGAAGTATCAAAATCCAAGATAGGGTCATAGCATGTTGGTTGGCTAAGATGAAGTCAAAATCAATCACTGTGGCCATTTAAGCAAATGGATTATGGGTGTGTGTAAACCACACGACTCCATGTGCCATGCACTGGCCCTGAGAGCGATGGCCCTATTCTTTTATTTGCCAGTCATCCTCCTTCCTCACCATGGCCTCACAAATTCACAAATTCACAAATACCTTTCAAATCTAATTCCGTGTCGAAAATGAAATCCTTGTCCCATTTTAATAACCAGAAGATTGTCAGTCATCCCCTAGCTTTAGCATCCATTTCCGTTTGCTTTAATCCATTTCCCTAATTCTGCATATTGGTGTTCACCTTTCAGAGAAATTGGGTTACTCTGACAGAACTCAAGTCTTTCAAGTTTTCAGAGAAATAGGGTAAACATCGAGAGACATCGAGTCCACCCTCTTGCACTCAAGTTTGAATTTATCTCACTATTTACAGAAGTTTAGACTATCCATGATATTAAAATTAAAATTTATAAATAAATAAACGATACTATAGAGCTCAAATTTCTTCCTTTTTTTTTATAGTAAATTTAGGTTTTAGTCAAAAAAAAATTTTCACTTTTCAAAAAAGCCAAAGCTTTTCAAAAAAGACAGAAAAACCTCTCAACTTTCAAATCAAAGACATGCAAATGTAAAAGATTCCTTAGGAAATCCAAAAATAAATAAGGGCAATTTTGTCAATTTTGGCTTCTTTTACAAATTTTCTCTCTCCTTTGTGTTTTTCCAAAGTCTCCCTTTTTTTTTCTCCCCTCCAAATATTTTCTCAAATTCTGCCCATGAACATTAGCCCATCCAGTCCAAGAATGTTATTCTATTATATTATATGCGAAATTTTATAGTAAGGGTGCCATATATAAACTTCTCCAGGTTTAGAGATCCGCTTTCCATAAAATACATATGGGCTTTTGCCCAACTCTCAGCTAAAGGATAAGTCGTTGATAAGATGTTGAAGCCTAGGCCCAAGAGTTGGGTTGCGCTCCTCACAACGCAATGCAAAGGAAACCATGCATTTGGATACCGTTATGTTAGTAATGATCATGAAGCCTATCAGCTAATATTGCACTCCCTATAAGTCATTTGGCCAGCATAACCATTTGACAATAGAAGACTACAACATTCTAGCAACCCAAGCCGTGACTTTCCTTGAAAAATTAGATCTTTAAAAGGAAATTACCATGAAGTCTGCACAATATCAATGTATATCGTGTTCATCAACTGTTTCTAAGGAACATGATCCAAAAGATGACAACAATTACAACCCCCTGCCCTTTTCCTCAACATTCAGAACAAACTAAAGATAAAATGCAAGGAAGAGATAGCAAAGTGGCGTTTATAGATGTTTGAAAGAAAACTCCAGTTTAAGAATGATGCATGCAACTGTATGGAAACACCATCTTTAAAATTATACTCAAATTTGAATGAGTCGCTGAAACTAAGTTCTTATATGGCATCTACAGAATAAATTTTGAGTAAAAGAAACAAAGGAATGAACCTAATTCGTTCACCTCAGTTCAGAATGCTCATATGTTTCAGAGCTCTCATAGGTATTGGAAACTTCAAAGGCTTCAGCTTCAGAACCTTCAGAACTTTCATAAGCTGAAGTTTCACGAACTTCACTATTTTCGGGCAAACCAAACTGGAGCAAGTAATTGACTCCATTAATCACATCATAGACCATCAATCCAATTCTACCTCCTACCCAACTGCCCAATTGACTTCCCACAAGATAACCAAATCTCCCAAGCCTTTGCTCTCCTAGAAAGCCTCCAGCATAGGTGCCAAACAAGGTGCCAGTGCCCCTAACAGTCCCTTCTGTTAATGCACCACCATAATATATAGCTTCAGAAAAGTCCCATCCAGAAGAGATAATAGGACCTATTATCCGCTTGGCTTGCCGAGTTGCCAGTTTCGCGGCCTTTGCTCCTGCTTTCTGTGCTTGTTTGGCTGCATCTTTAGCAGGTATCCCCTGTGACAATGCATCAGCCAATGCACTTTCAAGTGCTTTATACCTTATTCTCTCAACATGGGAAGCTCTGATGTTGTTAACATAGAGTTTCACTCCCTCTTTCACAGAACAAGCTAGTGTTCCAGAACTCATATCAAAGCAGTTCAAGAATGTAAACTGTCCACTCCGAGATGCATATTTTTCCCCAACCAGCTGCCGACATTTTTCAGCTATGGAGAAAAAAATTAGATCAAAAGAACAAAATTTATTCTAAATAAGTAATGGATACACATTTTCTCTACAAAAAAGACTAAAAATTGAATATTGCATTGCATATGTTAGCAAATCACAAAATGCTTCAAAAAATCGATCATGGGTAAAAATCTCAGACTGTAAGCAAAAACTTCTGTAAAATATTACGCACAGAAACATTATACTTATAGCTCCATCCGACCAGAATGCATGCAATATTACAACAATAACAGAACATTAACATGAAAATAGTGATTTATCTTTCGAGCTATCAGCTCAGGTCTATAAGACAAATCAACTGCCCCACCACCTTCAACAGATTTATTTCAAAACAATATCATGGATTCAAAGATAATAACTATAGCATTATGGTAAAGATCCAAGCTGCACTCTTTCAGCGCGCAATGGACTTCGCGTGATCAAATGATCTATAGGATCTTCAAATTCGGGATTTTGGTTTAAATTCCTTGCATTTTGCTTGCCACCAAATGGGAAAATTTAAGAGCCAATAAAATTTTAAAAAGGACAGATCTTTACATATTCAATTAAGAATTTTCATTTCCCAGTAGAGAGTAAAAGAAAAACTTCGAATTTCGAATTCTAATCAATCTTTCCCCTATAGTTTTCCCAGTAAGAGAAAAAATATGGCGGTAACAGCAAACATTATGTATATGTACGTACCTGTGATACTGAGAACGATGATGCCAGCTATGAAGGCCACTAATTGGATTCTTTTCTTCTGGAAATCCATGGGATTTCAAGCACTTTGGAAAGAAAAAGAAAAACCCTAACTTTGGGTGGTGAATGGAGATGGGATTAGAAGGTGAGAATAATAGGGAGCTTGGGGAAGGGAAACGAAGGGAAGAATCTGAAAGCCGTGTGCATTATGAAAGTCAGACTCAAGATTTCTGAACTATAATTAATCATTTATGGCCTAACATGGAATGGAAGCCATTGAGTGACTACACTAAACGCTGCGTTTTGGCTTCTTACTATTTAAAACTCCTACCTACCTACGACACTTTTTTTCCCTTCTCTCAATCTCTTGGTTCTTGAAAAAAAAAAAAAAAAAAAAAAAAAAAAAAAAAAAAAAAAAAAATCTCTTTCTTGGAGAGGTATCTTTTCCTTGGTAAAATGAGGGGCACAAGCCCAACTAACAAAAACAACTACAAATTTATAAATAAATAAAAAAAGCTAAGAAAAACAAGCGACTTGATAAAAATTTAGTGGTAGATTAGGATCCAACTTTTCCTTGTTCTTTCTTTTTTGTTTTTTCTATGATAAGTGACCATTTTCAGTAGTTATTTGTTTTCCTTGACATAATAAACAGAGATAAAAGTAGTTGAAAGACTGCAAGTCATTGTCGCACAACTTTGTGATGGTTTAGGCTTTCTGCTCCAGTCCACCCAACACAAGCATTCATCACATCTTCATGACCACCTTTGGATGTGGACACAAACTGCTTCCTTTGTGCGCAGACTGAAACCAAATGCAGTTTCTTATTTCAATGGTTAGGAGCCCGTCTATATCAGGAACAAAACCCTTCTCCATCATTTACTTTTTTACATTTTCATAAGTAGTTCGATTTGGGATCAACCCTTTTTCCAGAATCTCATTAAGAAGCTCATTCACATCTTCAAGCTTGCCCTTCATGCAATATCCCTTGATCAACACATAACATTATATGTTACTTCATTTGCTGGCTTCCATTTTCTCCATCTGTGCCCTCATATTCAAAGCTGTACTGAGGTTTCCTTCCCTGCAGTAGCCATGCATCAGAGTATTGTATGTCAAGTGTATTGGAAACAAACCCTTTTTGAGCATCTGATTTCGGAGTCTCGCTGCCTTTCTTGACTCCCCTTTTTGCACAATAACTTTTTGGGCGTCTCATGTTATGAGATCAGCTTTGGAGCCCCTTATCTCCATTTCATATTAAAACGTCATGGCCATTTCCTTGTTTCCTTGTCTGCACAAACCAGTAATCCGGCAGTTAAAAGGTCGAAGTGTCTGGGGAAGCCCCTCGCTCTGACATTGAATTGTGCATCAATTAGCATATTATATGTCATAACATTGGGCCCCAAGTCTTGATTTCTAATGTCATCAAGCAACTCTCTAGCTTTCTTTATCATCATCTTCTTACAAAACCACTTATTAGTGCATTGTAGGTGGAGGGAATGATTTTCCCCACGAGAATATTCGTCAAAGATTCCTTCGTCTTCTCCGCTTCTCTTTCTCTCTGCAAAACAGATCGGAGTAAAAGGACCACACCCGGGGGGTGTTGGCCAAAGGCCCTCCGATGCCTAAGTTAGGTAAGGTATTTCAAGGAAAACCGGGTGGCCGGAGCCGTGTGTGGTGGCCGGAGCCTTGTGTAAGGGAGAGAAAGAAAGTGGTGGCTAGGGTTTGTGAGAAATGATTTGTGCAGAGTTCCAGTAGGAATTTAGACGTACCTTCACCATTGTGTGTGGCTATGCTTTTATAATGGTCTTGGAGGCTAGGGTTTCAGAGGAATAATTCCGTAGATGGAAGGGAATTATTCCTCCCCTTTATGGAATTGATTTGATTAATTAGGGATTTGATTTATTAGGGTAAATCAAATCCCTAATTGTGGTAGGTATCAAATCAAATCCCATTTCAATTAGGTAACTCCTCATTTAATTGAGAATCGGGGTAGGAATTAGGAATCAATTCTCAACCCAATTAGGTAGTCTTCAATTTAATTGGGTAACCCCCAATTAAATTGAGTAACTCCCAATTAGGTTGATTAATTCCCAATTAGGTCAAATAATCCCCAAATGGAATGAATTATTTGACCTAGGGTTTTGACTTAATTTGGTTACCACAAATGCCCCCCAGCTTCTGCATGGCGCGCGGTGGCATGTAGGAGATGTGAATTATCTGTTGGGCTGTCCAGCTGTAACTGGGCTTCCTTCTTGGATTTGGACTCCTTTTGCAGATTGGGTTCCCAATTGGAGTGAGCCTTTGACTGTTCTTGGAGTTGGGTTCCTAGTAGGAATAGGCTTGCGATTCCTTCTTGACCTAGGATGCCCAACGTGTGTAAATGCATGGCTTCTCTTCACTCTTCTTCACATCGCAAACTTAACTTCTCTACTTTCTAGCTTGAGAGAGATCTTGGAGAATTTGTACTGCTTGTCGAAGAGAAGAGTCGCCGTGCATCCCAAAGTAAGTCGAGCACGTATATTTCTTTTTCTTCGTCTTTTCTTATTTTTTTCGGCGAAGGTTAGTTGGGAGAAGTCCGGCTAGTTGTCATCGTGACATGTGACGGTTAGCAGTAGGCGGCAGCTGTGGTGGGGCATGTTTGCGCAGATGGACCAGCTGCTGCCTATTATCGCAGGCCTGGGCTGGAGCATGTTGGGCCTCGTGCGTTGCAGGCCTCGTCAGCTAAGTGGGTATCCAGAGGAAGTTGGTGGTCTGCCCCCTGCCCAGGATATTGAGAGATGGAAGCATAATGGTCCAGACTTGGATGATCTGCTGGCTGGGCAAGATGAGTATTCTGCCGGACTCCCCTTCAAAAAAGAAGGTTGACGTCAAGTCTTCAAGAAATGAAGCTGCGAATTCGCTGGCAAAAGATGTGTCCCCGTTGAGGAAGAAGCCAAGGATCCCTTACGCTGAGAAGACTCAAGTGAGAGCTGTTTCATCATCATCCGCCAAGGTTAAACATCTTGCTTGTGTAGATAGTAGGAGGGTTGGTGAGTGCCAGGGTCCCCCTTGAGGGACTCCGGGCGTGTTTTGCACATCCCTCATGATGGTTTCCCTTAGGAAGTTGGCGAGTGCCAGGGCCCCCCTTAAGAGGCTCCGGGCGTGTCTGCACATCCCTTAGGATGGTTTTCCTCAGGAAGTTGGCGAGTGCCAGGGCCCCCCTTAAGAGGCTCCGGGCGTGTTCTGCACATCCCTTAGGATGGTTTCCCTTAGAAAGTTGGCGAGTGCCAGGGCCCCCCTTAAGAGGCTCCGGGCGTGTCCTGCACATCCCTTAGGATGGTTTTCCCTTAGGAAGTTGGCGAGTGCCAGGGCCCCCCTTAAGAGGCTCCGGGCGTGTCCTGCACATCCCTTAGGATGGTTTCCCTTAGGAAGTTGGCGAGTGCCAGGGCCCCCCTTAAGAGGCTCCGGGCGTGTGCTGCACATCCCTTAGGATGGCTTGGTCGTCGCCCTGCGTCTCCCGAAGGACGCTGCTTATGGGCAACTGTGTGTCTATCCTGCCTCCCTTAGGAAACGGATAGGAACCTGGATACTTCCCGCAGAAGGCATGGAGACCTCCTTTTAAGAAATTCCTGGCGCACCCTGCGTCTCCCTTAGGACGCTTTTTACGGGCTGCGTCTCCCGAAGGACGCTTTGGTCGTCGCCCTGCGTCTCCCTTAGGACGCTGCTTATGGGCAACTGCGTGTCTATCCTGCCTCCCTTAGGAAACGGATAGGAACCTGGATACTTCCCGCAGAAGGCATGGAGACCTTCTTTTAAGAAATTCCTGGCGCACCCTGCGTCTCCCTTAGGACGCTTTTTACGGGCTGCGTCTCCCGAAGGACGCTTTGGTCGTCGCCCTGCGTCTCCCTTAGGACGCTGCTTATGGGCAACTGCGTGTCTATCCTGCCTCCCTTAGGAAACGGATAGGAACCTGGATACTTCCCGCAGAAGGCATGGAGACCTTCTTTTAAGAAATTCCTGGCGCACCCTGCGTCTCCCTTAGGACGCTTCTTACGGGCTGCGTCTCCCGAAGGACGCTTTGGTCGTCGCCCTGCGTCTCCCTTAGGACGCTGCTTATGGGCGACTGATTTGTGGTGATCTGCCTGCCAATGGATTGTGAGCTGTTGTCAGTGGCCAGCGATTGTGGGCAGCCAAACCGGCAGATGATGTTTCTCTAGATGAATCGCTCCACATCGGCTTCTTTAATAGAGGATAGAGCTTCTGCCTCGATCCATTTAGTAAAGTAGTCGGTGGCGACGATCATCCATGTCCTTCTTGTCGGGCACGGGTGGCAAGAGACCCACTAAGTCAATGACCCATTGCATGAATGGCCATGGACTATTTTGCGAATGGTCAACTTCGGCAGGCAGGTTAAGGATCGGCTTGTATCGCTGGGAGCGATCACATTTCTTGACATATTCCGTAGAGTCGTGGCGCATGGTAGGCCATAAGTAGCCTATGTTTAGAGCCTTCTAGGCGAGTGATTTGCCCCTAGAGTGGTTGCCACACTCGCCGCCGTGAATTTTGCAAAGGACCTCAAGTGTTTGAGGGTATTTTATGCAAGCGAGATGAGGACCGGAATATGATCTGCGGATGAGCTTGCTGCCGTGCATATAGTATCTCGTGGCCTTCTACTGGACCTTCTAGCTTCGGACTTGTCCGTTGGTAGGTTCCCACTCGCTAAGTAGTCGATGACAGGGTCTTGCCAGTTGGGGTCCTCGTCAATTTGCATTATGTCGATTGGCTATATTTCTTCAATGCTTGGTCGGTCAAGGTGTTCGACCAGGATGGAGCATCTGAACTAGGCATCCAGTGCTGACCCTAGGCTGGCTAGTGCGTCTGCATACGCGTTCTCTGCCCGGGGTACTTGTTGGATGGTGAAGGTAGGAAACGCCTTCAACAACTCCTGGACTTTGTCAAGGTACAAGATCATCCTTGGGTGCTTCGCCATGTATTCACCTGACGCTTGATTCGTGATCAGCTGGGAATCTGAGTAGATGGCTAGCTTCTTGATTGCGAGTTCCTTTGCCAAGCGCAGGCCGGCAAGCAGTGCCTCGTATTCTGCCTCATTGTTCGAGGCCGGGAAGCCAAGCGTGATAGCTTGCTCCAACAAGGTTCCATCCGGGGTGATGATGACGACACCCGCTCCAGCTCCTTTTTGGTTTGACGCTCCGTCTACCCGCAACTGCCACATGTCTCTAGGTTGGCTAGGTTCAGCGGAGGTCCCGTCTGCTTTTGAACTTTCCTTCTTTTCGTTGACCATTTTCTCTTCTTCGGCCGATGGGGTGAACTCTGCTACGAAGTCAGCTAAAGCCTGGGCTTTTATTGCAGCTTTTGGCCGGTAGAGGAGGTCATATTGGCTTAGCTCTATAGCCCACTTCATGAGTCGCTGAGAAGCATCAGGGCTATGAAGGATTGATCTCAAAGGAAAGTCGGTCATGACGATGACTCGATGAGCTTGGTAGTAGGGTCGTAGCTTTCTTGCGGAAAACTACAAGAGCCAAAATGAGTTTCTCCAATTTTGGGTAACGAGTCTCTGCATCGAGGAGAGCTTTTGACTGTAGAATACCGGATGTTGGGCCCCCAGCTCTTCTCTGATGAGAGCTGAGCTGACAGCTGAGTTGGACACTGCCAGGTACACGAACAAGTCCTCACCAGGGACTGGCTTTGAAAGCAAGGGAGGTGAAGTGAGATAAGCCTTGAGACTCTGGAAAGCTACTTCGCACTCCTCATCCCATTTGTCTCTTTGTCCTTTCTTCAAAGCTTTAAAGAATGGTTTGCACTTGTCGGTTGATCTTGAGAGGAACCGGTTGAGGGCCGCTGCTCTGCCCGTCAGACTTTGTATTTCCTTCACTGTGGAAGGCGACTTCATCTCTAGAATAGCTTTGATCTGACGTGGGTGTGCCTCGATACCTCGTTGTGTGACTAAGTATCCCAAGAATCGGCCGGAGGATACACCAAATGTGCATTTACTTGGGTTCAACTTCATGCGATACTGGCGGAGCAGGCTGAATGCCTCAGCGAGGTTTTTGAGGTGATCTGCACGTTTTGGGGGCCTTGACCAGCATGTCGTCCACGTACACCTCCATAGTTTTGCCGATCTGCTCCTTGAAGATTTTGTTCACCAGTCTTTGGTAGGTTGCTCCGGCGTTTTTCAGCCCAAAAGGCATGACCTTGTAGCAGTAGGTCCCTCTCTCGATGATGAAAGAAGTTTTCGCCTTGTCATCCTCGTGCATCAAGATTTGGTTGTAGCCGGAGTAGGCGTCCATGAAGCTGAGTAGCTGATTGCCAGAAGTGGAATCCACTAGTTGGTCGATTCTTGGCAATGGAAAGTTGTCTTTTGGGCACGCTTTGTTGAGGTCGGTGTAATCGACGCAGACTCTCCACTTTCCCTTCTCTTGTTTTGCCACTAGAACAACATTAGCGAGCCACTCCGAGTAGGAGACCTCTTCAATGAAGCCGGCGGCTAGGAGTTTATCAATCTCGGCTTCGATGATGGCGACCCGCTCGGGTGCGAAGTTGCGCCTCTTCTGCGCCACTGGTTTGCAGGCAGGGTTGACGTGGAGTCGGTGACATATGATGTTCGGTCGATACCAGGCATGTCTGACGGCGACCATGCGAACATATCTTTGTTGTTCTGGAGGAAAGTGGTAAGTTCCACCTTCTCGTCTGGGCTTAGGCGCGAGCCGATCCGCACTTTTTTGTCTGGCTGGTCAGGATCCAAGGGTATTAACTTGATGTCCTCCTCGGGCTTCCATCCTTCTTCAGGAAAGACCTCTGGACGGATTTCCTCGGCTTGGTCCTGACGCTTTGATTGCTATAAGATAGCATGGTTCGATTGTTCCACCTCCTTCAGATCTGCCTGGCTTACTGGGAGGAACTGCGCTTGCTTGCTTTTCTTCAGCCCTTGGGCGGAGCACTTCCTCGCCATTGCCTGATCGCTGTTGATTTGTCCAACACCGCCCCCAGGGATTGGGTACCGAATTTTCTGATGTGTGGCAGAGGTGATGGCGTTGATCATGCCGATCCATGGCCTGCCCAGAATGCCGTTGTAGGGTGAGACCTCATTAATGACCATGAACGTTTGCAAGCAGACTACAGGTGGGGAGTAGACGTCAAGGTCTATTGTGCCCACGGTAACCGTTGTTGCGCCATTGAAGCCGGTCAGCGATCTGGCTGATTTGTTGATCTTTGCCTCCAAGCCCATCTGCTGGATGACAGCCAGTTGCAGGATATTGGCTGCGCTGCCCTCGTCTGCATGGATTCGGTCGACCATGGCCTGAGCGATTTGTATGCTGATGACAAGGGCATCGTTATGTGGCATGTCGAGGCCGATCAGATCTTTCTTTTGGAAGCCGATTATAGGATCGTCTTCTGTTGGTGGAAGGTCAGTCGAGACTTGGGAGATCATAGTGGCCTGTTTGATCTTCCTCTTCTTTTCCTTGCTGGTCAATCCTGACTCCTTGGCGTCGGCTAGGATTGTGTTAATCCTTATGACCTTCTGGGGCGGTTCCTTGGCGGTGTCTCGATCTTCAATCCGCTGGATGGCCTGCTTCGCGATGAACTCCGTGCAGTGACCCTCTTTTACGAGTTCTTCAAGGTGTGCTTTCCAAGCGAGGCAGTTATTGGTAGTGTGCCCGTGTGTCCCATGGAAGGCACAGTATTTGCTTGTATCTCTCTTGTCTGGATCTCCTTTCAAGGGTGGCGGTCTTCTTACCCAAGGTTTGTTTTTACTTGGGCTAAGATTTGATGTATGGGGATGGTGAACTTGGTGTAGTTCTCTCTTGCTGTAGCGTCTCCTTGTGGGTGTGACCTGCGCTTATCCTTGTTCTTGTTGCTAAATCCATCGCTTCTTTGACCTGCCCGCTTAGTCGGTTGATCTTCCTGCTTAGTAGACTTTTTTGCGGCGATTCGATCGTCATCCCAGAGCGCGTAGCGTTCCGCGGTCGCGTAGACCTCTGCCAGAGTCTGGCTGGGAGTGATAGTCAGCTCGCGGTACAAGTCGTGTTCAGCTGGGAGGCCTTTCTTGAAAGCAGATGATGCGATCCGGTCGTCACATCCTACAATGTTGGCCTTTTCTGCTTTGAATCTCTTGATGTAATCTCGAAGGGATTCGTCGGACTTCTTGCGCAGGTTGTACAGGTGGTCAGGGTTCTTCTTGATCGTCCGGTAGGAGGTGTACTCTTTGGTGAAGACGTAAGCCAACTCCTTGAAGCTGTTGATCGACCCAGATGGCAGGGTGTGGAACCAATCTTGGGCTGCTCCTCGCAAGGTCACTACGAATACCTTGCACATCAACGCGTCGTCGGCCTTGTGGAGGATCATGACACTTTTGAAGTGTTTTAGGTGACTCTCGGGATCGGAGTCCCCTTTGAAGTGTGTAAACGAAGGCGTGGAGAATCGCTTCGGGGGAGCAGCCTGCTCGATTTCGGCAGTGAAAGGTGTGGAGTTTGCCTGGTCGATCTCCTTGCGTAGTGCATCGTCGAGGTTCCCACCAGTCTTCAGATCTCGAAGTCGGTCATTCATAAGCTTCTCGACGTCCTCCATGCACATTGTTGGTCGATCACGTTGGCGACCTTCGCGATTCGGGCGACGTTGACTGACCTCTTCCTGGGTCTGCGAGTGTCGACCTTCTCGTCTGCGCTGCCTAGGCGGAGTGTTGGTGGACTGCGCTTGCGAGAGATTCTCCGTAGTTGGTCGACGAGAGCCGTCTCTTCGTGAGTGAGCAGCGGAGCGTCTTTCTTCGCGGTCCTCATTGTGAGGATTATCCGGTTGACCACCCTGGGGACGTAGCCTCTCGTGAATGTTCGTCTGCGAGTGGACAGCCGAGCGTCTTTCTTCACGATCCTCGTTGCGATGGTTGTCTGATTTTCCTCCCTGGGGGCCTAGCCTTTGAAGTACATTTCCCTGCGGTCCCAAGCGGGCGTGGACGTCAAGTCGTGGGCCTAGCCTCTCGCGCATGTTGTTCCTCGAACTTAATCTGCTCCGAGTGGGGCTCGCGGATGCTTGTGACATGTCAGTAGGCCGATCAAGTTGTTGTCTCCCTCGCCTTGTCTGCCTACTCCTGCTTGACCTGCTGGGTACCCGTTGAGTTGTCTGCCGGTGCGTTCGTCCATCCTTCTCTCTTCGCCTAGTTGTCCAAGGCCAAGGTTTTGAGCCAAGCTGATTTGGTGGAGGAGTTGCCTCATCAGATCGCTTTGGTCGTCCATTCTCTGAGCTAGCTGGTCAACTCTCAGACTAAGGTCTGCTTGACTTCGTGGATCAGGAGGAGAGAAGTGTGTGGAGCCCAATTGCACACGGGCTAGGGTTTCATTGGAGGTGTGCGCGGGAGCGTGTGTCGAGCGTGGAGGCAATGAAGGGATCGCTTGAAGTTGCTCCAAGATCGGGCCTAAGTCAGCGGTGGTAACAAGCCCACCTTGATAGGAGGTTCCACCATGTTCGGCGGCGGTGGCCGGTGCGGTGGTGAGAGGTGGTGGGGCCACCATGTCGATCGCGGGATCGTGGGCGGAGTGGCTTTGGGCCGTCGCGGATTTAGCCATCGCGGCGGTTTTGCCTCTCGTCTTCATGCTTCCAACCATGGTTGTTTGGAAGGCTTCGGTGGATTGGAAAATAGGAGGAACGGATTCCTTGAGCACGCGTTGAGTATAACTCGTGCTCTCAATGAAAGCACCAATTTGGAGGGAATGATTTTCCCCACAAGAATATTCGTCAAAGATTCCTTCGTCTTCTCCGCTTCTCTTTCTCTCTGCAAAACAGATCGGAGTAAAAGGACCACACCCGGGGGGTGTTGGCCAAAGGCCCTCCGATGCCTAAGTTAGGTAAGGTATTTCAAGGAAAACCGGGTGGCCGGAGCCGTGTGTGGTGGCCGGAGCCTTGTGTAAGGGAGAGAAAGAAAGTGGTGGCTAGGGTTTGTGAGAAATGATTTCTGCAGAGTTTCAGTAGGAATTTAGACGTACCTCAACCCTTGTGTGTGGCCATCCTTTTATAATGGTCTTGGAGGCTAGGGTTTCAGAGGAATAATTCCGTAGATGGAAGGGAATTATTCCTCCCCTTTATGGAATTGATTTGATTAATTAGGGATTTGATTTATTAGGGTAAATCAAATCCCTAATTGTGGTAGGTATCAAATCAAATCCCATTTCAATTAGGTAACTCCTTATTTAATTGAGAATCGGGGTAGGAATTAGGAATCAATTCTCAACCCAATTAGGTAGTCTTCAATTTAATTGGGTAACCCCCAATTAAATTGAGTAACTCCCAATTAGGTTGATTAATTCCCAATTAGGTCAAATAATCCCCAAATGGAATGAATTATTTGACCTAGGGTTTTGACTTAATTTGGTTACCACAATTATGGCTTGCAATGTCGGTATTTTGTCTAGCATGAAAACGGTGGTACCCCGACTTGACAGTATACGAGCCACTTGAGTTCCATGGCCAAACAAGGCGATCCGGTCTGGAAGAGTGACCAATGGGGATGCATTTGATGCTCTGTAGAATGTCATTGTTTATGAAGGTGGAGATACTATCCAGCTTCCATGTGTGGTTTTGTTTGTCCATTAGTTCTTGGACCAATTGGGGGGCTTGAGGAGGAATTGGCAGCAAAGTTTTCACAGGTCCCGACTCACAGGAAGGGATCCAGACATCGTTCCATATATTCGTGTTTGCACCGCTAAAAATTTGGAAGCGTGTTTCTTTCATCATTGCCTTTCTTCCCTCAAGAAGGCTGACCCAGGCCCATGAAGGGCGAGAACCCTTAGTTGCATTAAGGAAGTCAGTCGAAGGGAAATAACGCGCTTTCAAGATCTTAACCCAAGCAGCTTCAGGGTTCAAAATAATTCTCCAACTTTGCTTGGCAAGAAGAGCTAAATTGAAGTTGGACAAGTCACGAAATCCCAAACCTCCCACTTTCTTGGCCAAGCATAATTTTTTCCAGGATTTCCAATGAATTCCAGCGCTGTCCTCATTATTGCCCCACCAAAATGAAGCCAAGTCACTGTTGATTTGATTACATGTTCCTTCCGGGAAACGAAAACAAGTCATAGGAAAAGCTGGCACAGCAGTTGCTACTGCCTTTAAAAGAACTTCTTTCCCAGCAAGAGAAAGGGAGTTGAGTTTCCGAAGCTGGACTTTGCTAATTGCACCTTCCTCTGTAAACACAACTCAGATATGAAAAGGATGGTGATGCTCTCATTGTCTTGGCAATCTCCTTGGCAATCTGAGAGAAATTAATAAAGGAGCTGCCAAAAGAGAAAATCAGTTCAAATTAATAAAGGAGCTGAACTCAAAATCAAAACCAACTTCAGATTTTATCAAAATCAAAGGATTGTTTTTTGGAAAATCAGTTAATACACTAATAGCATGTTTACTAATCAGTAAAAAGTCAAGGCAACTATCAACATCGGGGTGGTGGCGCAGTTGGCTAGCGCGTAGGTCTCATAGCTTCTGAGTTATCCTGAGGTCGAGAGTTCGAGCCTCTCTCACCCCAACTTCTTTACAATTTTAAATTAAAATTTTCACCCACCCAATTACCCAGAGAAGTGGTTTGCTTTTACCATTTTGGACATGGCACTTGCAGAAATGGGAAAGGTGACTTCGTGGGCATTTTGGGATTTGAAAGTTTGCCGAGTTCAATGATACCAATAAAGATTGAACTCCACAGTTGCCCAAAAACATAATTGGATAAGACATGAAACAGCATTTTGTATTGCCCATTTGAGAAACAACTCAACATAAAACACTAACAATATCACTTGCCTAACTAAATGACCCAAATAATTATTCCATATTACAGTATATAAAGCACCATAGAAAATAAGAAACCAGTGAGCGAGAGGAAGGTGGCAGCAGCCCAGAGAAAGACACCAAGAGCAATGACATGGGCTCGGTTGTTGCGCATAGCAAGGTAAGCCGCAAGTGGGTAGCAGGCAGACTGGACAATGGATCTGAACAGAGTGAGTGAGCCCAACCCAGTTGGGTCGGTGTGGAGACTGGCCCCCACCTCTTTGCATAATACTTGCTAGGTTCGCCAACAACAATGTCACAACCTCTGCTTTCATTTTCCAATCTCTGTTTGGACTGAAAACAGAGCACTCTGCTCGGTTCTCAGACCAAGGGGAGAAAGACAAATCAGAGGTTAGAAGGGGAAGAAGTTTTCGTTGACTAAAGGCTGGATGGAGACTGAAGGGTTACTTTGGAAATGATGACCCACGTTGAATGTGGGACCTGTAAGAAGGTTTATTACATTAAACCTACTAAAGTGATCTTCTAATCAACTTAGGATTACAAAGACTTATTGTTTATTAGGAACTCAAAACCTATCTCGATTAGGCAAGCCTGTAAACAGTGTTCAATAAGGATAATGAAGGCTTAAGGGTTCCTAGTTCTACAAGGATTGGAATGGATTAATCCTATAGCATGAAGGATATCTCTAAGTGTTTCTTGATGGGCAAGACACTTAGAGAGATGCATATAAATAGAAGGCTCCCTCCTAGATCCGAAATATACAACACAGCTAAACAGAAATTCACCCATCAGAGTTATAGCTATAAGGATCGGATTCTCAGAAGAAGAACTTCTATACCTTGCGCTGCCAATCTGTTCCAGCATCATCCAATCTGCGCCAGCAACATGTCAGACTCAGGTTAGTGTTAAACATGTTATGGCTTTAAAGAATTAACATGTGGTATCAGAGCTTAAGTTATATCATGTTATACCTAACAAAACTCGTGCAGGAAAATTAAGAATAAATAACTGACAGTTTTAAGTTATAAAGTATGAACATGATAACAGTATAAAGTATGAACTTTATCATGTTCTTAAAGTTTTCTACAGATCATTGCTTACAGTCCTTGTGCCGTGATTGAGTAAGCCAAAGCGACTCAACCATTGCATGATCACTATATTCAGGGTTTATGATTAGAATTTGCACCATGATGCAAAACATGTCGAAAGGCTTTCTGTCCAAAGATGTCAGCAGTTTGATATGTCTTGCATCATGGTGGATCGACATGGAATATGGATAGATATGGATTAGTGAAAGGTTTTCTTCTGTCTAAAGATGTAGAAGATCTTTTGCTCAGGAAATCCACATCTACTCGTTTTCCAGTGTCAATAAGCATGCTTGAATCATTGTCCAAAGATGTGATTAAGTGTGTTTGATTAAAGTTCTGGGGAAATTTATATATATAAAGTGCTTATCTTGTTTTAAACATGTACAGTCAATCATAACTCGATTCGAACTCTCACTGGCTCAAATTATAAGAAATGGAGAGAAGATGTGGAAATTGCTCTTGGACTTCTGGATTATGAGATGGTTCTTACTGATGAAGCTCTATCAGTACCTGCGAATGATGCATCTGCTGAGACTAAGACTAAATATGCAAAGTGGATTAAGGCCAACAAAATGGCAATTCTGATCATGAGGAGGTCTATTTCAGAAGAGGTCAGAGGCAGTATTTTTGAAACTAAGAGTGCTAAGCTATTCATGGAAGCTATTGCAGAAAACTTCCAAGGATCCAAGAAAGCTGAAATTGGTACACTCATGAGCCAGCTGACAGATATGAAATACAATGGAGAAGGCTGCATAAGAACTCATATTCTGAACATGGTTGAGATAGGAAACAAGCTGAAGGCTCTAAAAGTCAATGTGGATGAAACCATGATGGTGCACTTTGCTATTAATTCTCTACCTAGCATTTATAGACAACTGAAAACTACTTATATTGCTCAGAAGGAGATATGGTCAGTTGCTGATTTGATAGGTATATGTGTGCAGGAAGAACAAAGTATCAGAAAGGACAAAGGAAAAGAACAAGTGTATTTGGTGCAGGATACTAAGTTTAAACCAAAGGAATGGACCAAAAACAAGAACACAGATAAGCAGCAAAGGAAAGATGAGTCTGCAAAGGGCACGGGTCCAGTAGGTTTGAAGTGTTTCTTTTGCAAGAAATTTGGACATTTAAAGAGAGATTGCAGAAGATACAAGCGCTGGTTGGACAAACAAAAGGGAAAAGGTAAGCATGAAAATGTCTCTGTGATTTATGAATCTAATACAGTTGAAGTTTTATCTAATTCATGGTGGTTAGACAGTGGTGCAACAGTTCATGTGACTAACTCTTTGCAGGGATTCAAAACAAAGAGGGTGCCAAACAAGGATGACTTGAAGGTGTTCGTGGGAAATGGAGAAAGAGTTAGAGTAGATTTTGTTGGTTTAGCTAGTCTTGAGTTGGAGTCAGGTTTTATTTTGGAATTAGTTGATGTCGTTTATGTTCCTTCTATGACAAGGAATTTGTTATCAGTTAGCAAGCTTGTAAAATCAAACTTACAGTTTGAGTTTGATGAGTCTGGTTTCTCCATTTTCAGAAATAAAAGTTTTATTGGTAATGGATTATTGATCGATGGAATGTTTCGTTTGAACTGCAAATTACCAAATCAAAGTACAAAGATGATAAATGTGTTAAGTTCAAAACAGCCTTGTAATACAGAATCTTTCACACTATGGCATAAGAGACTTGGACATGTCTCGAAAGAAAGAATGAATCTCCTAAGCAAAGAATCAATTCTCCCACCACTTAATCACCATGAACAAGATAAAACATGCATTGAATGTGCAAAAGGAAAGCTAACAAATCTCATAAAGAAAGGGGCAATAAGAAGTGAGAAACTACCTGAGATAATACACACAGATATCTGCGGACCTTTTCCAGTTAATACACATGATGGTTTCAGTTATTTTATTACTTTTACAGATGATTTTTCAAGATATGGATATGTGTATCTGATAACAGAAAAATCCAAAGCATTGGAAATGTTTAAAATCTACAAGGCAGAAGTGGAAAACCAGCTGGATTCTAAGATTAAAGTTGTAAGATCAGATAGGGGTGGAGAGTTCTATGGCAAGTTCACAGAAAAAGGAAGAAATCCAGGACCTTTTGCAAACTTCCTACAGCAAGAGGGCATTGTTGCACAATATACAAATCCTGGAACACCACAGCAGAATGGTGTTTCAGAAAGGAGAAATAGAACCTTAATAGAGATGGTGAGAAGCATGATGTGTTGTGCAAAGCTTCCTACTTTTCTATGGGGAGAAGCTTTAAAAACTGCAAACTACCTTGCCAACAGAATTCCCACCAAAGCTACAAACAAGATACCCTACGAAATCTGGTGTAAAAGAAAGCCTAGCTCATCTAAGGACCTGGGGATGCAAGGCAGAGGCAAAGCTGTACAATCCTATGCAGAAGAAACTTGATTCCAAAACAGTGAGCTGCTTCTTCATAGGATATCCAGATAGGACAAAAGGTTATAGGTTTTATTGTCCTAAAAATAACACTAGATTTGTGGAAACACAGAGAGCAATTTTTATTGAAGAAGAAGAGGAAGGATTAAATGAAGCAGATTTTGATTTTGATGAAGTTTTGGAAACTAAGGAAACTGCAGCTGAAAACCAAACAAGAGAAGTCACTATCTTACCTTTTGATGCCTTGGAAGAAAACCAAGCCTCACCAATGGATGCAGAAGGGAATAATGAAGAAGGACAAGTGACTGAAAACCAGCAAACTGCAGTAGAAGAAATGCAGACAGATCAGCCAGTACAGGCTCCAGATTTACAGCTCAGGAGATCACAGAGACCTAAAAGGCCAGCCTTGTCAAATGACTACTTTGTTTACCTGCAAGAATCAGAGCATGACATTAATACTGAGGAAGACCCTGCAACTTTCAAGCAGGCCATGGAAAGTGACAAAAGTTCACAGTGGTCTGCAGCCATGGAATCTGAACTAGAATCAATGAGCAAAAATGGGGTATGGAAACTAGTTAATTTGCCATTAGGATGCAAACCTATAGGATGCAAGTGGGTTTATAAAACCAAAAGGAATGCACAAGGACAAATAGACAGGTATAAAGCCAGATTAGTGGCAAAAGGTTACACACAAGAAGAGGGAGTTGATTACAATGAAACTTTCTCCCCTGTATCAACTAAAGATTCATTCAGAGTCATAATGGCTTTGGTTGCTCATTTTGATCTGCATCTTCATCAGATGGACGTTAAGACAGCTTTCCTAAATGGAGAACTGATTGAAGAAATATATATGAAACAGCCGGATGGTTTTGGCTCAAAAGGGGAAGAGAATTTAGTGTGCAAGCTGCAGAAATCAATATATGGTCTAAAACAGGCATCAAGACAATGGTATCTCAAGTTTGATGAAGTTGTTAAGTCCCAAGGCTTCATTGATAATCCATTGGATGAATGCATCTATATGAAATTCAATGGAAGGAATTTCATCCTCATGCTGCTATATGTGGATGACATTCTGCTAGCAAGTAGCAATCTGTCCATGTTGCATGACACTAAAAGGATGCTGTCAGATCACTTTGATATGAGTGATTTGGGAGAGGCAAACTATGTTCTTGGAATAGAAATCAGCAGGGACAGAGAAAGGAAAATGATCGGCTTATGTCAGAAGGCATATATTGAGAAAGTGCTTAGAAGGTTCAACATGGGAAACTGTACAGGATGTGATGTTCCCTTCTCAAAAGGGGATAAATTGAGCAGTGAACAATCTCCTAAAACTGAGCAAGAGAGATTGGAGATGAAGGACAAGCCCTATGCATCACTAGTAGGAAGCTTGATGTATGCACAAGTCTGCACTAGACCAGACTTGGCATTCTGCATAAGTGTTCTTGGCAGATTTCAGTCTAATCCAGGCCAAGCACATTGGATTGCAGGCAAGAAAGTATTAAGGTATTTGCAGAGAACTAAAGAGTACAAATTGGTCTATAGAAAGGTTGAAAATTTGCAGCTGGAAGGATATGTAGACGCAGACTTTGCAGGATGCCAGGATACTAAGAAATGCACATCAGGAGTTGTTTTTCTATTTGCAGGTGCTGCAGTGGCATGGAAGAGCATGAAACAACAGTATGTGTCAACCTCCACTATGCAAGCAGAATTCTTAGCAGTTTATGAAGCTACTTCAATGGCAATGTGGCTTAAAAATTTCATGTCTATGCTAAGAATTGTGGATTCAATACAGAAACCGATTCAGTTATGGAATGACAATACTGCGGCAGTATATTTTGCACAAGGAAATAAGAGATCAAGTGGAATGAGGCATTTGCATTTAAAGTTCTTATTTGCGAAGGAAAAGATTCGAGATGGAGAGACTGCTCTAAGTCACATTGGCACAGATTTTATGATTGCAGATCCTTTGAATAAAGGGTTGCCTAATCATGTTTTTCACAGGCAAGTGGCAAGCATGGGATTGCAATTCAATTTTGATGCCTAAAGTCAGTGGGAGTCAGTGGGAGCTAGAGTTCTTACAGTTATGTTTTAATTCTGATTTTGTTAACTAGTTTTATCTAGACAGTTTTATTTTGCAGATTTAATTGAATTACTTTTATACAATGTTCTGCATTTGCTATTTATGAATGACAAATAGAATAAAGGCCAAATTGTAATCATGTCAACATTATGTTTACCGTTTGAATCTATGAATTAGTCATTAAAGATTGTTAAAACCTTGGTAGTTTTGAAGGGTGGGCAAAGAACTGTTCAGTTTTGTCACACATACAGTAAAACCAAAAACAGTTCTTGTTTTTCAATCCAGTTGGAAGCCTTATGTGTTTTGCATATTCATGTATGTGATTATAAAAGTCTTGGATGTTATATATCCATGTACTTCGATAGTCCTTTATGAATTTTTCAAAATGACAGTGGCTTGATAAAAGGAACAAGAGAATTTTGAGTTCCACATGGCCATTAAGTAATGAACAATAAGTCTAAATTGATTATTTGATCAAGTGGGAGAATGTAAGAAGGTTTATTACATTAAACCTACTAAAGTGATCTTCTAATCAACTTAGGATTACAAAGACTTATTGTTTATTAGGAACTCAAAACCTATCTCGATTAGGCAAGCCTGTAAACAGTGTTCAATAAGGATAATGAAGGCTTAAGGGTTCCTAGTTCTACAAGGATTGGAATGGATTAATCCTATAGCATGAAGGATATCTCTAAGTGTTTCTTGATGGGCAAGACACTTAGAGAGATGCATATAAATAGAAGGCTCCCTCCTAGATCCGAATATACAACACAGCTAAACAGAAATTCACCCATCAGAGTTATAGCTATAAGGATCGGATTCTCAGAAGAAGAACTTCTATACCTTGCGCTGCCAATCTGTTCCAGCATCATCCAATCTGCGCCAGCAACATGTCAGACTCAGGTTAGTGTTAAACATGTTATGGCTTTAAAGAATTAACAGGACCTGGTATGCAATTGTCTGACAGATGTAGAGTTGGGATTGGTGTGATTAGGGGTGGGGTGAATGGATGGAGATTTGGGGATAAAAGATTTGGCCTAGTCGGTTTGTTGGTTCTTCTTGTCTTTGATGGAACTCTACACAGACGGGGTAGAGGGATCTTTTCCATCGGCTTATGATGCCGTCTCCAACCTTATGCAGTGAAGCTAGTTATTAGTTAATTTATTATTATGTCACAGGCCAGCTTGCTACTTTTGGAACCTTCTAAAATTCTAAATTAGACATGGCCATGTTGAACCATATATACAAGGAAAAACAATCACAATTTCATCGGTTTTGCAGGAAAGGGGGAATATTCCAATGCTGTAACTGGGGAGGACAGCTCACCAATGTTCATGCCTGAGGAACTGTAGCCTAAGGAAAGTCCCTTGATTCCTCATAAATTGTCAATGAAAACCAATTCCAAGCTAGGCTAGCTAGCCACCTAAATAAGTCAAATGTAGCACAATGGAAGATGCCCCAACCTTAGTTTCAGGCTGGGCATGGCTTCCAAGCAACATTCTGGATTTGATTCTAGAAAAGTTGATCCCAACGTCTAACTATATCCGATTTAGTGAGGTTTGCAAGCATTGGCAATCAGTCGCTTTACATCGCAAGAAGCAACGCATCAAATCATGTCACAAGCAGATTCCTATGCTCATAATTCCCACCATAGACAGTAGCAGTGAAAGGCGTGGCTTGTATAGTGTGACACAAGGTAAGACTTGTAGCTTTGAGTTGAACGTGTATTACAGTAAGAGATTCTGTGGTTCTTCCCATGGTTGGTTGGCCTGTGTGGATGAGAATCTGGTAGTAACCCTCTTAAACCCTTTTACCAGGGTGTACCATTAGCCTTCCACCAGTCCCCAAATCCACTTGGAGATCGACGGTAGCTTATAGATGTGATTACTACATTAATAAAGTTGAATTGTCTGCAGACCCTTCTTTTCTTCCTAATGACTATGAAGTATTGGTCATCTATGATGGCTATGGGAAACAAATAGCCCATTTTAAGTCAGGGGACGATGCTTGGACTAGCATAGATCAATTGATCGGATTCGATGATGTAATTTACAATAAAGGCCAGTTTCTAGGTGTTAGTTTGGGTGGTAGTGTTTTTTCGATGAATGTTAGCAGGGATCAAACTACCGAACCCCATGTAAGCTTACTTGTGCCAATGGATCCAGACACTGACAATAAATCATACCTTGTGCAATCATCCAAGGGAGATCTTTTGCTGGTTAGGAAGTTCAAACGAGTAAAATATTGTAAAAGTCTCTCAACTTCAAGTTTTTCAAGTTTGAAAGGTTAAAGTTTGAACGAGTAAATGGTTATGATCGTTTTACGGAGACTCTGAGCTTCAAGGTTTTTAAGCTGTTCAGTGCTCATGGGGAGAGACCCCAATGGGTTGAGATTGAAAGTATTGGAAATGAAGCTCTGTTTTTGGGTACCAATCAATCCATTTGTGTCTCTGCGCTGGACTTTCCAGGTTGTCAGCCAAATTCCTTATACTTCACTGATGATTGTGTGGATGTGGAATACCATAAACCTAAAGGGCCTCATGACATGGGTACCTTCGACTTGGAAAAGAGAAGCATGGGAACACATTACTGCTTGGATCGTTCGCAGAAGCACGTGCCACCAACAATTTGGATCTTGCCCTCTATGGTGTGAAAAGATGGAAGCCAAGTACTACTACTTTTATAGGCATTTTTAGAGTTTAAATTGTTCCCCATGCGGCGACGATACATATGAAATTGGATTTGCAGAATCCTTGCAATTTGACTTGGCCACCATTAGAGTTTCCACAAATAACTTTTCTGAAGCAAATAAACTTGGAAAGGGCGGATTTGGATCTGTTTAGTTCATTCACTATTGTTCAAGTAGGGTTCTGAATGAGCCTTCTCATGGACATAATCAAAGAACAGTGCAAGAGTCTGCTAATATTCTGTTACTTCAAATTAGTATTTTAATTTGTTTATCAACTTTTCTTGTTCATCATAATATTGTACACTTGACTTATGTCCTCTGTATTTTGCGTAGCGAAAGATATTCCAGTTTAAGTAAATTGATACGAAAGAATCATATTTCAAAAGTAAATAGCTAAGTCTGGACATTGAAGACCTAAAGCGAAACAAGTAGTCAATTTTCGAACCATAAAATAAGTTTTTATGAGCACATTGGTTTCAAATCAATGCAGCACATTCTTGATACAATAACATATGAAGTGCTATATCAAAGCATAACAGGATAGCTGAACAAGAGCAAACAGAAGTAGAACACTGAAACTAAGTCTAAAACATATGAGGTCTCAAAGAATACACACGTCAAGGAGGGTTACACAAGCGACTTTTAAAAGGTGACCACACCAACATGTATTAGAAACCGACATGGTAAGGAATTACAACGTCATACAATTGGATCCTCGTGACGTAGTGAAGGAATTAACCACGTCCTTTATTTTACAAAAACCGACGTTGAAGATATAATCCACGTTGTTTCTTTTCCTGTCCACGCCTTCAATATAATTTTTAATGTTAGCCTTTAACAACAGTAGTCGTTGGTAGGATTTCTTACGTTGGTATTCAACAATATTGTGTCATTTTAAAGTATTCAGACGTCCATTTTGTATAAAAAGTGTCATCTTTGTATAATTTAAATGACTATTCTCGCAAGAAACAGACATGGAATATTTTTTAAAAGGCGTTGTTCTCCTACATTGCAATGTGGATAATCGTATAAGCGACGGTTTTTCCACATGTGTCTCGTGGTAAATTAATTTTACTTCGGTGCCTGTGTGATTATTGACATGTAATATGCTGTAAACGTCCGTTCTTTTGGCTATGCGTCGTCTTTTACAAGTTAGATGTCGGTTTGTTTATTTATTTAACACAGTATAAATTAACCATTACGGTTTAATAAAACCTGTATTCCTTCAATTAGGGACATCGATAATTATCTGTACGTTGGTGCTTGTTTTGATTTTGACATGTAACACTCTTCAGACGTCTCTGTTTTAATAAAACTGTCATCTAATTTTGTCGAATGTTACATTTTACGCTATATATATAGTAATTAGATGTCGGTTTGTAATATTTTTTGACATTGAATGTTTTAACGACGTTGGGTACTAGCCGTCGTCATTTTATATATCAAAAGATGGCGGTCGATTTCACGACGGTTTTGAAAACCTTCTAGACGATAGTGGATTCCTGTCGTCTATTTCGATTTTTGTAGTAGTGATTAGTGAAATTGATTGCAATGAAAGAAACAAATTTTTATCTCAATTAATTTATTCCAATTCATAAATTATTGTAGGCATGGAAAAATTGAAGGGAAGGGACAACTTCAAATCTAATAGATCCCACCTTGAGGACTGGTTCAAGAAGTGAAATAATGAGATGCATCCACATTGGATTATTATGTGTGCATGAAAATGTGGCTGCTGATAAGCCAACCATGGCTTTAGTTATTGTGATGCTGAATAGCTACTCCCTCAGTCTCCCGAAATTGATCTTTTCCCAATCTCATGAACTTCCTATGTATGCTTTAGATTTAGAAGTTGGATCAAAACTACGACACCTTTTCTTTTGTGGAATTTTCCTTTCCTTTGACCCAGATTACACGGTGGTTTACACAAATATAAATGGATGTGGCCAACGTTTAATTTGGTTCTAGAAAAAGCAATAGAGAGAAAAGAAAGTTGGTCCCACTATTAGAAAACTGCTCTAAAGGCACGGACTTATACCGTGTGGATAGTTGTGAACGTAGGCACCACACTCTTTTGTCAGTTGAAATTCAAAATCTTGGTCAAAATAGGCACTGATGCATGTGCCCACTGCTCCATCCTACCTCACAGGGCAGGGCCACATCCACCTCTCTCTCTCTCTCTCTCTCTCGTCAATGGCAAAAAAGAGAGAAAAGTCCAAATTAAGCTTCTGCACACGTTCTCTCTCTCTCTCTCTCTCTCTCTCTCTCCCTCTCTTATATATAATACATTAAAATTAAAAACTTTTTGAGATTTTGGAAAAACACAAAGGAGAGAGAAATTTTGTAAAAGAAGCCAAAATGGACAAAATTGCTCTTATTTATTTTTGGATTTCCTAAGGAATCTTTTACATTTGCATGTCTTTGATTTGAAAGTTGAGAGGTTTTTCTGTATTTTTTGAAAAAGCTTTGGCTTTTTCCAAAAGTGAAATTTTTTTTTGGCTAAAACCTAAATTTACTAAGAGGTAAATACTGAGAGAGAAAAAAGAAATAAATCCTGAAAATAATTCACAGCATCAAAGGATAAAGCAAATAAGGGAAATATAAATGATCATTCATTGTCTAGAAAGAAACATTATCCCAATAGATTGATAACTAGTAAGGAAGATCAGGGCAGCAGTTAAAACACTTTGTCATGCACTTGTACAAATTTCATCAACAAATACAAAAGAAGGTGCCTGAGCACAGGGAACAAAGATGATAAAAATGAGTATGTGCTACATCCTAGGGGACTGGCTTGAAACAAATTCTCAAACCTAACCCAAAGGCGTCACAGTGGTTGAGCATTTGCAATACGCCATGTTTTGCTTGTTGGTTTTGATGTGATTTGGGGATAGATTGGATGAAAACCAAATCAAAGAAATAGAGTGTGTTCAGCATCCCTCGCTCTTGAGTTTTGAGCAATATCATTTCCTCAATTTTTTGCCCGAATTAGAATCCTGGGGCTTGGGGCTAGGGCTGTGGGTTGCGGGTGGGGATGGGATGGTCAGGTCGTGAGGGAGAAAAAGCAGAGGGATGTGTGGGGGAAGGCTGAGAGGGGGGAGGTTGTGGAGTTGGGATGCAAGGCAGTGTTTTTGTATAAATATGGGTTTGTTTACTCTTTTAAAAAATTTGTTATTTTATTTTTGTATTTATCTAATTTTAAATTTTTTAATTAATTTAAACAATAGATAAATTTTTTATTAATTGTTAGGTCAATCTCAAGGGGGGAAAAAAAAAGCTATTGTGGCTAGTGAGATTCAATGTTTTAAAATTTTCTAAGTTTTATAATAGTTTCCTTTAATTTTTAAAACTCTATATTACTATTTTAATTCATAGAGACACTTTAACCCCTGAATTTAATGGCAAATTGACAGACTTTCACAATAGGACCATTTTGGATACTAAATAGAGAGTTGGAGGACTATTGAAATGAAAATTTTAGTTGGTGGACTAAAATGAGATTGGAGCAAAAATTAGGGGACCATTTCAATCAATAACCAGGCTATAGTATTATATAATTGTTAAAGCCTTCAGTTGCTGGATTCCCTTTTGCATAAGGTATGTCGGTTCTTGTAACTAACAATTGCACCTAGTTCTCATAAGAACATGGGTGTTAAGAACTAGGGAAGTTAGTTTTAGTTTCCTTGTTTATATTAATTGTAATTGATTTGGAGTAGTCTACAAGTAATAACCTAGTTAATTTTCTTTGTAAATTTAGCTCGTAAACTCTATAAAGTTAGATGGGTGATGGGAATCGAAATTGATGTTATTTTACAAGTTGTTGAGGATCTGCTCACAAAACAAAGCTATGACAATTTCTAAACTTGAAAGGAATTTTGGGCTACTAACTAGCCTTTGTTTTAGTAGCATTTTTAGTTAGAGAAGGTCTCAAGTTTGACTCACATGGACATCGAGGACTATATATGTTCTCAATGAGTTCAATACTTTTGTTGTGGCTAGACTCATATTGTTGTGATGTAGCTCTTTTTTAGGGCCAATTTAGTGGGCAATATTATATGGTTGGATGAGATCATAATTCATAATTCTAGTCAAATATTTGATGTGGCATTTAATGATTTTTAATTTTCCACCCAAATTGAAATTGAAATTTAATTTTCCATCTAACAGTTTAATTAACGTCAGATTTTGCCAAATTATAGAGACCAGAATCATAATTTGCAAAAACAAAAAAGAAGAAAAAGTTGAATGCTTGAGTTGGCCTAGTTTAGAATTGCTGTCACTTTCTAAAAAAAGTTGCTTCTGTTGTGCTTTGAAAATAGCTGTAAAGTAAAGCAGCTCCATGTTTGGTAAATAATATTTTTAAAGTGCTGTTAATACAAAAAGCAGTGTCAAAACCGTTTGGTAAATTTAATATAAAATTGTTGTAACTGTGAATAATGATTAAAATAGGCATAATATTGAAAGTGTTATGTACTAATCATGTGGTGGTAGTGGAGGTGATGGAGTGGAGGTGGTGGTGGTGATCAAGGTGGAGTTGGTGGTTGTGGTTGTGGTAGTGGTGGTGGTGGGGATGGCGGTTCTGGAGATGATGGTGGTGGTGGCAATGGCAGTGTGGTGTTGGTTGTGGAGGTGGTGGTGGAGGTAGAGGTGGAGGAGGATGGTGGTGGTGGGGAGGAGGAGGAGGAGGATGTGATGGTGATGGTAGTGGCAGTGATGGTGGCGGCGGTTGTGGAGGTAGTGAATGTGGTGGTGCAAGTGGTGGAGTTGGATGTGGAAGTGGAGGTGGTGTCATTTTTTAAAATGAATGATGGTATTTTGGGAATTAAAAAAATTCATTAAAGGTTTATATCTTCTTCTTTTGAAAGCAGTTTTGAAAAGTAACCCAGAGTTTGCTTTTAAAAGCTGCTGTCAAAAGGCCACTTCTTTTAAAATAATCAGGATATTTTATTTTTACCAAACACTTGAAACTGCTTAACTTTAAAGTGAAGCAGGTTTTCGGCGAAAAGAAACAATCCCAAATGGGGGCCTCTTATCCCTAAATGGACGTTGAGTTTCAGCTTAGATGTTTCCAATTTCATGAATTACATATGCTTATTGGAACATTTTTATCTTTTTTTCATTTTTAGAAGTTTCCATTCCTTCGACCAGGACACCCACTTAATTAAGGTTGGTAAATAAAAAAGCAGTCCGTCCACACTAGAAAATTCCTTGCAATATCTCCTTGCCTTGACGTCAACCATGCACCCCCCCTTCTAATATTCAATTGTTTTATTTATTTGAAATCTCCAATTAGTCCTCATCAAAAATCACAAGAAGAACCAGTCCCGTCTCTGTCAATATGTGTGTGTGGCTTTTATTTTATAATAAATTGAGCTTAGACCCATAAAATTCATTTAAAATCACCTACAACCCTTTTTTTTAGTTTTCTATTTAAAATACCTAATTTTTTCAAATAATACCCGATGACTAGAATCCAACTAAGCAAGTTACCTAATATAACTTAAAATCTTATTTATTATATTTTTCGGATTCCAAAACTACCCCAATTTATAAGTTAATGTGTTATGGGGGGTGTAACTAATGACACCCGTTGAATTTGGAAATATCTCAAAATAGTTGTAATGGATGTAGGAACTAATTTAGAAACTTATTTGAAATTAAATATTAAATTCCACATTAAAGTATTAGTAATCTATTTTACAACTAGTAATTTATTTTTGAATTAATGGTGTTTTCCTTATATGAATTACGACTAGTAATCTATTTAAAGTATTAATAATTTAAATTCAATATTAAATTTAAGAATTAATGTTGTTTTCTTTTTATGAATTATACGACCAGTATTCTTTTTTATTAGTGTACATTCTAATTATGTTGAAAAATAATTTAATGATCTATTTATTGTTTTGTTTTTAAAACATTTTTTTTAATGAACCTATTTTTTCTCCAAATATTGTACCTATTTTTTTTCTTTATTACTTGTTTTATGAAAATAATTTGATCATCTTTTTATTGTTTGTTTTATGAATTTGTTTTCAAAATGAGCCTATTTTCTCCCTCAAAATAATGTACCTATTTTTTTTCTCTAATAATGTACATAGTAAAACAATTTACCTAGTATAATGAACCTATTTTTTTACTCATGTCATGATATATCAACGATGTGGCCAACGTTTAATTTGGTTCTAGAAAGAAAAGGCAATAGAAAGAAAAGAAAGTTGGCCCCACTAGTAGAAAACTGCTCTAAAGGCACGGACTTATACCGCGTGAATAGTTGTGAACGTAGGCACGTCTCTCTTTTGTCAGTTGAAATTCAAAATCTTGGTCAAAATAGGCACTGATGCATGTGCCCACTGCTCCATCCTACCTCACAGGGCAGGGCCACACCCACCTCTCTCTCTCTCTCTCGTCAAGGGCAAAAAAGAGAGAAAAGTAAAGAGCTAAATAAAAAATGGTGTGTGTTGATCAGTTTTTTTTGGACAACAGACAAGGAAATAGTGGATGCACAGTGGCTCTATAATCAGTGTCCTTTACTCCTAAACGCCATCGTTAAAAATGGTTTAATATTCAATCAATTTGAGAAATAAATTACATTTTCTTTTTTATGTATTATGCTCTCTTTTGATTTGACCAACAATAATGTACAAACAGAATGGCGCCCATTAATGTTCTCCTTCAGATTTCTGTTCTTCCTTTCTCCCGTTTTGTTCCTTATGATCAGCACTCAATCTCAATCCCCATATTGTTACAACGATAAAGGCAACTACACCACCAACAGTACCTACAAGACAAACCTCAACACCCTTCTCTCTTCTCTTTCTTCCCCCTCCAACAACGGCAATGGCTACGGCTTCTACAACTTATCCTATGGGGAAAACCCCGACCAGGTTTACGCAATCGGGCTATGTCGAGGGGATGTCACGGTGGACTTTTGCCGTGGCTGCCTCAGCAACGCCACACAACAGATCACACAGGGCTGTCCCAATCAAAAGGAAGCTTTCGGCGTAATTGAACAGTGCACGCTTCGCTACTCCAACCGCTCCATCTACGGAGCCATGGAAACTTTCCCTCCTCTCATGTGGTATAACGCACAGAACGTGCCCTCCGACGTCGACGGGTTTTCTCAAGAACTGAATACGCTACTGGAGGACCTAAGGGGTCAAGCTGCAGGAAACGGTTCACTTCGAAAATTTGCGGTAGGGACCGCAACCTTTCCCAACTTCCAAAATGTCTATGGACTTGCGCAGTGTACGCCAGATTTGACCGAGCAGGTCTGCAGTGATTGCTTGGGCAGTTCTTTGGCAGATATTCCAAAATTTTTTGAGGGGAAGCAAGGTGCTCTAATTAGTAAACCCAGCTGTAATGTTAGGTATGCTTCGTTAACACTACAACTATCCGACCATTGCCGTCTTCTCCGTCGCCACTGTCTAGTCCTCCTCCACCGCCACTGTCTAGTCCTCCTCCCCCGTCAACCAGTACAGGAGGTACATATATATATATATATATATATTTACATCCCAATATATTATGCTTTGAAGAAATAAAGTTTGCTTAACTAGAGAAATTGTCCAGGAATTTGTAGACGAGTTACATTTTAGTCCCTCAATTCAATTTTTAGTTGATGTAGTTGTCTCGTGTACAAGTTGAGGGACCATTGCTACTGTTGACACTACAACAATTTTGGGTCGAATAGATTTCTAATGCATATATATCTGTATGTATGTATTCAAATTAATGCAAATGAGATTTCTGATTTTTGCAGGATCGAAGAGTGACAAATCTCGAACTGTCATCATTATCGTTGTGCCAATTGTTGTTTCTGTGGTACTAATAGTTATGTTCTTCTGCATTTGTTTAAGAGTAAGGAGGACAAAGAAAAAACTTGAAACTGGGAAGTTAATTCCAGGTAAGAACGCAACTCTAGTGAACATTAATTAATCATATTATTCCATTTGATAGGGAGGAAGCCGAGTACTACCACTTTTATAGGCGTTTTTAGAATTTCAATTGTTCCTCAGGCAACGACGATACAGATGAAATTGGATCTGCAGAATCCTTGCAATTTGACTTGGCCACCATTAGAGTTTCCACAAATGACTTTTCTGAAGCAAATAAACTTGGACAGGGCGGATTTGGATCTGTTTACAGGGTAATGACAAGTTAATAACAAGAACTTATAACTTTGATATTTCTTGAATACCACTTATCTGATTTCTGTTTTTTCATTCTGTACCTATATATTTTTTCAGGGTAGGCTTCTCAATGGAAATGATATAGCTGTAAAAAGGCTCTCTACAAATTCTGGGCAAGGAGATTTAGAATTCAAAAATGAGGTCTTGTTAGCGGCTAAACTTCAACACCGGAATTTAGTTAGACTCTTAGGTTTCTGCTTAGAAGGAAGTGAAAGGCTTCTTGTCTATGAATTTGTCCTTAATGCAAGTCTCGATCACATCATATTTGGTATGTCTGGAATAATGCGTTGTTTTCGTTTAACTTCCAATGTTTATTATAAAATTCCAATTGTGTGACATGTATGCAAGCAAACATTGTAATTGAAGTCTTGATTTTGCATTAATATATTTGCAGACCCAACAAAGCGTGCACAACTAGATTGGGGGAGGCGCTACAAAATCATAGTAGGCACTGCTCGAGGCCTCCTTTACCTCCACGAAGACTCTCGCCTTAAAATTATTCATCGTGATCTCAAAGCTAGTAACATCTTGATAGATGCAGAAATGAACCCCAAAATTTCAGATTTTGGCATGGCAAGGTTGTTTGTGCCTGATCAAACGCAAGGCAATACTAGTCGGATCGTTGGGACCTTGTAAGAATATGCACTTAACTGCCTGTGGGCTTATGTCTGTTATATGTCAACAATTTCCTTTCCATATGTGTTGGTGAACGCGGACATTCTTTTTGTTGATATGCAGTGGGTATATGGCTCCAGAGTATGCAATGCGTGGGCACTTTTCTGTTAAGTCCGATGTCTACAGTTTTGGTGTGTTAGTTCTAGAGATAGTCAGTGGACAAAAAAATAGTGGCTTCAGGCATGGAGAAAATGCGGAGGATCTTCTAAGTTTCGTAAGTGAAAATATAATATAGTTTTGGTATCTCAATACAATTTAGTGCAACGAATCAAAGAAAGAAAACTTATCTCTTATCAAATTCACAAATCATTGCAGGCCTGGAGAAGTTGGAGGGAAGGGACAGCTTCAAATCTAATAGATCCAACATTGAAGACTGGTTCAAGAAATGAAATAATGAGATGCATCCACATTGGATTATTATGTGTGCAAGAAAATGTAGCTGATAGGCCAACCATGGCTTCTGTTATTCTCATGATGAATAGCTACTCCTTCACTCTCCCACTGCCCTCCCAACCTGCATTTTATTTGCATAGAAGCATTGCATCGGACATGTCCTTACGATCTGAATATAATTCAGGGGCAACAAGGTCAGATCGATCCAAGAGTAACTCTGTCATAGTAATGGAATATGAGACTTTTACTGAACCACATCCTCGCTAGTGGTTGAAGATCGATCCCTTTTGATTCATTTTAATTCTTTCTTATCTAATTCTATATGGTGTGGTTCATTCATTAATTGTTCAAGTAGGGTTCTGAATAAGGCTTCACATTCTTGATACAATAACAGAGGAAGCAAAGCATTTACTTCTGATGGATTTGTAGAGAAAATTACCCAAGTGTGTTGATTTTCAGGATCTGGATCAATGTGAATCAAACCAGAGTGTAATTTATTATATTTTTATGACAACTCTGTATAATGAATATCCTGTTTTTGCGGTGATTCATGCATATAAAATAACATTGCTGATGAGC